TAGGCGTAAATATTTGGTTTATCGAGTTGAAATGTGATTAATTTATAAAATTGAGAAATTTATCAGGTATTAAAAAAATTGAAATGCTGAAAAATTGGTTTGAAAACGTTGAATTCAATTTTTTTTTCCATTGAAGGCTGGCCGAATTTTTCAAGTTTTGACGGTTTTTTTCAGTGTTTTACAACGTTCTTACCACCTTATTTGACAGAAGAAAACTAATTTCTGCTCTCAAAAAAAAATGAATCGATGGCTAGAAAGGTAAACTTAAAAAAAAGTGAGTATTTGAGAAAAAAATTGGCCTTCTGTGTTCAGTTTTTGAATTTTTATTTTTATAAAATAATTAAATTTATGAATCTATTTCCAGATCATCGAACTTTGCAATTATGTCACGACGTCCGAAAATTTTCAACGTGCTTTTTATTCCCCGGCTGTTCGGATCAAACGGCGGCGAATGTGAGTTGGACCAAAATTTTCGATTAAAACGTCCTTTTTCTGGCTTCTTTTCTCATTTTTTGTTTATGTGAACTTTATTTTCTCCTTTTTGAGCATTTTTATACCGTTTCGATCAGTTTTTATTGTATGAATCGGTGAGAATTCTAAAAAGCGTGTACAAACATTTCTTGATTTTTATGTTGTTTTAGCTCTTTTTTCATTCGGTTGAAAAAAAAATGAAAATTTTAAGGACTATTTTTCCCTTTTTCTTTATTTCTAGAATTTGATAGCTTTCAGATCGCCTCAACGCAATATCACATGGTTTTCGGGAAAAAACTTCCGATGCAGGTTTTTCTCGCCTACCGAGGTTATGGACGTCAGGTGGGATTTTATGATCTTTTTTTTTTGTTTTTTTTTCGTATTTTATTTATAGAGTTCTTGATTGAAAATGATATAATTTAAGCTGTGCGAACAGCAATGCTCAAAAGAGGGAATGTTGGCCTGTCGAAGGGGAATGACTTCCATGGATCAACAGGAGGAACAGGTTGAAATTTTTCCATTTTGTCAGATCAGGCTTTTATAAAAGTTCAATTTTAAAGATTAATGAGACGGTTGGAAACTAGAAGTAAAATCTTTTTCACGGTTAAAAAAATTTATTTCGAAACTGTGTCTTACAGTTGAATTTTTAAACTTTCTAGTAGTATTTTTTTATTTATCGTCTGCTCAAGCCTTCGATACACGCTTTCCTTTTGAATGTTAAACTTTTTTTCGGGATTTTTTTGGAGCCAGAAATTTTTCCACCAATTTTTTTGAACATTTTTTTAAATTTTTTTGAGTTGAATTCGGTTTTTTTCAAGTATTACTGTTTATTTATAACAAAATCAACCCTTCATTAAGCTTCGATAGACGATTTTTCAAACCAGATAAGTTTTTTTCTCAATGTAAAGTTTTTTTTTGTAAATATGATGTTCTTTTTTGAGTAGGGATTTTCTTGGGTTCTTTCTCTTTTTTTTAAGTTTCTGAATATATTCTTGTTATTAAATTTTTTTCTTTTTCGTTTCCACTGAACCGGGGCATAGACAAAACAATAAAATAGACAACTTTGAATAATATGAAATTTTTATGTTCCGGGTTTGTCATTTTTTCAAGTTTTATAACCTCACTTTACATTTCATGCTTTCGTTTTTATCTCTTATTATTGAATTTTAAATTTCTCATTCGGTTGGTCACGCCTCTGAGACTTTGAAAAAGAGTTCAAAAGACTTCCCATCATCTTATCTTTCAGCGGAACCTTTTCAGTTCCTTTCTTAGGAACTTCAGAGTGGTCCCTATAGGGGCAACTTTAGACTCCCTTGGAGGGTTCCCTCTAGGGACCACTTTACGAAGCCTTAAAGGGGCCACTAAAGCTTGCAAAAGTGGTCCCTATAGAGGACATGCTAGTCGATAAATTATATGAATTCTAAGCAAAGAAGCACTTACATGAGAAAAACTGGCTAAATAACCGTTTTTGAATGAAATTGAGAGACCCATATAGGGTCCACTCGAGTTTTAGAGGCTAAGGGGTCAGACCCTAAATCCCTATAGGGACCGCCTTAATTTTACGCCTAGATAGACCACTTCTTCGACCCCTATAGGGATCACTCTGGAATTCCTAAGTGGAGTTTTTTTTTCAAGCTTCAAAATCCACTCGAGTTTTAGGGGCTAAGAAGTCAGAACCTAAAACCCTATAGGGACCACTCTGGTTTCTCAAGTCTCAGGACCCTCAAAGGAACTCTTCCAGGGAAACTTATTGGAGCTCTCCTCAATAATCGGCCACATTCAACCCAACCGCGACACCACCGTCGCTTGCGAACGTTTCCAGAAGCTTCTTATTAATGTAAATAATAATAAAAGACAAGGAAGATATTGATCTTTTCCCAGTTATTACGGATACGAAGCGAACATTGCGGTGAGCTCGCCAAGTGTACCTGTTCCGAGGCGACCATCCAACAGGTTATTTTCATTTTCTAAAACGGAACCTGAATGTCCATTGAAAATTAATAGTTATGGAATAAAATTTGTAAGGATGCTGAAACAGAAAAAAAATGAATTGAACAAAATGTTTTTATTATTATCTCAATGACGTCATTGACTTTCTCCAACTAGCTGATGAATGTTTTTTCAGCTAACTGAGAATTTTTTAGGGAAATCTCGATTCTTCATGATTTTCTTATGCCAGTTCTATTTTACAATCTGTCGAAATATCAAAAATTCCAATTGAAAATGAAAAGTTAGTTTTTTTACTATTACTACAAGGCGGAAAAAAAGCCGACATTCTGACAAATTTATTTCATTTTTTTCTTAAAGGTTCCGCTGTTTCTCATTGAATTTGTTTTTTTGATCGTAATTCTCAAAGTGTTATGTCTTTTTCTGAGGACATATTTTTCATATTTCAAAAAAATTCCGAGATGAGAAAAATCGATAGGAAAGTACTGGAGTGGCCACTTGGGAGGCCTTCTTTTTTTCTTACAAAAATCCGATAAATTCTGGGGGGGATTCTTTTTTTCAAGTAGCTGAAATGATTTTTAAAATAGTTGTCAAACTTTTTTTCCAAGGAAAACTTTAAAAAAAATGAGAGAATTTTGGAGAAAAAAAGAAAAAAAATCAGCCGATTTCGCTAGAGCACACTTGATAATTTTTTTGGTTTTTTTCTGGTTCCATCAATTTTTTTCAGTTTGAAAAAGGTTATTAAGTGAAAAAAATTTGGATTTTTCCATGGGTTTTTCTTTCGAAAAAAATATGAATTTTTGAAGTCTTTAATTAACTTAACTTCAATTGGGATTTCTTTTTAGGGTGTCGACGGCTGTAATATGGGCTGCGAACATTTCCTGCAGATGGACCTTCGGCGATTGGCCGCCGCCAATTCCCAGAACTACTTTTTCATTATCTTCTTCAGTCATTTTTATTCCTTTTTACTGTATCTTTCATCAATATTTAGTCTCCGAAATTATTAACAAAACCGCCTTGAATCAAGAGGGTGCTTTGAATTCAGAAAAACAACATTTTATTACTTTTTAGCTTATATATACCTCACAATTTTTGGATAATATTGAGAAAAAGCCATAACTCTTACGGGTCTCTATCCGATGCTTTCCCCATCTTTCTTTCTTCCTACTTTTCCTTAATCTTTGAAGAGAAATTATTCGAAATAAAATGTGATTTCATGAAGATTCCGGAAAGTTCTGGTCAAAGCGAAGATGAAAAATCAAACTCGAATCTTGTTTTGAAGTGGAAAATTAGTGGAACCACGTTGGAAAACAGCAAAGTCAGCCGAAAAACAAGGTTTTTGCACGGTAAGCATCGGATTGATAGCGGATTTTTCGCTGACGATGTTCGTCTCCAGGTTTTATCAGCATAAACAGGGCTGATAAGAACTGGAACGGCTTGGTATAAATAGCAGGGCTGGAGGAGGTCAGACAGTCGAGTCTGATCAACTACAGCCGCCATGGGTGAGTTTCTCCCGCATTTCTTCTTCCGAACATCCAGATTTGCAGAAGAGTTCAAGAAGATGATCACGGAGATGTACGAGATGCGCCGAACGGGCCGTTTCGAGGACTTCATGAAGAAGTTCACGACCCAGGACTGCTGCTTCATGAGCTCCATGCACGATCCCGTCGACTGCCGAGGTACTCCGTTGGACGCTTTTGAAATGCGGTCGTTTCCAGGCGCCATCAACGTCTTCAACCAGCCACAGATGAAGGAACTCTGGAACAGCGTCCACGACGTCAAGCTCGATGACGTCAAGGTATTCTGGATGGAAGATGCCGAAAAAGTGGGATATTCAGATGATGAACGACATGGCCGTCCTTCGCACTTCTTTCACCTGCAAGATGCGCTCTGGCGAGAGGAAGGGCTGGTGAGAGAGGCGCAGAGAGATACAGTATCATTTTTCGTGTCAGGAGCCTGATGACGATGGTCAAGGAGGGCGGCATGTGGAAGATGCGCCACTGCTGCAACGCCTTCCGTTGTACCGACATCTGAATCCAGAATTTGAAGCAAGAAATTTTTGTAACAATTCTATTTATTCTTATGTATAAAATTGAAAGCTTCCGCCAAAAAAAGTGAAAAGAAAGAATTCTGAATTTCGAAAAACCCAAAATCGAGAAGAATGGATAAGGTACAATACATCAACTCCATCTGCGTCCCAGCGTTTTGCAGCTTACATCTCAGTTTTTCCTTCAAACCGGATGACATCATGATCAATCGATAGAGCATACAAAGAAGAATAATCATATCTACATCAATCCCTGATAACATCAGAACTTTGAGTTATAAGCTGGAGAAATCCTGAAACTTCTGCGTGGAGCGCAATGTAGCAGTTACCTGTTTAATCGAAAGCTGACATCGAAACGATTTGAATGATATGATCAGATAAGCTCTAGCTTTTCTGTGAGCCGAGATATGAGCTGTCAAAATTGGTCTTAAATAATAAAACTGCGCGTCAGATCAAATATGTCGTGTGAAGTTGCGCGTCGGGTCGAATGCCAGTCTGAGGCTCTCATCGGTGTGGTTTTCTCACGAAAAAGGAAAAGCTCAAGAAAAAGTTCGTTTTCTCAAAGTTTTTTCTAGTGTATGCGATAGAGCAGCTTCTATATAGTACTGTTATCATATCTGTTTGGACGGAAAAGCTCGAAGATTGGTTCAAAAAAAGGTCTGAAAAAATCGCACTTCTCAGACTTTAAAGCTTCATAACTCTGTTTATTTTGTATGTAAGAAGGAGCTGATCTTATCAATCGATTCGCCTTATTACCAGCTTTCCAACCGATCATGACATCATCCGGATTGAGGGAAAAACTGAGATTTAAGCTAGAAAATTTTATGACGCCATTTGAAGTGATATATTATTTTGTTCGAATTTTATATCAATCGATAGAGGAGATCAAAGAAATTAAGAAAAACTAGGTCTCTGAGTTTCTGAGTTCCTATAAGTCGAGCTATGGTCAACAATAAACTTTGAAAAATCATAACTTTTTTTCTAAAAGCCTAGGAACTTTTTGACCTGGTTTTTTGAACTTCTGACGTCATTTCCTATCGATCGATGTAATAATCTCGGAAACTTTGATTTTCGGAAAAATCGAAAAATGTACAGTCTAACCCCTTCAGTTTTTTTTGAGCTTCTGAGGTCATGGAAGCCGATCCGGACGAAATGTATATCAATCGATAGATCACGACGAAAAAATAACCGGAGACCAGGTTTGACCTCCGTAGGTCAAATAGAAACCTAGTTATAGGCGATCAAACTTAGAGATCGAAAAATCTGAAATCATTCGAATTTGGTATCGATCGATAGAGGAGATCACGAGGATCAAGAAAAACTAGGTTTCTGAGTCCCCAAGTCCTCATAACTCGAGCTATGATTAATAATAAACTTCGAAAAACCATATCTTTTTTCCTAGATTGTCAGAGACTTTTTGACCTGGATTTTCGAACTGCTGACGTCATTTCCCATCGATTGATGTAATAATCTGGAAAAACTTTGATTTTTCGGGAAAATCGAAAAATGTACAGTCTAACCCCTTCAGTTTTTTTGAGCTTCTGAGGTCATGGAAGCCGATCCGGACGAAATGTATATCAATCGATAGATCACGACGAAAAAATAACCGGAGACCAGGTTTGACCTCCGTAGGTCAAATAGAAACCTAGTTATAGGCGATCAAACTTAGAGATCGAAAAAAATCTGAAATCATTCGAATTTGGTATCGATCGATAGAGGAGATCACGAGGATCAAGAAAAAAACTAGGTTTCTGAGTCCCCAAGTCCTCATAACTCGAGCTATGATTAATAATAAACTTCGAAAAACCATATCTTTTTTCCTAGATTGTCAGAGACTTTTTGACCTGGATTTTCGAACTGCTGACGTCATTTCCCATCGATTGATGTAATAATCTGGAAAACTTTGATTTTCGGGAAAATCGAAAAAAGTACAGTCCCTTCAGATTTTTTTTGAGCTTCTGAGGTCATGGAAGCCGATCCGGACGTAATGTATATCAATCGATAGATCACGAAGAAAAAATAACCGGAGACCTGGTTTGACCTTCGTAGGTCAAATAGGAATCTAGTTGTAGGCGATCAAACTCCGAGATCGAAAATTTTGAAATCAGTTGAATTTGGTATCAGTCGATAGAGGAAATCACGAAGATTGAGAAAAACTAGGTCTCTAAGTTCGTATCCTTCTAGGAGTGGAGTTACAATTTTTCAAAGTCTCAAAAATGTCCGACTTTAGAACGCTCTATTTTGACTACCATGTGTTCGTGAACTGTGGCACTTGCATTTATCACACGAGACATGAATCTGCGTCGATTAATGTCTTGTCGACCGATTTTAAGCTGAGACATGCCTGAAGCTTCTGGATGAAGCTTGATCTCGTGATAATCTTCACCATTCGAAAGCTGACGTCAAGACGGATCGAATAGTATGATCAGTGCTCCGGTAACTTCAAAATAAACGGAGTTATGAAGCTGTAAAGTCTGAAAAATGTGTTTTTTCCGATCCTTTTTTTACTCAATCTTTGAGCTTTTGCGTCCAAACAGATATGATAACAGTACTATATAGAAGCTGCTCTATCGATTACACTAGAAAAAACTTTGAAAAAACGAACTTTTTTTTGAGCTTTCCCTTTTTCGCGAGGAAACCACACCGATGAGAGCCTCAGACTGGCATTCGACCTTACGCGCAACTTCACACGACATATTTGATCTGACGCGCAATTTTATTTTTTGAGACCAACTTTGACCGGTCATATTTCGGCTCCCAGAAGAGCTAGAGCTTATCTGATTATATCATTGGAATCGTTCCGATGTCAGCTTTCGATTTATACAGGTTATCGCTATATTGAGCTCTATGACGTAGATAGAGTTGATGGGTTGTAACTCATCCATTCTTCTCGATTGTGTGTTTTTCGAAATTCAGAATTGTTTCTTTTCACTTTTTTTGGTGGAAGCTTTCAATTTTATACATAAGAATAAATAGAATTGTTACAAAATTTCTTGCTTCAAATTCTGGATTCAGATGTCGGTACAACGGAAGGCGTTGCAGCAGTGGCGCATCTTCCACATGCCGCCCTCCTTGACCATCGTCATCAGGCTCCTGACACGAAAATGATACTGTATCTCTCTGCGCCTCTCTCACCAGCCCTTCCTCTCGCCAGAGCGCATCTTGCAGGTGAAAGAAGTGCGAAGGACGGCCATGTCGTTCATCATCTGAATATCCCACTTTTTCGGCATCTTCCATCCAGAATACCTTGACGTCATCGAGCTTGACGTCGTGGACGCTGTTCCAGAGTTCCTTCATCTGTGGCTGGTTGAAGACGTTGATGGCGCCTGGAAACGACCGCATTTCAAAAGCGTCCAACGGAGTACCTCGGCAGTCGACGGGATCGTGCATGGAGCTCATGAAGCAGCAGTCCTGGGTCGTGAACTTCTTCATGAAGTCCTCGAAACGGCCCGTTCGGCGCATCTCGTACATCTCCGTGATCATCTTCTTGAACTCTTCTGCAAATCTGGATGTTCGGAAGAAGAAATGCGGGAGAAACTCACCCATGGCGGCTGTAGTTGATCAGACTCGACTGTCTGACCTCCTCCAGCCCTGCTATTTATACCAAGCCGTTCCAGTTCTTATCAGCCCTGTTTATGCTGATAAAACCTGGAGACGAACATCGTCAGCGAAAAATCCGCTATCAATCCGATGCTTACCGTGCAAAAACCTTGTTTTTCGGCTGACTTTGCTGTTTTCCAACGTGGTTCCACTAATTTTCCGCTTCAAAACAAGATTCGAGTTTGATTGTTCATATTGGTGTAAGCTCTGAACAAGAACAAAATCTGAAAAAATTGACGAATAAACTGCGATTTTTTGCTTTCCAAAAAAAAGTTTCTTGCGGCGGAGCCTTCTGTTCGGTTTCCGAAACAGATGAATCAGTGTTTTGAAGCAACATCAATGGAAAACCGAACGCCAAATATCCTGATTCGATCTTCCTGGCTTTTACTGATTTTCAGGTGATATTAGATCAAAAGCTTGAAAATAAATGTAAGAATTTATACCTAGAAGGAAGTTAATACACGATTTGATAACAAAAATTGAAGTGAGATTTGGAAGAAAACTACTAAAAATTGCTTGTTTTTAAAGAAGTTCAACTTGGTTCGTAAATGGCTTAACTTCATTCATTGAAAAAAATTAGGTGATTTTTTTTTTCAATGACACTTTTTATTTGAATTAATTTTGAAGTAACTTTTTTTATGATATATTTTTAGATAGGTTACTTACTTAGATACTTAGATGGTCCATCTTCGCTTTCGACCTTTTATTAGATAGGTTGGAAAAGTTAATTTCTTTAAAAAATGACTCAAATCGTGAAGAAAATTTCTGTCAAACAAGTTATCACTTATAAATCCGTTAAAATTCAGATCAATGTTTTTTTTTCGAAATAGGTTTATGCCGTGTTCAATTTGATTCCGCGAAATGCAAAATGATCTCTGACCCCCCAAAATTTAGTGATCTTTTCCTTTCTCTAACGGGTATTTTGCATTTCGCGGAATCAAATTGAACACGGCATTAAAATTCAATTTCAGTGTAACTAAAGGTGATTCCAGAATTTAAAATCCTAGGAATTCATTAGTGAACTTCTGAAAGTGATTAACAATTATGTTTATATTTTTCCGATAGATCTAAAATCAAGTGAATTCTTCTTTAAAATCAGACTTTTTCGTAAAAATTGAATAAAGTATGAGGTGAACGGAATATCTGAGAAAACTGATATCCTCTGATATATTGAAATTGTTCAAGCTCATCACCGTTCCTTTTCAGATCCTATCAGCTCGATTATAATAAGGTCAAGTCAGAATCTAGCTTCACAGGGGAATCTAGAAGGTACCATAATTTGTCCACAAAAATACCTCTCAAAATGGATCGTGAAGGCCCCATAATGTGACCATCATGAGACCTCCAGCATACCTTCTAGAGTCAAAGATGAATCGGGAAGTCTATACAAACAGCTACCGGGTAGCAACTTTTGAAAAAGTCAATCGGCGTATGGTAATCGGTGGTCGTTTGTATGCGACCGGGTACTATCTTTATGGTACCTGGGTTGGAGGTCGATGCAAGTAGCTACCGGATAGCTACCTGACATTCGCGATTTCTTCCGGAAAGTCTGGAATTGCTTCCCGGGTCGTTATTTTTTGTTTCAGCTTTATCCAATAAGACCCTGGAAGACTTGGGAAGGTGTAAAAAACACTGGTGCTAAATAAACGACCGATGTGCCAGCCAGCGGCAATCGCGAATTTCAGGTACCTACCCGGTAGCATCCAGCTACCGATCAGGTACTATCCAGGTACCATAGAGATAGTACACATACAAACGACCACCGATTACGATTCGCCGATTGAATTGAGTTGCTACCCGGTACCTACTTGTATCTACCTCTCGATTCACCAGTGTATATCTGAGTCATCTCGGAGGCCCTAGAGAGTCCCACTCAAGTCCCTCTCATTTTGCTTAAAATCCTCAGAGTTGGGTATACTCGTGGTACCAACGATAGACTTCAGACCCTGTTATATCCCTCCGGAAGTTTCGCTATTTTCTTTTTCGATTCGCCTATCTTTCTTGACAAAAAAAAAATCAAAATGGTAAAAAATTTCGACTCGATCAAAACTATTGACACCTCCTAATGCTCCTTGTTTTCCCAATGCCACTTTTTTTTCGTCGCAATGGGAAAAAAACGATATTTTATTGTTGTTTTTGGGGAAGACCACGTTGTGTAATTACTGTTTTGTCAGGTTTTTTTCGCTTTTTCAGGCGGTGATAGCGATAAAAGCGATTAATAATGAAAGGAGGGGAAAATATCAACAATCCAGGGAAGGTTAGTATAAAAACCCCACGGCTCTACCCAAAAATCAGTCCAGTTCTACTCGACCCAACAACTATCAACAATGGGTAAACTGCTTTTTTTAAATTTTAATTTTGAATAAGTCCAATTTTTTCTGGATGCTCAAACAATTTCTTTTTTTGATTCAGTAGGATATACGTTCAAATAAGAACAGAAAAATAAACAAATGGATCTTTAAGAAAATTTTGTTATAGTAGATTCTCCTATAAACTCTTTTTTCTTTAGTCCTGCTTTTAAATAAATTTTTCAAAAAACCAAAAGAATGACCTTTTTTTCTATGAAACGTTTGTACGCCCGTAACCTTAAGAAAACACTTTAAAATTATTAAAATAATTTCTAACGCTTGAAAAAAATCAAAGCCACTCTTAAGACTACTCAAATTTGGAAGAAAAAAATTATTTTTTTGAAAAAAAGCCACATTTCATAGATTCAAAGATTCTTTGAAAGCTCAGAGACTTTGAGGCTCAGAAAGTTGGGTTTTTTCGAACAAATATTCCAAAAGTAAACCATCAAAAAGGCTTCTCCTAGCGTTTGGGTTTTCAGATAGCCAGGAACCTTGAGAAAAATAGGATTTAAGTTCAAGAGTTTTTCTGGACCGCTACTGAAACCTTAGGAAACATCTTCATAAACTGTTTCAAAGCTTTGATAATCCACTATTCGCAGTAAATCACACACTAAATCGCCTCTTCTGTCGGGTAACCACGAACCAATCAAAGTGACATTGTAGATGACTTCAAGAAGATCATTTGCGACATGTGCGAGCTCTACAAGACGGGCAAGGCCGACGAGTGCATGAAGCGCTACGCCGCACGTGACTGCTGCTTCATGGGACCTTTCCATGAGCCCGTCGACTGCCGAGGTGCCCGAAGACCTTTCTTCTCCTGTACCTAGAGCTTCTTCCAGGCATGGTCAACTTCTGCAACGACACAAAGTACAGGGACATTGTCACCTGCGACTACGACGTTAAGGTCGACGATGTCAAGGTTTACAGAAAGTCCGAAGTTCTAACCAAAAGGCTTCGAAATCTTAGAAGAGCTTTCAGTTTCTCAAAGCCATTCCAGTTTTGCGAAGAGATTCTGAAGTTTCTTCCAAAGTCTAAGAAGAGCCTTTTAATAAAGAACGATCCCTGATATCTTGAAATCTCGAAATCACTGATAACCTCCAAAATGAAACCTCAAAATCTCTGATACTTTGAAATGAATCCAAGTTTTTCCCGTTGATCTAAAGGCTCCGATGCTCCCTTAGATACGCCCTAAGGTTCTAAATTCGATTAAAAAGCTTCAAAATGATCAAAATAACCGAAAAAGGCCTTCTCGGACGAATCCCAATATTTCTTCCCGCATTATAACACTTTCAAGCAAAACCCAAGCTCAAAACTTCTCATATACCGAAAATTCAATAGATTCTGAAGCAATAGAGAACCAAAAAATCTTCCAAAGGATTCCAAATTCGGTACCAACGCTTACCTTTTCGAAGATTAAAGTTCAAAAATCTCTAATTTCCTCCTATTTTGACCAAATTGACCTGTCTTGGTACCAATCGAGAGCTGATGGAATGGGCAATGAAAAAACAGACATTCATCAATATTATCTTAAACAACGTTTATAGACGTTCGGCGACTGCGCCGTGGTCCGCACTACGTTCTGCGGCAAGGTCCGCAACTGCGACAAGAAGGGCTGGTGAGATTATCCCTACATTTTTGGTTTAAAAATACTTTTTCCTTCTAAACTCTCACAGACAATATTACTTTTCTTCACCGATTCCATATAAGAACATGGTTTTTCCAAAAAAAAAATCATCATTTTCCAGGTCCCTGATGGTTTTCGTCAAGGAGAACGGCACCTGGAAGGTCCGCAACTGTTGCTGCACCTTCTTCTGTAAGGACTTCTGAGGGATTTGAGTCCTGCCGGCGATTTCAGAGGATTGCCCATCTTTTTTTTTTGTAAATACCGAAAGGTGAAAATAAACATTTTGTAATATATATGTGCAAAAAAGGCAAGGAGGAACTCGTACATCAAAATAAACGGGGGTTGAGCAAGATGAAGCAAATTACAAGTGAAAGGAGTTATGTACATTGGAAAGTGACTATTTCAAAACTATTTTAACTGATTTTCTACAAATTAAATTATTAAGAACGGAGTTTTAATCAGTGCTCTATAGCTGATTCACGGCTAGCTTGAGACGTTAAGGGACGTGTTCTGTCTGCGCTCTCCACGAGCCAGGCGCTATCTCGTGTATTATCGTGTCAGGACCCTTTTTTCGATGGCTCAAGCCAGCCGTGAATCAGCTCTACTGTGTAAATGAGCCAAAAGTGGCGAAAATCAGAAAAATTCTGCCAAAATTATGAGATTCAAGGAAAAATAATAGCCTCTTTTCCCTCTAATTTTTTTTTTCTGACTTCTCTACTTTCACTGCGCATCAACTGTCATACTCAAGCATTCAAAAATTTCCTGGTCGCATTTGGAATGGCTCAACTGGTAAGCAAACAAGTTAAAAAGCCAGGAAAAATCAAAAAACTGATAGAAACCTGTAGTTTTCAAAACTATGAAACTAACATTTTTTCTTATTTTTTCCCTTTCAACGCAGCGCAATCGCGACGCACTGAGCCATTCCAAACGTCGACATTGAATTTTGAGTACCAATTTGAATGAAATTCCGGGATTTATTACGACACATATATCTCATGGTTCTGGTTTTTTAATACTATAAATTTACTATTTTTTTTAAAAATTCCCTGCGCATCAACTGAAATAATTCAAGTCATACTAGGCTCTAATTTTTGCCACAAATAAAAAAAAACATCATGAGACAAATAATCTTCAAACTACTACACAATCACTACAAAAAACCTCGATTCTCTTCGAAATTTCGCTGCGCATCAACTGCCAGCTTCACAGCTCGGACCCCGGCCATTCGATGTCGAAAAACCATTTGATGAGCCGATTTTCCACTGGTTTCACGGCTTTTGCGGCCATCGACAATTGATATTTCTTACTGTAGGCGTAGATTCCGAAAATCAACGCCGAGGTGAAGAAAATTCGGCGCCACCTTCAAAAAGGGGGTTTGTGCGCTCCATCGCTAATTTTCGTTGAAAGTTTACTGTTATTTGATTTTCTGTGTTCTTTCTGCGAGCTAGAAGTTTATTACTAAAAAAAAAAAGTTATTTTAAGCTTAGAGTGTATTTTTTGATAATTAATGGACAAAAATTAATAAACAATTTCATCTTACTTAGGAATTCCAGAGTGATCCCTATAGGGGTTCGAGTAACAAACAGGCCCTATAATGACCGAAAAAGTGATCCCTATAGGGGTAAAATTGAGGTGGTTCCTTTAGGGTCTGACCCCTTAGCCCCTAAAGCTCAAATGGTCCCTATCGGGGTCTCTCAATTTTATTCAAAAACGCTTATTTGTTTAGTTTTTCTCATGGAACTGCTTCTATGCTCAGAAGTCATAACGGTAATCGACTAGCACATCCCCTATAGGGACCAACTTTGCAAGCTTTAGTAGTCCCTATAGAGGTTGGTGAAGTGGTCCCTAGAGGGGACGCTCCAATGGCCCCTAAAGGAATCCCTTTGGAGTACATAATGTAAGTTTTTCTGCGCTCCATGGATAATCTCATCGATTATTAATTTCTGTGGCCTTCCAAGAAGAAAATGATAAACTTGCAATATAAAAGTATATTTTTTCGCCATTATTCCATAAAATAAACAGTACAAACCACGGGGATCGAGTTTCGTCGTAGTGATTCGACGGCGGGGATGGTTTCTCATATTCATTATCATATATGGTTCCTTTCTAAATTGAATGAATTTTTGATTAAAACTAAACTGTACCAAATAATTGTAGCAGATCAGTCGGTCCTTTTCCATGCATTTCAAGACCTAAAAAATGTGAGTCAACTTTGAAAAAATGAAGAAAAGCAATCGTTTCACTGGCAACGCGATATTGAGTTCCTAACCAAAATCCATACTTTTACGATATGTCGAAAAAAATAGCAAAAACCACTAAGAGATTTGAACCAACGTCCTAAGAAGTCTTTCCCACTCCACAATTCTACCATTGCTTGGTAAAAAACCCTATTAAAGGAGTCAAAAAAATTGAAAAATAGGAAAAACTCTAGCTTTATATTTCTGGAACTGAAGAATTTACACAGACAAAAAAAATATTTCTGCAGTCGAAAAATTCACAAAAATTTTTGAGGGAGTCAATTTTTTTGTAAGCTTTTTCGTTCCTATAAATGGTCCTCTGAGGTCCTCTCTTTGCTCAGAGTTGGGTTTATTTTTTTGTTATTTTTTTCACTGAAAAACCCCTTTAAAAAAATATGTTTTTTTCTCGAAAAACTACCTTATGAGCGTTTTTTTCCTTCAGTCCGTTCACGAGAACTTCAGAGCAACTATGTTATCATAAAGTAACCAAGAAAGGTTTTTGAAAGTTCCGTGGTTTTGAATTTGATCTAAATTTCTTCCAATAAATTTATAGATCGAAATTTTGAAGTAACCAACTGAAACTTTCCGTTGAACTAATACTATAAGTATTCGCCTAACTTCAATGAACTTTATTTTTGAAACCACCTCATGAGCCGCCCTCCAGCCGCTCTGAACTGCCCCGTCCATATATCCGATCCATTCGGTCGCCGATTCGGTTCCAGCAAAGTGGACACTAAATTCGCAATGTTTCTGGAGTCTTTCTTCCAATATCACTTATGGAAAGGGTCTCGAATGACTTGATAGGCGTCCATCTGGCCGGGCGGCACAAAAGCGTTGGGGCAACCACCGTTGAACGGCTCATGTGCCCAGATCTGAACAGTTTTTCAAAATCTTGAACTAATCCAGTCATTTTCGATCTTCCGACCCCAAATTTGATGCTATAGTCCGTCCTTGGCAGCTTGAAAGGACGGGACTTCTCTGCGCTCTCCTCGTCTCTCAGCAACCCTCTCATTTTGATGTACTTTTTTCTTGTTTCTCTGACCTTGTCGGTTAGGAGACGGAGAGACGCAGAGCCAAGAAAAATTTCAAGTCATATACACTGCTAGAAAAGAGAGAGTGAGAGATCAATGGTGATACGAAGAGATAACAGAGAAAAAAAATGCCTTCACCCTTCTGGCGCCTATTCAGACCTCACTTTTTCAATGAATGAATTTTCCGACTCTCAGTTCAAGGGTGAGGTACAAGGAAAATTAGGCAAAAGCGCGACTTAGCCCGAAGAGATGCCAGAGAAAAAAATATGTATGTTTCTCTGATGTCTCTTCAAGTAACACTATTATATCGATTTTCTAGCAGAAGGACACTCAAATTAGTTGGAAAAATGAGCGAAGAGCATCTGCTTGTAGAAACGGCAGAGAAATAAAGATTTTCTGCTTCTCTGGCGTCTCTTCAAGTATCTCTTATACCTCGATCTTCTAACAGAAGGCTATAAAGCATATAGCTGATTCACGGTTGGCTTGAGCCCTCAAAAAAAGGGTCCTGACACGATAATGCACGAGATAGTGCCTGGATCGTCGAGAGCGCAGGCAGGCCCCACGTTAGAGTCCCAAGCTAGCCGTGAATCAGCAATATCCTGCAGAAACGACAAAGAAAAATAGATTATCTGCTTCTCTGGCGTCTCTTCATGCCTTCGCTGATCTCTCGCTTTTCCAAGTACCTTGTCCTTATAGTCAATGAACTGTTTGAAGGCGTCATCTCCCAAGAATCTGCTGAGATCGGTGACAACTGCGTTGCATCGTTCAGAGAGTGGCAAATCTGAATTTGGAGAAAATTTCAGATTTCTCGAAAGCTAGCGTAATCAACCACAAAACTCCTCGTTGATGAAACCGACCAGAGCCGGGATTCCCATGTCTGTTGTCGCATCGTAAGTCGCGATTATTGGTAGGACCTTAATAATTTTCGTATATTTCTATTCATAAATTTTTTAAAGCTTTCGTTAGACAAAAATGGAAACTAAGAAGAAAACAAATCCTTAAAAAATGAAGTTTTCTTCAATAAAATTTGAGAATACATGGGATAGTCTCGGCGGGGCCTAGAAAAAAAGGTGGGGGTTTGGCAAGAACCTTGAAAAAAAGGTTTTAGGGCGTTTCTCAGTTAAAAGTGATTGAAAAAACAAAGAACTTTTGAGCTTTTTTTGATTCAGAAGATTTCGAGATTTTTTCTCGAATAAAATGGATATTTTTCTCCTTTTACTACCTCCCCCGGCGTCACCGTCCTCCCAGTGCTGATAATCTCTCCAGACAGTCCATTTTCGCGCCAAAAAGCCGTTTCATAAGTGATCAGGAACTTGACCAGGTTGCCTTGGGGGCAGCTACTGAACAGCCTTCTCTGAATTTGAAATTATGATGTTTTTAATTTTTTTGCGGTTTTTTTCGGAATCTATCCTCTAAAACTCGATAAAATTGTAATAATACGAAAAAAAGCAGAAAATGAAAATTTATAAAACTCATGAAAAAAATTCATAGCTAATGGCATCTGAGTTCAAAAAGAGACTAGAAAAGGCGCGAAAAAAATGAAAATTTGAAATTTTTATCAATTTTTCTTATCGTTAATATTTTTTTCTATCACTTTTTTTAAAAATTCATTTTCAGTCACCAAAACAAGTCTCAAAATTACGTTCCATGGCTTTTTTTCCGTAATTTTCATTGAAAGTTGGAAAAAAACCAACCTTCAATTCGGGCAAAGTTGGACTGAACCGAATTTGGCCGCACAAATGTGGCGGAATCGCACAAATTACGTGGCGGCAGGTATATGAGGCCTGGAAATCGGGGAATCTTTAAAAAAAGATCATTTCAAGGTCTAAAAAAAATCATCGCTTCTCAATGAAAAAAATTTCATTGTCTAACAAATTTAACACAAGAAAAACTACAAAAAACGCTTCAAAAAAAAAAACAAATCCAATTCTCCGGATTTCTCGGAAACACGATCATTTTTCCTTCTATTTTTCTGTATCCTCTAGCACCCAACATAATTGCCGATATCGCAGCGGGCCGCACGCGATTTAGCCAAGGCTTCTCGCTGCGATATCGTCAACATTTCGCTGCGACCTCGTCGAAGTCTCGCTGCCATATCGATTCCTCTTAAATTTTTTTCAATATAAAAAAAAATTTTTTTGCTTTATTTTTTTGACTTTTTATGATGAAATGGATCAAATTAAAGGAAAAAAACATTTTTTTGAAGAAAAATTTTTTTCAGAGAGCGATATAGCGCAAGACGTTTGCGAGGTCGCAGCGAGAGGCGAGCAATATCGCTCGCGACTCCCCCGCGGTATAGCATTACTCTCGCTGCGATATAGTCCACAATATTGGGTGAGACTATAAAACGGGGAAATCTTTAAAATACGATCATTTCATGGTCTAATACATCAAAAATCAAGGCTTTTTTTTATCAAAAAAAAAATTGTCTAACAAATTTAACACAAGAAAACCTACAAAAATCGCTTCAAAACATAAAAAGTCCAATATTTTCGGATCTTTTGAAAAAACGACCATTTTTCTTCTGTTTTTTGCATACTTAAAACTTCAGGATAGATAATTTGACCAACCTCATCTTTCGTATCAACATCATAAGTATAAATCGTAGTAATCAGTGAACTTTCATCGACATCGATTGCCGAAACAGCTTGGCCCAATTTGACAGTGTCTTTTTCCAGGTTTTCCAGCATTTTGATGGAAATTTGCTGGGTTCCGCCCTGAAACATCGACTAGGAAAAAAATTAACCATCCAAAAAAAAAATCTGAGTCAGTCACAGAGTGTGAGTCAATCAATAAAGCCACAAATTTGAAAAACTTCTATTTTTTTTTTCAAAATTTCGTAAATTTCTCATAAAGCTTGGATGACACTAGATTATAGATTATACTCAAAAATCTGATCTTTTTTTGGACCGTTTTCAGTAGGAAAAAGCCATTTTTTTCGAATGTACTTGGGGAACTTTGAAGGTTCGGATTTATCAGTGGAGCAAAAAAATGAGTCAACATATTCGGCCGACTTCTAAACTTCTTATATAATTATTAGAAGATTTGGAAGGATGTTTTTTTGGAACTTTATTATTATTTTTTTCGAAAAATAGAATTTCAGAATAAACTTATTTACTCGAACTTACAGCTAAAATTTAACATTTTTCCCTTTTTTTCTATTATTTTCTTCGCATCAACTTCTCAAAAATCACCTTTCTCTCTTCATTTTCGTTCCAAATCCAGTTTAAAAATAAAGAATTCCATTTCCTGGTCAATACCCAAGATTTTTGCTCGGTGATATTTCCTACAGAAATTCATAAACAGGGATGACTAGGCCGTCTGGGCAAATAAATCCGCAGAGAAAGGTCGGGAAAGATGTTCATTCGAGTGGAAAATTCAAAAATAAGCTGGATTGCAATGAATTTCTCGTCTTGTTAGTCATGGTTTCTATTAGAAAAATAAAATTGAAAAAAAAGGTTTTTTTTAATAGAAATTGAAGTGATCACTTAAGGGTCTGAAAGTGATCATTAGAGTGATTTTCAGAGGGTTTTTTTGCTCTATCTCATTCTTATTGAAGAAAAGCTGAAAATTTTCGAGAAAAAAAAAACGCAAGATGGTCCCTCTAGTGACCTCTTGAAACTTTTTTTAGCTCAGCAAAAAAAATTCGTTCTTTTTTTTCCTACTTACTTAAAAAACACAAGTGGTCCCTACAGGGGCAACCTTAGGGACCCTTGAAGGTTTCCTTTTAGGGACCTTTATACCTGCCCCTATAGGGGACACTAAAGCTTGCAAAAGCGGCTCCTGTAAGGCCCTAGAGACCCCTATAGGGGCTGTTTTTTTTCCCCTAACATCCCTAGAGACCAAAAACCTGGCTATCCTAAGAACTTTGAATATGTAATAACTACTCAAACATTTTCACTTCCCACTTTATCATTCAAATATAGGACGAAGTGGCCACTTAAGGGCTTCTTAATCAGCTCACCGCCACACGCATCGCTTGCGCTCCTTCGCCAATACACTCGACGAGATTCATGAAACCGCCGGCCGATTTGCAAACGACAACGTTGTAGAGCATGCTCATACTGAAAAAGGACAAGGAAATTGATAATTTTACTAAAATCTGAACTATTTTTTTTTCTTCGATTCAAAACTCGAAAATTTTTTCTGATTTGAACAACAACGTTGTAGAGCATGCTCATACTGAAGAAGGACGAGGAAAATGATAATTTTCAACCAAAATATGAAACACTTTTTGGTTCATTTCAAAGAGAACTGACAACATTCAAAGATTTTTTTCTCGAGTTTTATAACTTCTTTTTTTCCCAATTTTTTTGAACCAATTTTTTTGGCAGAAATTCATCCCTTCTTAGTAATGAAAAAAAGCGGTAAACTATGATTTTTCAAAGAAAAAAAGAAAAAAATAAAAAAAAATCAAATTATTTTCGAAAAATCCCTCAATGAATTCAGCCTATGAAAATTCCTCTTTTTCAGCCTAGGAGCTCGAATCTCCGTTTTCTCAGCTCAAATACTCAATTAACCTTATTACTTCATCCTCTATAACTCTTTTTGGACAATGTGACCAAATTTCCGCCCTCAATTTTTTGGAGCTCTCTACATTTAGAGATGAAAGAAGTTCTTCTCGTGGATTTCTGGATAATTTTCACTTTTCTAATCTTATCAGCTCCTTCTATGGACTTATGGACATTCTGATAGAGTCATTTTCTCCATATTTTACTTCAAATAAAATCGAAAAAATGGAAAAAAGGCGGTTTTTGGATCTTAAAAAGATCAAGGTTTTCAACTTTCTCTAACTGATAGTTAGACGGTAGATTCATTGATTTTCCCAGTGAAATCAAACCGATTCGGTTCGACGCCATAGACTGATCTGACGGAAATGTCCAAGGCGTCCAAAGAAGCCCTGGTCCAACAATTCTCCTTGCCCCACTTTGAAACGGTCATTTCATCTAATATCACGGCTTTCTTCGATGAAAACCAGTTGGGCGCAGTGATCTGAACGAGAATATCGACTTTTATCAATGTTTTCCGTTTCTAATAAGATAGCATGCTGGTGAGTAGCACCCGCGGATGCTACCGCCGATCACCCGGAACACAATTTTTAGCCGCGAATATAGTCTGTTAGATTTTGAATGTCAAGTAGAATGACGTCATTCGAAAACGCTCTGTGGATGGCTCGCTCTCTGATTGGTTTATCGCGCCATTAAGGGGCGGAGCTTCAGCGAGGACTTGACATTTCAAAACTGAACAGACTATAGACCCCGTAGTTCAGCGGATTTTCGAAAACGCCCAATATACGCGCCGAGACCCCGTTTAGGCGCAAGGAACCTCCGAAATGTTAAAAACCATCGGGTGATCGGCAGTAGCGCCCGTAGAGCAAAAATATGACGTATTAGCCCAACGGGTGCTTTTTGCCATCATCAGAGAGGAAATAACCAACTCTTTTCGTCAGCCAATCCAACTTGGTTAGTGTGGCGACCGTGTCGACGATTTCAAACAGTGAGAATTGTCTGGAAAAATATCATTTTAGAGAACATTATCTGTGAAATTATATCAATTTTTTTCAAGTTATTGCTTCTTTTTCGTTGAAAAGAGAAATTTCTGTGCCTTCAGAACCTTCTGAAAGCGTTTTTTTGAGCAGAAAATGGTCCTGAAAAAGGGAACTTAATTTTTAAATTTCACCTTTTTTTGCCAATTTTTTTCTTCTTTAACAACAAAATTTGATTTTTTTCCAAAGGAAATATGCTAAAAAGGACGGAATAAGATAATTTCGTTGTAAAAAAAAGCAAAAAAAATTTTTTTCTTTGCACAGAAAAAAATTGATATTTTGTAAAAAAATCGTCAAAAACGTTTAAAACGACCATGGGATTCACTCCGAGACCATCTTACCGTATACTGTGGATCGGCAGCGCCGTGTTGTACTTTCTCGGCGCGGAAGTCGAAATTTGAGCGACTTTGGCCCCTTCACTATACTGATCATACGTTTTCAAGCCAAGTTCATCGAGCAATCGCAAAATGTTCCGCTGCGTTCTGCCGACCCATTGGCCTGGAAAAAAACAATTTTTGATCAAAATTACAATTACTACACTCGAATAAAACCTCCCAAATCAAGCGTGACTTTCGAATAGTGAGCGCCCTTTAGCTCAACCGAATGCGTACGGCCTCCCACGCGATCTTTCGCTTCGAGGATCAGGATCTTAACGAAAAAAAAGTGCAAAACCTTCCAAATCCAGATTTAATCATGAAACTTGGGAATTTGTTAGAACTATCTTCTATTCTTCTTTTAAAACTTCGGGATTTACAAGACTGAGATTTAATCATGAAACTTGGGAATTAATTAAAACTCTCTCTCTATTCTTCTTTCGAATGTTTGGGATTCACAAGACAAAACAGAATTTTATTCAAATAAAATTATTTGAAAAAAGTCGAGAACAAAAAATAGAGCAAAACTACTTGAAAAAATTAAATGACCGCAATTAAAAAAATCCTCGTTTTAATATAGTTGTTTTTCCTCATAATGCAATCCATTCTATCAATGAAACGACAAATAATAACCCTGATCGAAGGATCCATCTTTTTCAACTCCCGGGCGGCTGTTAAACCGGAGATTCCGGCTCCGACAACGATGACATCATAATCCACCGACAGATCTTCCGGTGAATCGGTCATCTGGAATAGATAAACTCAAAAATAGCAAAGAAAATGAAAAAATAAAAATGAAAGCTTGAAAAAACAAAAATTTTCTTAAATCTACCCAAAGTTCACGTTGAATAAGTTGTTTGCACAAGATCAGTCTACAGTAACCCCCTAATCAGAAAAACGGGTAGATCACTTTTTATTTTCGTAAATTTTCGTTCCTAGTAAATTTAATCGAAAATTCTCGACTTGAGATTGTTTCTGCGAAAAATTTTTGCTTCCATAAATTTGTCTTCCATGTCCATTCCAGTTGCTCTACGAAGCGCCCGACCAAAAACGACTTGCGCTCGGCAGTGTCGAAAAAGGTCAAAAGTTTTCAAAAATCTTGGAAATATAGGGCGTTCTAGAAACCTAATTAAAAACCCGTTATGAATAAAATGTATTCAGAGAAATACTCCTTTTTCCATTTCATTGTTAGTTTAGGACATCGTATTGAGATGGTCCATCTCTTTTCGCACAATATTTCGCTAATTGTTCCAAAATTCCCATTGATGAGCCTTAGTTGACTAACCAGTCTTCTTGATTTTCGATTTCAATAACCCGTTAATTTGAAAAATTTCGTAACTAAGGCGTCTAAAGTTTGCGAAAAATCTCTTCACGGTCCGTTGATTCCCCCTTTACCTAGATTAATTCTAGTTATTGTGGGCGTTTCTTAGGTGATCGAACTGAAAATGGGCGGGACATCTTACTTATTACTAAGAAGAAGATCTTCCCAAACTGACGTAATATCCTCGAAAGGTTATTCAGTCTGATCATGTCGGAGGCTTGCTACTCGCCCCAACAATCGTTCGACAACTACTTGGCCTACGTTTTCGCGTGTTCCAGTATCTTCTCGGCTACTTTTGCCATCTTTATCGTTCTGACAAGGTCACCAGCGATGATGAAGTCATACCGGCTCATTTTGATCCAATACTTAATATGGTGGGCTTTTTGTTTGGGGAAAATAGGTGACAAAAAACGGAAAATTTCCAATTAGCATGGTCCTGAATTGTGTTTGCTTGGTTAAAATTGATATTTGAAAAAAAATTGCATTCAAAAGCGCTCATGAGTAGTATTAAATGCGCATGGAGGAGTCAGAAACGCTTCATTTGCCTTCAATTCTACCTGTAACCCGGAAAAAAACTTTTGAAACAATTTTCTGATTTTCAAGGTCCACTATCTTCTCCTTGTCCTGCACGTTCAACGGCAGGTTCATCTTCTACAACGAATACATGATTTATTTTAAAAAACCATTTATGGACAACTTTCCGATCAGCCTCCGAGTGTCCTACGTCATTCTTTGGGTTCCTGGAAGTGGTCAGTTTTACAAAAATATTGCCAGAAGTCAAAGTGGGTACTGTAGAATAGCTTCCAATTTATTGAATTTTTAGATCTCACTGTGAGAATCTGAGTAGAGGTTTACATTCTTCATCGTTGTGTGAAGTCGTAATATTGACTAGCGTCTTAAGTGACCACTTCAGAAGTTAAAATAAACGTTTTGGTTTCTAGAGTTTTGTAACAAAGCCTTTGTATGACTACTACAAGGATACAAGTCGAGTTCCAAGCTTTAAAACTTCTAGTGATCCCTATCCCTATAGTAAAGTGTAAAGAGCTTCTATTTCGCTAATGGTCCCTTAAGGAGGAGAAAATTCTAAAAATACATTAAAATTCTGATCAATTTTCCTAGAATTGTTCTGTTTGTAAGAGCTCAAAAAAGTTTTTTCCTAAATAATTCATGATGAAAAAAACTTCTAAATCCCTTTCCAAGAATCTAAGAAGCTTCTTAGTGAGCTTCCAGAAGTAAAATTATAAAAAAATAAAAAAATTTCTAGCGTTGCAAACTTCGATCGTGAGTTTATTCGAATGTCGGCACCATGAAGCTCTGCCAGCTGGCCACTGCCTGAAGCTCAAAAGCCGAATTCGAAAAGCTTTCCGGATCCTAGTCTTCACATATTTTCTGTTGAGCGGTGCTCCACCTCTTTTTGTTGGCGACTTGCCGACTGACGCTTTTCTGAAGGTGAGAAACTGGAAAATTTTGAACTAAACAGTAGTTTTGTGGGAAAAAGCGGAAGCGAAGTGTTCTGATTGGTGGATGGAAAAAAAAACTCCATTTTCACCTTAATGGAGAGAGATAGGCCGCGATAAATAAAAATTTTTTATGCGCTTCAAAAAATTCCCTCAAAGTGATTAAAAAATAAAATAAATAAGAAAAGCAGAGATAGAAAGTTCGAATTTCAACCCACAGTTTCTAGGAAAATAACCTCCTTGTCAGGATTCAAACTACTTAACCTTTTCCAGGACTTCCCAGAAGAGCGCTGCAACATGGAGCATAACCGAATCCGGATGATTTCCCTGGAAGGCTGGGGCTTCCTTCATATCAACCTAATCATCGTCACACTCAGTTGTGGAATCATGATAGCCGCTTTTGCCTATCATACGTATATCGTTTTGAATCGTTACAATTTGCTATGGGCGGCCGATGCTTTGAAAACGCTTCAGAGGGGCTACTTGAAGTCTCTCGTTATTATGGTCAGTTTTAACTTTTACAGAGAAGCGTGAAATCAACTAGAAGCTTACTTTTACTCTAATCAATTTTTTTTTCATATCCATCAACAGAAAGGTAATGTTTTTAGAAGCGAAGAAAGAGTTAAACTTTTTCAAAATTTATTCTCTTCCTTTATAAAATGAAGCTTCTGAAAAACCGTACAAACTCTAAAATTTCCACTTTTTGTTTAAAAACCATAATGATTTTTTTTATCCATCACACGGTCTTACTGAATTTGAAGAAACACATAAAATGCTCCTTTTTTGAATTAGTTCATTTCATCGAATTGAAGAAATAGTATGAAAAATCAAGAGAGTTTAGAGTGGAAATTGGATTATTTCGGGAGGCTCCTCCACATTACAAATTTTTACAAAAAACGTTTTAAAAAATCAGTGAAGAATTAAATGGAATCATATTTTTGAAGGTTTTTTTAGTTTATTGACTTTTTTTAAAGAAAATAATTTTTTTCTCGATTTTGAATCCTACAAGATATTTGAAAAAAACCTTGTGTTGGAAACATATTTCAATTAATTTCTCGAAATGCTTTTTTTCTACCGCAAATCGAAGACAGAATCTCACAAATTTAACTACCAAAAAAATCAATTTTTCAGACAATTACCCCGGTACTCTTACTAATATTTCCCGTCATCGCTTTGGTCCATTTGTGCAGCTGGGGCAACTGCCAGAGCTCAGGTAATATTTGAACTCGTACAACCAAAAATACACTCTAGGGAATTGAAAGAATTTCATGGGAAAGTGTTCAATCTACGTTCAAAATTTTCTAGCTTTCTAGCCTCAAAAAACTTAGAGCTTGCTGAGAAAAATACAAACAGCATTCCGTGAGAAATAGAGAAAATAAAGCCCCAAGTCCTGGAAAAACACTCAAGTTGAACCTTCAATGAATGGAAAATGAGAAATTTCTGAGAAATAGCCATAAATAGAATCCTGGGAGAATGTACTACACTATAAGATGATTTTCTAATAAAACCAATGAAAGGAGTCTTGAGAAATGATAAAATCCAATCTGACTTTAAAAATATGAATCTTCAAAAAAAAGTTGAATCTTCAATGATTAACCAAGGCATATATGGGATGAGCATAACTGGCGACACAATCATGTGAAATTTATCTTTTCTTGATCACTTGTAAATAAGAAAAAAAAAATCGCTTCTGCCAATCAACTGGTTCTTGAAAAATGGGCAGTTGTGAGTTTTTGTATCTTGATTTCGTTGTTATTTTCGAATTTAGCACCATCGAATTAGTCTAGTTCAGTGCGCGCCCTGAAAATTTTCAAAGCTGCCAACCCCCCGCCCCCCCTTTAGTTTTATTGCCAAGTCCCCTCATATCTTTCAGGTCCCACTGAGACTATCCCATGTATGAATCAAGAAACTTTCAAAAAAATGAAAAATAAAAAAAGTAAGTATCGATCCTTAAATGTGAGAATATTCTCAAATATCACGTAAACGTAAATCTCACGTCATCTCACGTATAATTTTTTTCATGATAACCTTTTTGCCGGGGGAAAAAAAATAGAAATAGAACCATGTGAAAAATTGTTTGTAGTAGGTTATAGATGAAAAAATGTTGTTATCCAAAAAAAATGAACTTCTGAATAAGAATGTATCAAACAAACTCTAGAAACTGCGCTTCTAAACTTTTCAAAATGTTTTTTTAATCTTCCGACAGTCATCATTTCAGCTTTATAATCTTTTCTTTTCCAGATTCTTTTTTTCATTTGTTTCATCAAATCACTGTTCAGGATTTGCCGGAAATTTCGTCTTCGTGACCAATTGTCTGTTCTCGACTTTCGGGGCGATTACCTCAATTTCACTGATCGCTGTTCATAAGCCTTATCGGGCATTTTTCTGTCGCGGCCGTGTTTCAGCCGCAAACCCATATGGTAACATTTTCTTTTCTTTTCAAAACTGATATTTACCGGAAAGAAAACCTTTGAAAACCTCCTTAGTGTCTTTTTGTGATCTTTTCTTGTCAGAAATGTTCTTTTTGAGAAAGTTCTTAAAAAAAAAGCTTTCTTGAAAAGCGAAATGCCATGCCAAAAAAGATTTCATTTTTGGAAAAAAAGCAGCGTTTCGTAATTTTTGGAGATTAAAAAAAAATGATTTTTGCTTTTCACAGCCCCAAAATTCCACTAGAAATTCATTTCCAGGTGCTTCTTTTTCTTTCAAACGAAGTTTTCCAGAAAAAAAGCTTTTCAAAAACTTTTCAGTGCCTTTTTTTGAGCATTTTTTTCTGTCAGAATGGTCCTTTTGAAAAAAATGAAAAAAAGGCTATTGAACATAAAAAAAGCCAAAAAAAGACCACAAAGTTTCAGTCCTTTTTGCAAAATCACGGAAAAAAAAAATTTATAATCGTTTTCAAAATTCAAAAATATCCCTACAAGAGCTCTTTTTCTCTTCATCAAAAGGAGTATTATCAAAAAAGTCCTTCAAAAGACCTTCCTAGCACTTTTTTCCGATTTTTTTCGGAAATGTTCTTTTTAAGAACATACAAAGGTTCATGAAAATAAAAAATGCCAGAAAAAAGTGACTGAAAGTCAAAAAAAAGCAGGTTTTGCCATTTTTCGACATTCCGAATCTATTTTCTATTTTTCAAGTACTTTGAATGCTTAAAAAAAATCTAAGAAGAATGAATTTCCAGGAGCTACGATTAGATCGAGAGCCTATACAGCCCCGACAATCGACCCAAAACCAGCCGTCGTGAATCAATAACTACAAAATCCTTTTTTTATCTGAAGAGGGACCCTGCAATTCAGTCAACCCATGTATGATTTCCTCTGTTGATCTTTGTAGTTCTGTCTATGAACTTTTGAAAACTCCACCCAAAAAAAATTTATAATAATGGCCAACTTTGAGCATATTAGGATCTTCCCCAAGTATTCGGAACCTGAAAAGGAGTCGACTTTGAGAGTAATAACATATATTTTGAGCGAATTTCATAGCTGTACAGCCTATGATTACACTGGCAATTGAAAGTATCAAATTTCAGCCATTTTCGATTCGTCTAGAGCCGTTTTTTTATCTTCTATCGAAAAATAGTCTGGAATTTTTTTATCTAGAGCACTGAAAAGTTTCTTTTTAATATTTTTGGAGATCAAGGCGTATTTTTTTGAAGGAAAAGCAATGATTTGTCTAGTGCTGGAAATGTAATGAGACGAACTTAAAGAATCCAAAAAAATTTTTTTTTCTAAATTTGCGTCACGAAACTTTGAAAGTTGAGGTGCCCTTTAAAGACTCACTGGGGGACGTTTTTAGCCCTGGGATGAACTTTTGATGGAACTTTGCTGAAGGGTACTTTAAGACCTCCTAATTCCAGAAAATTTTTCTCGCAATAGATCTTTTTTCGAGTTGAGGCGCTTCAAATGCTAAAAAATAGCGCTTTTTTCGTAGTAATTTGCCTAAACTTTGAAGCTTCATAAATTTAATACAAGATCTATTTTTGAAACAATTTCCCTTTTTCTGGAGTCAGAAGGTCCTGACGTACACAAGTTTCATCGAAAGTCCAACCGGGGACTAAAAACGAACCAATAACTTTTTCTATTAATCTGTAATTCACTTTCAATTAATTTTTCATCTCATTTCATGTCACAGAAATCACTCATCTTTGTCTCATTGTAGTGGAAAAATTGATAAAATTGTCATTTAAAAATTTGAAAAATCAAGAAACTTTTTTTCAATTTTTTTATTCCCGAAAAAAACCCCAAGCTTTCAAAATGATCGCGTGTCGTTGAAAACTTAGAAATTCAGACGAAAAAAACCCTTAATTTCAACAAAAAAGGATAATAAAATACACCTGACTCAGTCTGAAAATGGGGAAGAGGAAGTATGAAAATTCCTCTGGAACTTGAGACTTTCACTATTCTCCCATAATCCCTATTTTGAGTTATTTCATGCGTTTCTATTGCGGTTCCTTCGGAGTTTTGAATAAAAAAATCGTTCTTTTTCATTTTAAATATTCAGAAATATATTGTGTCTGATTTTTTTAAAAACTCGAACTTTTTTTTGCTATTTATTCGGATTGAATTTATTTGTTAGTCTCATGCTTTCATAAAATAAAAGCCCTTTTTTTGCTTTTGGAGCTTTTAATAAATGAATTTCCAGATTCTGTTGAAAAATTCACTTGAAATCAAGGCAACGTGCTGGGAAAATTTTTAGTGGCCACTATAGGGTTTTGGAGTTTTAGTGGCCACTTTAGGGGTCAATGGATCAACATAACTGGTCCAATCTATTTGTTTTAAAATTATCAGAGTTACTGGAAGGACAACTGGATGAAAAACTGCTGAAGTGGCCACTATAGAGGTGGGTTTAGGGGCCACTTTAGTGTCCTCTCTAAGTAGTCCTGCGCCCTGGAATCAAGCCCACATAATTTTTAATAAAATATAAAAAAATTTTTGAGGTTTTAGAAGTTAGGAAATATATATTTCTTCGAAACATTATCAGAAACATCTTGCAATTTTTTTAAAAAAACTCATAATTATGATTTTTAAAAAAATGAATCATTTCTTTTTACATTTTTTTATTTCTCACTCTTTTTTTCAATAATTTACTGAATCTATCAAAAAACGGAAACCATAATCCCCCATAAGGCAACTGAACCTTATGTCTTCTTCAAATTTAATCCTCCTTACAAAAAATTCAATTCGGAAAATCCAAAATGGATTTCACTTGCTCAACCAAAACTCACCTAACCTTCTGATTTCCTAATTTTCAAGTTCCCTTGAAAATCAGTAACTTCTTGCTTGAACAACAAGTCAAGATCCTTTCGATTTCAAGCCTCTCCAATAAAAAAAATTTCAAAATCTTCACTCTGAACCATTCTCCAAGCTGAAACTGCTCTAAATCCATTCCCAATTCAAGCCGGAAGTCCAAGAAAATTCAAAACTGGACCCTTTTATTCTCTTATAATATTCCCACAAAGAACCTCCCACTGAAAAAAACTCGTGCTCATGACAAAAACTCCAGCTGAACTATCCCTTTTGAAAGGAGGCTGGGAAAACTTCGAAAGGAGAAAAAAAGTAGGCGGCGCTGTTTTTCATTCCTTCACTCATTACGGGAAAAAGTCTCCAATAGAGAAGTTCAGTCTGGTCTCCAAATGTCCGTCGACACCTGTCATTCGCCCCATCAGTCTTTTAATAACCTATCTTCTTATTTTTGTACTTCTTCGAGTATCATCTTCGCCTCATTCACTATTTTTATCGTCGTAACGAGGTCGCCAACTTCGCTCAAGCTTTATCAGCTGATTTTGATCCAGTACTTGATATGGTGAGCTTTTTGCTAAATTAGGATCGATTTTGAGTTATATAAACTATTCAAAGCCTATAAATGAAGTTTTAAAGGGGCCAAAGCCCTTTTTGGTTTTCGAATGTCTCAAAAAGTGGTCTTAACCAATTTTGATCCATTTGATATGGTGAGCCTCTTAGCTTCTTCAAACTTTTTTAAAAAACTGTTGATACTCATTTTTAAAGGCACATGGAGGGGTCGCTAAAAAGCTTCGAAAAGAGCTGTTTTATAAGGTTTCAATCCATTAATCTGTACGATTAGCTTTTTTCGAAATCCAGGAAATATTTTGAATCATTTCTTCCTACAAATTTATCCAAAAAAATCTCGATTTGCAATGAATTATTTGTGCTAGTCTTCCTCAATTTCTAAAAAATTCCAGGACCACGATATTCTCTTTATCCTACACATTCAACGGAAAGCTCGACTTCTACAGCGAATATATGGTTTTTCTGAAAGAACCATTTATGGATAAGGTTCCGATAAGTCCCCGATTTTGTTATGTACTTCTTTGGATACCAGGAAACGGTTAGTTGGGCCTCTAACAAGAAAAAATGACCTTTTTTGCTGTTGGGAATTTTCTGAAAATGGGCCAGAGTCTTTGATGTGCCAGATTAAGATCCTAAAATTTTCAAGTTGCACAACTGCCTAATCTTCCAGAAAAAAAGCTCAAAGCCAAAAAAAAAGACTTATTTTAGTAGATTTCGATTTTTCTCCTCGACTTTGAAAATTCAGAACTTTCGCAGGTTGAGATTTTAGAAACTTCCTCTGGTATATGAAGGATTAATTTGGCCGAATTTCAGGGAATTTCAGTTTTCAAAGTGTATTGCATTTTTTGTAAGCTTCCTAAAATTGAAAAAGAAATATAATTCAGCGCTATTGGTTTCTTTGATAAGCCTATTCGAATGTCGGCACCATGAAGTCCTACCCCTAGGCCATTGGATGAAGCTTTCGAGTCGAAATCGGATAGCCTTTCGAACTATTGTTTTCTTATATTACTTACTGAGTGGGGTTCCGGCTTTTTTATTGGGCGGTGAGCCGACTGAGGCCTTCAAAAGGGTGAGAACTTTTTTATTTTCCGAAAAAAGGAGGGCTTGGCTAAAATTGGAAATTTCTCCAAAAGTGCTAAGAGTGGAAAAAGTTTTCATAACTATAGTCTGTGTGCCACGACTTGAAATTTCACCGAACGACATTCCGCTGTTCCGCTGCGTCGCGAAGCGTCTTTGCGAGCCTCGGTCTCGCTTTTAATTGGTTCTTATTTCTGATAGATGGACTGTTCCCCTAGGAACACGTTTTGGTCGAGTTCTTAAACAGAATGAAAAATTAAAAGCGCGCAAAGGCACGCAGCGGAACAGCGGAAAGTCTTTCGGTGAAATTCCAAGTCGTGGTACACAGACTATAATTAATCATAAATTTGAAAAAAATCAAAAAAATTTTTCAGCCTGAAAATAATATACTCCACCCAATGCTAGAATGTTCATAGGAAAAATAGGTTTCTCTAAACTCTCTTGCTTCCGCTCACTATCTCGCGTGTAATTTCAGAAATTTAGAACTTGTCCAGCTTTTCAAAATTGCTCTCTCTATAAAAGCCTAGATTTCTTTGACCTCTCTCATTGTTTTACACTATCTTGCTAATCGTTCCGAGACCTTTTCTTCATAAAAAACTTTTTAAATTTTACTTCAAAAAAGTCAAACTTTTAGTTTTTCCTAAATTTTGCTCTTCATCTTTCTGTTTCCAACAACATTTTCTGCCGAGAACCTTAGCTTTTTCTATGTTTTCAGCAAAAAAAAAAGCAAAAACAAACAACAAACCACCTAATTACCTAATTAAGGGAAGAAGAATAGAGTAGACATTCTGAAAGAAATAAATCCCATGACATTTGATAATTCCTTTGATTTTTCTTTCAATTACGTAAATTGTCTGTTGAATCATTTGTTTGTTTCGGTGACCAGAAATGAGAGAAATTGAAAAATAAATAAAATGTTTCCTTTTCCATCCAGAATTCGATTTTTTATAAAAGGTAACCAGTTTCTGAATGGTTGTATTTTTTTTTTTTGGTTCAATGGTCGAGCTGACATTTTTAACAGCTGTTTGAACAACCTTTGCAAAACCTCTGAAAAAACATCTGTGAAGAAAAAAGCTGGAAAAATAGGTTCCAATAAACTTTGAATAAATGAAACACCTGGATGGAATCAATCAACTATACTGGATTTTTATAAAACTTTTCTTCAAGAAAAAAGGGGTTCTGGAACGATTAGCGAGTAGTGAGCCAAAACTAGAGGGTTTAGAGTTTTTCTCTGATGAGCTTTCTATCCAACTAATAGTCTCAAAATGTAGAAAATTCAAATTTCACGGTTCTATCAATTTTTTTGAGACCGAGCCAGTAGGAATTTTTAGTATAATGAGCTTCTGATATTAGAAAAAGTCAGGGCCTTTTGAAAAACGCCGAAAAATAGAAACATTTTTAATTTCTTCTTGTGATCATTATCATAAAAAAGTCACCTATTTTGGCAACCATTTTTTGTATTTTAAAGCTTCAGTGGCCTCAATAAATCGAGCAAAATAACGAAAATCTGTTTACGTACCTTTAAAAGTTCATTCAAGCTTTCCCAGACAAGTTTACTGAATAATCGGCTTAAGAGATATTTTGAGATATTTCCTGAGAATCTAAACTTTGATCCGGTGATATGAATTAAGTGATCGCTTCAATTTCAGACTTTGGTCCGGTTTTCAATCTTTACTGACTAGGGAACGTTTTTTAACCCCCGGTTGAACTTTCGCTGAAATTTTGCTGAAGCCAGGACCCCCTGATTCCAGAACAGAAAGAAAATTTCTCGCAATAGATCTCGTTTTCGAGTTAGGACAATTCAAAAGCCCGAAATAGCGCTTTTTTGGCCTAATTTGCGTATTTTGCGCACTTTGAAGCTCCATAACTCGGAAACAAGATCTATTGCAAGAAATTTTTTTCTTGATCTGCAATCAGGAAGTGCTAAAGTAAACCTCAGTAATGTTTCAGCAAATGTTCAACCGGTAGGGGGGCGCGTAAAAAAAGTTCTCTGGTGAGTTTCTTTGAGTGGCATTAAACTTTCTTCTCATCCTGGATCCATTTCAGGATTTCCCGAACGAGCGGTGCAATATCGAAGAGAACCGAATTTTTCTGATTTCTCCTGAAGGCCTAGGTCTGCTCCAGCTCAACCTGATGGTCGTGACAATGAGTGCCGGGGTGATGATAGCCGCTTTTGCGTTGCATTCTTTCGTCGTTTTGAATCGATACAATTTGCACCTGTCGGAGAAGACGAGAAAGTTGCAGAGGGGCTATTTGAAGTCTCTTCTTGTCATGGTGGGTTTCAACTTGAATTTTTTTTTAGTTTAAAAAAAGTTTAATAGCATTGGGAAAGGTTCAAAACAAAAAAAGGCCTTTTTTTAAATAAAGCGGTTGAAGGAAAAAACTGAAAAAAACTTTAAATATATTTTTTTTTTTGTTTCTTTTTCCTTTTTTAATCGATTTATAGCGTTTCAAAGCCTTCAAAAAGCCTCATTTATATCTCCCTATAAATTTAAAAGTTCTAACAGTGAATCTAAAAGAAAAACTTGCCTAAAAGTTTTTTTTTTCTGGTGGAGTCAGCTATTGGCCAATAAACATTGAACATATCAAAAATTTGTTTATTTATAATTCTTTTTGAAACATAAACCTGACGGTAAATCGACTTTCGCGGCTAAAAAAAGCCATCAGGGTAAATCAAATCAAAAAAATGCGAATTTTGAAGTTTATAATCAAGCCGCAGCGCGACCGCAACACCTTGAGCCATTCCAAATTCGGCTGGAGCGTTCAAATTTAAAGATTTTTTAAACAAAAAAAAAACGAGATTCAGTTCAAGTTAATTTAGAATACGTTCTTTATGGAACTTTGGATCAGGGTGAACTCATTAGAACTCTAAAAAGCTCATATATAAATAAATATTGTCTAATTAATATTCAAAATCGCTATAGAAAGCTTCTAATCGAACTAAAAAATTCGACAATATTGTCCCAATAGTTGCCCAGGAATGCGAAGAAGCTTAAAGAAAGTTTTCTCGAGGTATATTGAATTATCGAGAAGAAAACTAGATACTGAAAGAACACTTCCCAAAGAAATCATCGGAACAAAGTCCAGAATATCGTAATCTGAGGTTCAAGAGTTCAATGATAATCCCAGGATACGTTTTCGTCATTAAGAACTATGAAAAAAAACATTTTTTTTATTATAGTCGATGTGCCACAAGTTGAAATTTCATGGAACGACACTCCACTGTTTCGATTTGTGCGGTAGCGCGCATCGTGCGAATTTGCCAACCTCGGCCACGCTAATTTGTTTGGTTTTAATTCTAGTTTTAACCGTTTTTTAATTGTTTTATTTCTTTAAAATGTATTATTATCGTTGAAAAGGATTGCGTTGTACAAATTTAAACGAAAGAACACAGTAAATTTCATGATTTTCTTCGAAAAGAGCGATAAAAAGTGTGTTTTTGTTGAAGCCATGTTTTAACGTTTTCATCGTTTTTTTTTCTGTTTGTTGTAGTGGTCAATGGATTTTTCCAGAAAGAGAGTGGCTTATAAAATGAAGATTAAAACCAAAAAAATTAGCGTGGCCGAGGTTGGCAACTTCGCACGATGCGCGTTACCGCACAAATCGAAACAGCGGAGTGTCGTTCCATGAAATTTCAACTTGTGCCACATCGACTATATTAAAGGTTATAACCTATGACTCATAGGTTATGAGGGATTCGATCTCACGTGACGTTGAAAGTGAAAAAAATTTGTGACTAGCGAAATTTTTTCAGAAATTTTCCCACTATTTTAAAAAATCCTACACACTTTTCAAAAGTTATACTTACTCCAAGCTCCGAAAATTGCCTAGGTTACTGTAGTATTCGGTGATCGTTCCAAGACCTGTTTCGAAAACGTTCAGGGTTTTTAGGTTGGGACACGTTAGCGATGAAGAAAATGTCAAAAATTGACGAAACCCTTCTTATAAAAATCTCATTTTTTTCACAACCTCAAAATATCGAAAAAAAAAACCTTTAATTATATTTCCTTTTTATTGTTTTTTACTCGAAAAACTTTCAACCTCTTTTTTTCTCTCTTAATTCTGAGCGAGAGTTCTTTCCAGGGAAGGAAAAAGTTTCAAAGAATTTGTTCCCCTTCATTGAGTACATCGAAGAGAAGCAGGAAGGAAGAAGAGGCTAAGATGTCGGGTTTTATTAAATTTGGGTGCACTCTTTGGACTTTCAAAGTAATGACATCATCTTTTGAGAATTATACGGCTACTGGATACTTCCTTTTTAATTCAAACAAGATTCTAAGTTAAGTTTGGATCACGGAGGGAGAATTTTAAAATTTTCAAGCTCAATAAGTTTATGGAAACGCTTTTAAATTTATCATAAAACTTGAATAATTGGTTATTTTCCAGGTAATAACTCCAATACTCGTATTATTATTTCCCGCCATCGCCCTCACGATTGTGTGTACCTGGGGCGATTGCCATAATTCAGGTATTTCACCTATTTTTATCAGAAAAGAGAGATTTTTTAAAGGTAGAACTGGAAAAGTGTTATGAGGTTTAAAAAAAACTAAAATTTCTGAATAAACTCTAGATGTCTATGAAATCTCGTTTCAAAATTTAAAATTAACAGAAGAATTCTGAGAGATTTTCATAACTTTTTGATCATTTTATTCAAACTTCTACAAATTTTTCAATAACCCATTTGAAAATGAAAAACTGGCCACATTTCTTTGAAAATTTGCACATGGCGGTTAGCCTTTATTTCTGATTCAATTTTTTTATAAGCCTAATACCTTGCAGCAATCGTGGAAATCTTCGTAACCATCGCAGCTTCGTTGTTTTCTGCTTTCGGAGCCATTACTTCAGTTCTTCTCATCGTGGTTCACAAACAATTTCGGTCATTTTTCTCCAAACCGGCTTCGGCCGACTCTCCAACACGTTAGTTTCTTGAAATAATTCTTTTTTTATCAGGAAACTTTTCAGAAACGCAGTTCCAATTGAGGGTATCTACGACGTTTCATAGTCGGAAACCGGGTCTCTTCAATTGAAGAAAACAAGAAAAACTCATTTTACGGCTAAAATTGTATAAAATTTTTATGGAAAATGAATATTTTCAAATCGATCAGGATAATAAATCAATCATTTAAATCACAAAAAAACAGATTTTCATTTTTGTTCCATTTATTGACTATTTGTTTCTGTAAATTTTTGAGTTACGTGAAAAAAATTAGAGAATCAAAGAAATTTTTAAAAAAAAGAAAATAGGGTTATTCGAAAACGAGTAATGAAAATTAGAGTGCTATTTTTTTCCTGAACATTTCAAAAAAATTCAAAAAAATAGCTTTTTTTCAAGAACTATTCCAGTAAGAATATTGCGTCTTCTGCTTTTTAGAGGTTGGAGTAAGACGAAAAAAATGGTATATATTTCAAGAAAAGGATTATTTTTCAAGGAAAAAGTATACGGCAATCTTCTTTTTTTGTTTCTTGAGAACTTTTCATCTTGAAGAATGACAATTCCATCAATTCCTTTTGATCTTGAACTTTCTCAATCATACGTTTTTCATAATTTTCAAAAATTAGAACGTCATGTGAGAAAAATTTTTCATAATCCTCAGAAAGTACTCGATTTTTTACATGGACACAACTGAACCTTTGAAGGTTCCTAAAAAGTGTGACTTTTTGGACTTTGCTCCAATACATTTGAGGGAAAAGCTTCGAAAGTGTTCCACTCAACATTTAATTATCTCTGAGAAAACAATCTCGAACTCATCCTTCAGTTATTGAAAAACAAAAAAAAATATAGAAAAAACTATCTCGATACTTTAGAATTTTCTTGTCTGAATGGCACAAATAAGAGCAAAAACCTAGCTATCCGAAACTTAGTACATTGTTCGGATAAATTCGAGAGAAAACCCTGAAAAGTGTTCAAATTGAAACTCAATTTTCCTTGAGCAAACTCTCCTCGAACTCATCTTCAATATTAGGAGCTCTACGAAATTCAGAAAATTTTCTTGAGAAGTAAATGAATTTCCAGTGTCTCTCTGGCTACTAATGAGTTCGTTTGACAAGGAAGGTAATTTTTTGCGAGTGGCTGAAAACAATAGTTTTTATGTACTTGAACTTCTTGAAAGACTCAATCTTTCAAATTGATATAAATGAAAGCTTAAAGTTCTGAAATATACCATTTTTGAGATTTTGATGGTTTTCCAAGTAGTTGAGCCCTACTTACACAAGAAAAAAGAAGCGACTTCTTCATTTAGGGAACCAAGAAATATTCAGACCCATTTTTCGAAAATCCCAAAGTTCAAAGTGGTCATTCTAGTGAATATTTTTCAAGATACGCTTCACTTTTTGATGTTTCTTTTGCTTGAAAAAAAATAGTAAGCTTCAATTAAAAACCATCATCATTTCAAATTTAATTGGTTAAATAAGAGCTCAATGAAAAAAGAGGAGATGATCATTGAAATAAGTTTTTGGAAATTTTTTTGAAGCTTTAATTCATATTGTATAAGGTTGAGAAAAACCGGGAATTTTTCGGAAAGTGCTATTTTTTCATGCATTGAAAATCCTGGACTCGAGAATAATTTGTTAGAAAAGCCTGGAAAAATCACTGAAATATTGGAAAAAACATATTTTGATCCAGTAGGATCTGGGAAAAATGACTTTTTGGTCGAATTATTTCTTCGATCCGCTCATCTTCCTGTTTTTGTTTTTGGATTCTCAATCTCTGCTCTTGATAAAAAAAGCTTCATCCGAAAAGAGTGGGATGAAGAAAATTAAAAACGGAAATAACGTCCCTTCAAAAAAATAGGACATTGAGACTACGTCTACGTAGGACAAATTGCGTGCATCAGACACATCAGAGTTAATTATTTTTCCATTTTCTAAAGTTCAGAGAGATCGTCTAACTTTTAAGATTTTCAAATAAACATTTACAGTTTACAAGTCAGAAATTAAGAAAAAAAAACTTTTTTCTGGGTATTTTAGGGCCAAAGAGAAGCTGGAAAATAATACTATGGAGTTTTTCAAATTTTTGCCTGAAAACAGGTCAATCCTAAAAAGGAAAAGTTCAAGAAAGTAATTTTTGCTCCAAATATTTATTTGTGAAAGATTAGCTTCGAATTTAAACAAAACAAGTACCGAATCTGCTCAAATTCTTGTCTAGACACCAAAAAGGTGCTTTTGATTTTTCTTGGCTTCTCCAGTTGAATCCTCATATTCTAAAAAGTCTGAAAAGGCTCCAAATTGAGCTCCTGGCTTACGATTGAATAAATTGGGATTAAATTCCCGATCTGAAAATTTAAATCGCGTCAAAAATTTATTTATATAGATGACTGAAGTAAAAAATTACATTTTTAATGAAAAAATTCTATTCGCCTGTCAACTTTGATATGAGTAATAACTAGCAAGCAAAGAGGTACAAAGTTCAAAACATAAAAAGAAAAAAAACTTTGTTCGAGTCTGAAAGCTACTTTAAATTAAATTATTCAATCTTCGCTGCACGTAATTCAATTTCGTCCGTTATTAACTTTAATAGTGATCTTAGGTTTCAGAAAGAAAATAAAAATAAGCTTTTCTCTTGAATATTACTTTTATATTAATAAATTTAGGATGAAACTACAGAAATGACTTAATATACGATCTTCAAAATTAAATTCAGTGGAAAAGTTCAATGAAAACTAGCTAAAAAAACATGAAGGCAGAGGTTTCAATAGTTTTGTTCGGTCTGTCTATATTCGTGATCTAACTTTCCAATTCAAAGCTAGATAGCGCAAGAAAAATGGAGACGCAGGCCTCTTTTTCTCTCTGTAGTTTCCCCTATTTCCATCGCCTCTGCATCCTCGAGTTATGTTGAAAAAAAAGTCCGCCTATTTTCCTCGAAACAATGACAGTCTTCTCAAAAAGCGAAAAAAAAACTGAAACTCGAGAGCGATTTTCAAAATTCTAAAAACGAAATCGCGAGTTGCAGTAATGCTTATTTTCACAGAAATAATGAGACAAGTTCAAAAAATCTTGAACTTCCGCTTTCCCTTCTCATATTCATGACGAACTACGTGAAACTAACCTAATTTCTCAGGCAACCTACTCTTTTTCTATAAAAAAAAACTAGGCTTTAGTCCCGAAATTCGGCTCATTAGCTTGGAAAACAAAGTGATGAGAGCGTCCCTTTACATGTATGTCCACGAATATTTCTTCTCCTCCAATGAAATCCTAGAAGGGCTTCCCCTATCGATTCATTAAAACACAAGAAGCGTTCCGGGGCATGTCCGTTAAGGAGGGGCGTGGCCAGGAGAATTCATTCATTCGGCAAAAAAAGCTCGACTACTCGGCAAGAGTTCAAGCTTTTCCCCCCATTCGAGGTCAGAAGAACGGCCTAGAATCATACGCTTCCTTGCCCGCCATGCGAATAACCAACAAAACCGAAGCCGAATTTATTCTGGCCATGTCAGACACTTGCAATTCGCCCCATCAGTCCTTTGACAATTATTTCGCCTATTTTCTAGCCTTCTCTAGTATTTTTTCTGCCGCTTCTACCATTTTTATCGTTCTGACGAGGTCTCCTAACTCGATGAAGCTGTACAGATTAATTTTGATTCAGTATTTGATATGGTGAGCTTTTTCAGTGAGTTTGAAGAAAAATAGTTCATTCATGCTTTTATATGATGTTTAAAGGCGCAGGGAGGAGCCAAAAAAACCTTTTTCTGTGCCTTTTAAAAAAATCAAATAAAGCATTTTTGAAACACTTTTATATATAATATGATATGTAGAGATTTTTTTAAAATAAAATAAGTTGAAAACAATAGGATCCAATTAATGAAAAAGAAAAGAAGAATTCCTCAACTTTTAGAGATCAAAGAAAACTTTCTAAAAAACGCTCGATTGGAAATTCCTAATTCAGGACGACCGCCTTCTCATTATCTTTCACATTTATCGGCAAAATCAACTTCTACAGTGATTATATCCTTTTTATACGGGAACCCACGATTGATTGCTTTCCGATCAACCTACAGACATCTTATCTGATTCTTTGGGTTTCTGGAGCCGGTTAGTTTTCCTTTCTCTGTTGGTATAGTCGAATCAGCTTGAAAAATGAGATGAAGTAAGAACAGAGAGTGCAGACAGTTAGGCTTAAATCGTGTCGCTATGAACGGACTATCTTTCAAAATGTTCCTTTCAGCGATGCAAACTTCAATAATATGCCTATTCGAGTGCCGTCACCACGAATTTCTACCAGAAGGACATTGGTTGAAGCTCAAAAATCGGAATCGGATCATTTTCCGCACGTTTTTCTTCGTTTACTATTTCCTGAGCGGCGTTCCGGCCGTCGTCGTCGGCCGGCCGCCGAAGGAGGAATTTCTGAGGGTGAGAATTATTCGATTAGGAAGTCAGCAAGTTAGATGGGAAAATTGAGAAAATGGCATTTAGATTAGAAAAAAGGCGAACATCGGATAGCGTCTTAAGAATGGCTATGGTGGATTGAAAGTGGAGTTCATTTTTTAACTTTTGGTTGGGGATTCTCTGAGAATTGGTCAGAACACTTCTTGATGTACCAGATGAGGATCGTGAAAGTCAACCTGCACGACTTCTTCGTTCTCGAGAAATAAAGGTTCAAAGCCCCAAAACAGCCTATTTCAATGGGTTTTGAGGGTTTTCTTTGAAATTGAGGCGTCATTTCCCGAAAACGAGGAAGTTGTGTAGGTTGTGACTTTGATACTCTTTTTCTGGTACATCAAGAAGCATTCTGTTCAACTTTCAGGAAAATCCCAACAGCAAAGTAAAATGACTTTTCTTGTGAAGGGGTCACTTGGAACTAACTATCGATATTTTTTCACTGATTTTCCGAGTTGTAGTTTATTACATTATTTTTAGAATTTCGGTCACTTGAAAATTTTCTGCGTTGTTCAATAGGAAATTAAGAGTGACATTAAGATTACTAAAAATAATAAAAACAAAATTGTGTCTTAGGAACGGCTGTAGGGGCTACTTAAGCAGTAACTAAAAATGTGAGCTTTTTCTTCCAAAGTTCATTTCTATGTATTAATATGTTCGCTAGAGTTATACCAGCTTTTTTTTCTCAAAAAGCTAAATCACTATAGTGACCACTTGAAGCTTAAATTTCGAAAAACCTCGTTGTTTTCCGTGTTTTTCCCCAAATTCAAAACAATGAAATGAAAAGAGGAAGGTTTTTTTTCTCATTTGAACAAAATGTGCAATAATTGCCGCCATCTGAGGTCCGTCTTATCCGAATTTTTCCCACTAGTCATCATTTTTCCATGAACTTTTATTACTTATTGCTTGAAATGCTATTTTTCTCAGAGATGAAGCCACTTTTTCTGTTGTTAATCTTTGGAACTTTTCAAATGGCCTCTTTCGGAAAAAAATCAAAGAATTTCTCAGAGAACAGAAGGAAATATGTATGGAATGGCTGAGGACTTTAACGTAAATTTTGGAATTTTAAATTTAAATTTAATCGGAAATGTTGTGTTTTAAAAGATCCTACCCTATACTTTCCTCACCTGTAAATATGAAAATATTAATTTTTCAACTTTTTCCGTGCCTTTTCTTAGCTCAATTTTCATAGATACTTCGAAAATGTCGCGTAGCAAACCTAATATGCTGCAAACTGAACCATAGAAAAACCTACAATGAAAAGAAAGCCTTGAATAATTTAAAAAAGATACGGAACTCTGAAAAAAGTCTACGAAGACGCGGAAATCTTTCAAAAAAGGCCAACTTTATATTTTATTCACTATCAAGGTTTTTTTTTAGTGCATACGGCAATCTTGCACTAATTTCGAGCTGAATCAGACAAGTTCCTTTTTTCGGAAGCTACAAGGAAGTTTCCGCTGAAGAAATGAAAATTTTCCCAAATTCATCAAAAACTGCTCGGTTTTGCAACGGGTTTTTTGTTCACGAATTTGTGTTCTCTTGCATTTTTGATCAGCTTTTTGACGAATATTCGCTTCATCCTTGGGCTGAGCACTGAAACAAGTCTTGCCTTCGTTTATACAGTTGCGTCGGGAAAAAAAAAAACGAAAAGTTGTTTTTGTTCACAACTTCCGTAGGGAGCTCATCCTTTCAAAACTTTCTAAAACTACTTTTTTTTTCTGCGAACTGACATTCCACCAGTGGGCTGCAAATAACATTCATCAAAACTCCAGAAAGTTACGAAAATATCAAGAAACTCCTTTTCGTATATTTTTGACGGAACTGTATTTTTCTTAAAGTTCAAAAATGATCTTCTGATTTTTTTTTCCATTCATTTTCATCTCGAAGGAACTCAAAATCTTTGCACGATGTCGCTTTCCGCTGAAAACGTGTTAAGAATGAAGCCCAAAAAAAGTTTCTTTGAAATATGAGAACTTGGGTAAACGAAGTTTTTGCGGCGCTTCAAGTGCGGTCAAAAAAAGAATTATTTTTTTGTCTCAATTTCAGCTTTTTTTGAGGTAATCTAGATAAGAAGGGAGCCTGATAAAAAAATCGAGAAGTTCTTTGTAGTTTAAAAAAATATATGATCAAAAAAAGCTGATCAAAAACAGACGAGAACAATTTTTGAAAAAAACGCGAAAAAAACTTATTTTTTTCCATTAAATTTAGGACTATTATCAACTTTAAAAAAACATTTCAGAGGTGAAAAAAATCCTTATATTTTTTTCGAAAAAAACCTCATTTCTCGACCGCCTCTAGATTACCCTCTGCACTAAAAAGCCTCTACAATGAATAAAATATAAAGTTGGTCTTCTTTTTACGGTTGAAAAAAAATTAACAACAATAAAAAACAATAAAAATCAATAAAACTTAATTTGAAAAGTCAAAATGTTCATTTTTCTTTGGTCCCTTGCTCTTCAGTCCTACCAAATTGAAAATTAAGCTTTCTGATCAAAATCTCAAAAAAAAAAACGTTAAAAGATTCGTCTATTACATAACTTTTTTCTTCTGTTCTCTGAAAAAAGCCTTTTTTCCGCAGAGAGTTGGAAAAGTTTCAAAGATCAAAAACAACAGAACAAGTGGCTTCATCTCAAGTATTTTTCAGAGTAATAAGTAATAGAGATTCGTGAAAACAGGTTGAACTAAATCCAAATGGCGCAGAACAAGTCTGCGCCTAATGAATGAATCTTAAATGGGATAGACCGCCAAAACTGATTTGGCAAAGCTTTCGGACTTTATTCGGGAATCGGAAAAATACAGGAAAACTTTGAGTGACCTTTATAGGTTTATCATTTTCGAGGGGTCATTTTTGAGCACACGAACTAGTGGCCACTTAAAAAAAAACGTTTCTTTTTTCCAATTTGGAAATGAAATAGAAAAAAATCAAAAAGTCTGAATGGCTGTTATAGGGTTTTGAGGTTCAAGTGATCCTTCAAGAGACTCAAAACTAGAACCTTTTCGTAAAAGTGAAAGTCAAAAAAAAGAGCAACTATTTCCATGTTTCTCTGACCTCGGCGGTGAGGGAAAAGAGGGAGAAGACAGGTCAGATTGTTTCTAGTCATGGCGTAAAAAGTAAAAAGCAGTAAAAAAATATTATTTTTTTACAGGATTTTTCCCGAAGAAAGATGCAACGTGGAGCAGAATCGAGTTCTGATGATTTCCCTACAAGGAATGGGCCTGCTCCATATCAACATGATGTCGACTTTGTCCACTTGTGGGGCCGTCATTTCGCTGTTCGTGTGGGACTCTTGCCGAGTCATGCGACGGTACAACTTGCACCTGTCGGAGAATACGAAAAGGCTGCAGAAGGGCTACTTGAAGTCACTGATTATCATGGTTGGTTTTGATCATTTTGATAATTTTGTGGGACTTTTGATAATTGGATCTCGAAATAATAATAAAGTAGCTGGAGATCTCATAGTCTGTTCATTTTTCGAATGTCCAGCGCAATGACTTCATTTAAAATGCCTCTCTGATTGGCTTTTCACTGCATTAGGGGCGGAGCTTGAGAATTAAAAAAATAAACAGAGTATACGCGCCAAACTCCAATTTTTTTCAATAGTAAAAAAATTGAGGGTAACTGTGATTAAAAACCTTCATAAAAAAATTCAATTTTCGGGATAGAAATCTATTTGGCCAGGTTTAAAGAGATTTAAAAGCTCTATTCGTGTTAATGTCTTCGGAATTTTGCAAGCTTAACTTTGGTTTTTTTTTCTTTTTTTTTTTCAGAGCTAAATCCTCGTCATAAACATTTTTTGTATCCTCTTGGAATTTTTTTTGCCTGTTTTCAAAAAAAGGGCACCGATATAAGTCCTCAGATTTCCAAAATTTAGGCTTCTTTATTCGTTTTTCCATGATCCAGTATGCGTTAACCCTCAGAAAAAGTTCTCTAAAGTGCAGATTTATATTTCAAGGAATTTTTTGAAGTCAAACGTTCATAAGTCACTTGATCCTTAATCAGAAGTCCTAAAAGGAATATTGTTCAATTTCTGAATATTTTGAGGAAAACAATCAAGTTTCAACTTTAAACTTTGACAGGGTTTCAATTCAAGTCCAGGAACAAAAAATTTTTTCGACGCAAACGGATTTTCTAGAAAGGTTTTTGAGCCCAAACATAAGCTTCCCCAATAAAATCCTGTTTTTTTCGAGTCTGGATAGTTATTTTATTTGAAGCTTAATTTTAAGGAGAAATTTTCGACTTTTGTATTTTTAAAAAAATTATTCTTCAAGCTTTAGAAAAAGTCTTTCGCTATCGAAGTGATGAAAAAAAAGAGATCTCCGTTCATTTCCGGATGTTTTTAGTGCAAATTCTCGATTTGAACTCTAATTTTCTGATGTGAGAAGAGATGGAACGTCTGGTTCATTCGTCAGAATGAAATATTAATAAGTGGATGAAGTTGATCCCATTCTGAAGCATCAATAAAATTCGATGTGACTCAATTCAAATCGGAAATATTAATTTAATGTGACTCGATTCAAATCGGAAATATAAGTTCATTTTGAAATCATTTTTTCTTGAAGTTTTATCAAAACTTTCTTCAAAAAATTTTCCGGTTTGGTTTAAAAAATGGAAAACATAAAATCCAACCTTCCCATTTTTCAGGTAGTGACCCCTTTAGTGACGCTATTAGGACCAGCCATCGTCCTTATCCCACTCTGCACCATGGCAGATTGCCAAAGTACAGGTAAACCAAAAAAACTAATCTCAAAGAAATAACTGAAAAATTCAAGGAACGATTGCAGACGCTGCCGCCGTGGCCGCATCATTATTTTCGGCATATGGGGTCGTTACTTCCATTTTGATCATTACAATTCACCGTCCATATCGCCGGTTTATATATCGAATCGTTAGGGGGAGAAATTCGATACAAAGTTTGTGGATTCTTAATTTTCCCATTATTCCATGTAAAGTTACAGAAGCTCACTATGAGGCCAACAAATCGACCAATCCTTCGGTTACCTTGAAAGTCACTATTGAAGAATGAAGATGCGGTTATCCAAATGTAACATATCATTTCTTTTTTTCTGGTTCCTGTTCAAATGCGTGTTCATATTTGTTTATTTGTTGATAAATTGTTATGCAATTTTGATTTTTTGTTATAAAAAAATAGGCTGAAAAGTACTTACAATTCCCGCTGGAAAACGTTTATACGGATGCTAGTTCCTTCAATTTCAGTGGAAAGCTGCTTGGCAAATAGGAAAGTAGGCGAAAAATAGCACAAAATTGAACGTCTGAAAGTTTTCGTCAATTTGGGGATATATTTGTCCAAAAAACGTACCGAGATGAAAAAACAGAAGTATCCTTGAGCAAAACAAATGTCCAATTGAAATCAGCACGTCCAATTGAAGAACCAAAGGAATTTTCGTAAAAGGGATGAAAAAATATTTTTTCGTAAATTTCAATCCCAAAGAGTTACGTCGCTGTGTCTGCAGAACCGGACAAAACCCTACACATCAAAAATTGAATTTTGGAAGCTTTCCTTTTTTCGCTTCTTTTTGTTATTATTTTTTTCGTTCATTTCTATTATATATATATATATCAAATGGATGAGAATCTTTGAATTTATCTTTTTCACAACTACTCGTTTCGTTTTTGATCACCTTTTTTTCACAAATTTGTTTTTCAGGTTTGAATTAGCATATATTTTCATATGTTATAACATGTTACCCTGTCTGACAATCACGCGGAAAAAAGTTTTCTGTTCAATTGGCTATAATGAGCAAAACAACCAAGCTCTTCCACGCAACAATAATGCTGACGAGATATGAATCATCCTGAAGTTAGACTTATCTTTTTCGGGGTTTTTTTTCTGAAATGTCTTCGGAATTTTTCGGCTCCTCAGTATGAAAATAATAAAACTTAGTTTGTCGAACTTACGGATGTGAGTTTTCAGAGCCTTAATTCTGTCTTGAATTTCGGTTAATACAATCATTTTTTTGGACTCTTGTTCGCTCCAAGAATAAAGAATCGTTTACCAGGAAAAATTTATTAAATTTTTTTAGTCGTTGAGAGATTTTCGGGCTCCAATGCTAATATCCATAATTCAATTTAATACTCTTTTTGGTTAGAGTATTCTTCGTCTTTTGAGGGCGAAACGGGGTCCAAAAAGCTCAAAAAAACTTGACTTTCGTGATTTGAATGATTCATTATTGGCTGAAACTCGGAATTATTCAAGTTTCAAGGTCGCCAAGGCTCAATTTCAATGGTCTAGACGGCGTATCATTGAGGACAGAAAAAGCAAAGAAAATAGTAATTATTCATAAATTAAAAGGTCATCTTCTTTAGTAACGTCTTTTTTTAAGGTGCCGAGGTGACCAAAAATATAACGGATTTTTAAAGCAACGAAAGTCATCCATGACCTAAAAAAAAGAATCAAAATGGCTTTTCGCCACGAGACCTTTATTGGAATCATTCATGCTCCTCTAAACAGCTCATCAAACAAATCCGCATTTTCTCAAACCAAAAACTTTTTGATGTAAAGATTTTCCTCTAAAAATGTCTTCAATAATTCTGAATAAGTCAGTAACTTCTGCAGACTTTTTTCACAGTGGCATGAACGGCCAAAAATGTCAATTTATTATGTACGACCTAATATCGAAGAGAGAATAAGGAGTAGAAAGTTATAATTCATTTATGAGATAAAAGGTCAGCCAGAGTATAGTTTGTTTCTTGACTTGTTAGGGATTTCATTTTTCAACTTTTTCAAAAAGCTATCTTCCATGACAGAGAACTTCACTCTAACAGCGGTGAACTCAAAAAAGGGAAAAAAACAAGAATTTTGTTATTTTTCGTACTTTTTTTCAGGAATTATATAACTCCCTCATTTTTTTTTATAAAAGTGAAAGTTTTCATGCTTCTCGAAGTAGGACTGCGGAAATCGCATAAAATTGCCAAAAAATTCAAGAAATACCTGCGCATTTCCTTTTTTTTCCACCTCACGTGTCAGTTACTGGATAATCCGGTGGCGTGATCTGAGGTCCAAGGAAATTGGCCTCACTTGGTCGGAAGTAATTTTCTTAGAATCTGTCAAAAAAATAATAAAAAAATTTGGTTTTTTTGTGAAAAAAAGTATAAAAAAACCAATTTTTTTGATTTTATGAGCATGAATTCGAACGAAACAAGAAAGAAATGTGAAAAAAATTTAGAGGGAGATTCGAAAATTTGGAATAAATCTTGATAAAAAAACTTTTTATCAAATGAGACTTTTTCCTGGTGATTGGAGCCGAAAGAGGGTTGGATATTTTTTTAAAAAAACACAACTCAGGGTAGTAAAAAAAGAAAAAAAAGATCTTTCAACAATTTTTGTAGCCCAAAAATGGCTATTTACTAAGACGACTTTTTTTCACAGTTCAAAAGAAAATAAATTGAAAATATTTATTTACAAAATCAACAAAAAAAAAAATCAAAAAAGCGACAATCTTGGCAATGAATTGGTCCTCACGGTGCTGGTTTTCTGAAGAAAATGATTATTTTGAAGCTTTGAAGTTGAAATTCGAACCTTTTCCACTTGCTTGAAACAACCGAAAACAAATCCGCGATAATCTTTGATTTGGAATATCAGAATGGAAACGTTGAATATTGGGAAAGTCGGTAGGGTGATTGATATAATGATAGGCAGAACTGATCCGATATCTAGGCCTAGTAGAGCCGCGGCGAGGTCGCAGAAAGTCGGAAAAACGCAGAAAAGAGCCGGGGCAATACATTGGATCAGAAGCATCCGGAATATGTTCGCGTAGTGTTTTTGTCGGGTTCCGGTTATCATATCGGATCTGATCTTCAGAAGAATTCGGTTGGCTGCTGCGGCTGTCACTGCGCCCACTAGGAATAGTATTACGAACATTTCCACGATCAGGAAGGAGGATAACGGGGTGAAGTACTGGAAAATGGAGTTTTGTTGGAGATAAGAGATCTCGCTAATTTAGGTCATAGACACGAAAAAAAACAGTTTGTCGGCTACTTCAAAATCCACAGATAATATTCATAAAGGTCTCATGACGAATAAGCGTTTTCAGTGTTATTCTTGGTCTTTCAATGCTTATGCGATTTCAAGAAGAATTTTGAAGAGAATGAAAGATTTGGTCGCATTAAGAATGGCTCAACGCGTCGCGGTCGCGTTGCGTTTTTTTCGGATCTTTTTCGAAGATAGCCTCAAACTGTTGTATTTTGACCAAGTTTTGCGTTGGTTTACTAGTTAATTTCCACATCTAAAACCGAAATGTCCACTAATCACCTGATTCGAGATCGCCAAAATCGCCCGCTCCCTCAGAAATTCTTGATTCGGGTTCAAAGTTTCTGCGAGTCCCTTGTCAATATTCTCTTGAGGACAGAAACAAAGATAAATAATCACGTTCCAATTCAACAAAATGTAGAAACTAGCGATAATTGAGGAGGTGTAGAAGGTTTTGGCTTTGGCCATCAGGACGTTGGGTCTGGAAGAAAAATATTAACAGAAGAAAACAATTTTGCTGCAGAGTAAAACATTTAAAAAAAAAAGCGTTTTTGAATGAAAAATCTGTCCAATATCTCAATTATGAGTGAGAAAAAATTCATGGCAGATTTTTGAAAAACCATTCTGATAGCTTTTTTTAATTGAGAATTTGTTGAGATATTCGGAAAAAAACTTTAAATTTCGGTGGAATGAAGAAAAAAATAAGTAGAAAGCTCAGAAGGATTATGACACATTAGGTTCAATTCTCACGTTGAATTTTTTTTTCAAGAGTCAGGTTTTTTTTTCTTACAAAAGCTTTGAATCCATTTTTCTCAAAATGAAAAATTCAAGATTCCTAAATTTATGTTGAGTTGAACCGTTAGAATTGCCATGAAAAGAAAAGAAAAAAACCTGCAAATGTAGAAATATTGAACCACGAAAGAATAGCAGACGAGCATCATAGCTGATGAATGGAGACAAGCGTTGAGAATGGTGAAAAATGAAGATTTCGCGACAAAATCAAAGGGTCCGACCGAGAACATGATCATCTCGCCTTTGCTCACTCGGCAGTACTGAAAAACAATTTTCATGAAATTTTATCGATTTTTGAAAGTGCATGGGATGGCTCAACGCGTTGCGGCCGTTGTTTTTCAACTTTGTAGCTTCCTTAAGTTTGCAGCCGACTTTCCTGAGAGCTGAAAGATGCCGCCACGCGCAAGGAGTTTCTGCTCGGGTGCAAAGGTAATTCCAGCGGGTTGAGTCGTTCATATCAAGTGTTGAAGGTGCGTGGAATGGCTCATAGTCTCGAGGCCTTTATTATTCCATATTTTTATTCTCAAGCTGCGCGACCCTCTTGAGCGCTATGAGACGCCGCCACGCGCAAGTATTTTCTGTTCGGGTGCAAAGATAACCGCAACACGTTGAGCCATTTTTGTGAGGTAACAAAAATTACCGGCACTATCAGACCAACGACGGTACTGTAGCCTTGTCCAATGACCGCATGTAGAATAATTATGTGCTTGTAACTGCGGAAAGTGGCCGTTTTCACGCTGAAAATTAGTAATTTTAATTATATTTCTGGGTTAAGTTGAATTGAGATACTGAAGAAAGCGATTTTTTTATAGCTTGAGAGTTTCGATTCTCGCTTTTAGTTGAATTTTTTTAATTTACAAGCTTATTCTCAACCCGAATATACAATTTATGGGTTCGAAATTTCGCAAACAAAAAAAAATAAGAGAAATTTTCCATAAAAGTCATTGAAAGACGGGTATCTAAAAATCATCCTTTACCCGTTTTTTTCACCTTTTTTTAAATTTATGGACTTTTTGGCTAATCCTAATGATATATCGTTGAATGAATTTAAAAAGACGACGATAAACGAACAAAAAAAACAAAGTAAAACTAAAAAAACAAACCAAAGAGCGACGAAAAGCAGAATAGTGCTCCAAATAAAGCCCACAGTCGCAATACCAATGACAATATTTTTAAGGATTTTTATCGAATCTTTGCTTTCCAAAGAGTTCTCCATAATGACTCGGAGTAACTAGATAATAGTCGTGAGGCGAAATTATGAGGCGTTTTCCTCTGCAGTGGTTTTTTCAGTTCTTTATCTTTCCGGGGTCGTGAGATAATTCCAAGCAGCACGTGGAGTGTGGGAAAGTGTTCGAGGTTCTTGGATTGATAATCTCAGGAGAAAAGCCGCGTGGACTTCAGATTTTGAACAAGCCTTTTTTATTAATAGGCCAAAGTAGAGAAAACGGGTGCGAAAATAACTCTGTGCTCCCAAATTTAGGAGAATAACAAATCAGTTATGACGAAGGGTTCAACAATCACCATAAAATTTGAAAAAGAAAAAAATTTAAATTGAGTTTTCAAATCACATAGGATAGCACAGGATGTCGTGATTTTCCAACTTTGGCTGCACCCGACCTTGAGCGACTTTGTCTATTTGCTAAAGAAGGCAATCGGGCGAAAGTAGTTTCTGGTCGGGAGCGTATGGCTTATGGCCCAATATTAGATCAAAAATTCAATGACGAAGCGTCGAATGGTCTCACTAGGGAACTACTCGGGCTCGGGTACGGGTTTCGAGTTCAAACTTTAGTGGATTATAGACCCAAGTCAGAATACTTGAAAACAAGTTAGAATATCTGCTAAACGCAATAGAGAACTGAGAAAAAATTAGTAGAAAATGTGAAAATTAGACCTGAAAATTTTCAGAACACTGCTTTTTACCTTATTTTGTATTTTAATACAATCGCCTTGAATGATCCGGCGATGATAAATTTAAAAAAAAACTTTTTTCCAGCCAAAATCAGATATTGATCGATTAGAATCGGTCCAGAGGCGTTTCACCAAGCGCCTTTTCCCAAGAATGGAATATAATGAACGGTTAAAACGTTTAGGTCTTCAACCTCTTTGGTTTAGGCGTTTAGTTAAGGATCTGGTGTTATCACATCAGTTTTTGCATAAAAAGTGCTGGTCAGACTTTCCCATCCAGGTACATAACATCTTTGACCGTCCCAGTCAGCTCAGAGGAAATGGTTTTAAATTAATAAAAACGAAACCTTCTCTGGTTTTCTTCAATTTCTTATCACATCGCATTACTAATGTTTGGAATGACATTGAACATGAATTATTGGCAGAGGAAGACAAGAAAAAATTTAAGGACATGTTTTTAGTGTATGCAGAAGATGTTGGCGTCGAGCATATTCTTTCAAGTGTGCACAGATTTTTGCCATAATCAACTTGGTTTTAAATATCTACTTATTATGGTTCTATGTTTCTTTTCTTACACAAAAAGAACTTTTTTTTTTCTTCACAGGTGGGGTTAGTTAATCCACCTAGTGGTCTTTTTCCCTCCCTGCAACATCACTATACCATCCCGATGTTGCGAAAAATAAACAAATTGAAAATGAAATGAAATTGAAAAAGAAGGAGAAAGCAAAAATTTTATAATTTTCAAGCCTAAACTGTTCATTTTCAAAAAGCTTTTTCTCAGAAGCCTATGGGGTTTAGCAGATAATCTCTCTTGTTTCCAAGTACTCTTACCCGGGTCTATAAGCCACCAAAGTTTCAACTCGAAACGCGTACCCGAGTCCGAGTAGTTCCCTAGTCAGACTTTGAAAAAATGGTCAAGTTTGCCAAAGCAATCTGGGCTTAGCGACTGTGAACTTGTCTATCGTTCAGAGGGTGGCGAGTTCGATTCCTCTCGAGGATATTTTCTTTTTGATCGCCTTTTTTGTTATTATAAACACTCGATGATAGTTTTAAGATATTCAAAGTCCAAAGTAAAGAAAACGGGTGCACTGAAAACTTCGTGCTCACTAATTTATTTCAATTGGATCAATTAGAAAAACGACATTTCAATGATGACGCAGAGTCCAATGGAGACATTAGATTCTGATTCTAGTGAAAAAAATTTTTGAAAAAAAAGCTTTAAAAAAAATCTTCCTGGAGATGGAGGTCGACAAATGCCTTTTTTTATCAAGTTGGAAAAAAATTCTTGAAAAAAATTTTTTTATAAATTTCTAGATTAAAATAACTTTAATATTCATTCATTTTGTAACAAAATTCGAAAAAAATCAGTCAGATTAATTCATGAAAAAAATAATCATCAAATTAATAATTTTGATGCTCTTCCCTATGCTTCAGGAAGGTTTTTCTTCCAACAATATTTTTTTCTGAGCCGAAAAAGCTAAAAAAAAACCCAATATTTATTCCCAAACACAACAAATACACATATAGTCATCAAAACCACGGTTAAATCAAGGACGCTTTTGAGACGGCATTAGTTGAAGCGACATAGACCGTATTGGTGGCTGGGTCGATGACGACTTGGCTTTTCTCGTCTTCCGGTACCTCTACTCCCAGTTTCGCCCATCTCGGCTTCGTCAAAGCGTCGACCAAGGCGAAGGTCTTGCCATCATAGAGGCTTCCAGTCATTCCTGGAATTATTTATGATTATAAAAAAGGTTGAATTTTGTTTCATCTAAACGCGCATGGCTAGTAAAGAGTTTCGATGTACTTCAGAATAAAAAGCTAGAAAGAAAAAACAGCCATTTTATTGCTTCTGAGGTTCGAAAATCATTGGAAAAGCAAAAAAAGAAGCTTAGATTGGATTTTTGTAATGTTTCAATAGTTTTGACGCACCTCTCTTTCTTCATATATAGGCACATTTGAACTCCAAGGTTTTCGCAAACTGTTTCAAAAAAGTGAAAAAGGTTCGTTCAGGTCGCATTTTCACGTCCTTTTTTTTTACCCTATACTAATTTTTCCTCAATTTCTACCTTTTTCAACCTTTTTTGATTCTTTGAGCAAAAATTGAAGGCCACAAAACGGGATCCTTCCAAATGTTTTTTTGTAGTACTTTCAATTTTTAGATATTTTCCGACACTTCCAAATTTGTCAAAATAAAAGCCAAGTGCGCTTTGACAATAGAAAATAATGAATAAAATACGACAAGAATCACCTTGACGGATACTTCCCACGGCGTGTATCCAATCGCCGTTCGAAAGAAGAGCGTGAGCCTTGGCTCCGATGGCGCAAAAGTTCGGACTGTCGCAGTCCAGTTCAACCTGAATTTTCCAAAAATATTCGAGGAAAATCTCATTTTGAGGCGTTTTCTATGAAATGAAACCTACTTGGAATTCACTCACTTCCAAATTTTTCCACTTCAAGTCCTACTGTAGAAAAATTCACAGGTCACAATGTTTTCACTAATTTCCAAGGCTTAAATAATGGGAAATTGAATTATTTCCTACCTTAAACTTTATAGAAACAAGAAAAAATCTAAGATCACCTCAACATTCTTCGAGCTCTTCTCTTTGAGATCAACGATGAGGAGGAATCCGTTTTGCCACATGAAGCCGCAGCCGTGGACACCGTAAGAAATGACGACTTTGTCTTCGATTACCGCTGCCGACAGGGCTTTTCCTCGCTGAAATACCATTGTTTTTTAAAACCTGGAAAAAATTGAAAACTTCTAGCTAAAAAGGTTAATAGTCCGTTCACCGCTGACTTGAGACAATATTCAAAGAAACCCTAACACAATTGGCGAAATAGTGTGATAAATGAGAGGTTTAGAGATCTTCGTAGCAATTTTCGACTCGAACTATTTTGAAATGACATTAAAATTTTAGAATCAGAAAAAAAAAGTTTTCGTTCTGACGTCACTTGAAAATCTAATGACGTCATGATTCAATTTTATAGTTACTGGTGACGTCAGAAACTTTCCTAACAAAATTAAAAATCATCAGGTTTTTGAATACCTGATGATGAATATTCCCCTTGATTCATGACGTCACTCGTTTTGGAAAAAATGACGTCATAAAAACAAGGAAGTTTTTTTTTTCACAATCAAGGAAAATTTCAAGGCGTCATTGATTTATTATGACGTCATCGGATAATTTCAAAATGATGACGTCATGAAATATCTGACGGATTTCATCATCGAGAAAATGTTTGACGTCACTTATTCATCACTATGATGTCACCAAATTGAAAATGACGTCACTTTTTCTAAAAAAAGTTTTATGCTAGTAAAAAAATCCTTTTTCTGGAGTTATAAATCTCTCTCCAGAAGTGGAAAATTAGCGAATTCTCACTTTTTAATGGAAGAATTTTTTGAGAACAAAAAAAAAGCCAAACCATGCGATTGACTTCCTCCGGAACAGTATGGACGAATTCAGCCTTGGCGCCGTCCTTCTGAATGTCGAAGGTGTAGACGTGGTTCTGGGAGCTGACGATGACCCGCTTGCCATCAGAAGTGCTGCCGTCGGCGACGATGAAGCACAGGCGCTCTTGGGGATGCGACTCAGCGGGCGGAGCCTTCAAACAAAAAAGTTAAAATATGTGTTCGAGCTTTTTTTTTTGAAGAAACACTGAATCATTTGAAAAATCTTCAGCTTTCCACAAGGAGAAAGTGTGCTCCACTGATAAATATTACCCTTCAGTGTCATTTAAAAGTACTATACTACAATATTTTTGTATTCCTGATCAGCCAGTTTTTGAGCTGATGGTCAGACTTTCATTTGAAACAGTGTGGCCGCATTGAGAATGACTCGAAGCGTCGCGGTCGGGTTTCTAATGCTGTTAGCAGCTTCTTAGCGCAAGTCGGTTTGAGTCGGTTGCAAAAAGCACCTACTTCGAGTCTTTTTTCGTGACAGTTTCAATACTATTCTCAAAGTTTTTTTTTTTCAAATTTGCATAGGAACGCTTCAAGAAATGAATTTTCATTCTATCTTTCCCTTTTTCATAGCCTTTACTGAATTTATTCTTGATGAATTGTGATGGAAACCAACCTCTAAGGGAACTTCCTCGAAACCGTCTCCACTCCATCGGAAGAGCTTCTGCAGCTTCAGATCGTCGAAGTTCGTGAACAGAAGCGCATAGGCCTTTCCATCATGAACGAACAAATGTTCCTCAATATTCTCGTCCTCATTCAACGCTGGGAACTGAAAGAATGTCACTTCCAAGGTTGAAAAAAAAAGAGAGAAACCTCAATTCTTCGCCACTCCTTGGTTTCCAAGTTGAACGAGAGGACATAACTCCCTTTATGGAAAACGTGATGGCCAAAGTTATGAGTTGGCTGTGGGGCGTCTGCGAACAAACCAGTATTTTAATTGAAAACGGTTCAGAAAATTTTAACAACTAGCCGTGTTTAAAAACCGTCAGAAATTTTCAAAAATCGTCGAAAAATGAGTTCTTCCTCGACGTTACTGACTGTCGCTAGCGTGGCTAGCGTTTTCGTCGTTTTTGGATGTATTTTCTCGGTTGGGCTGATACTCCACGATATCAACACCTTCTACGATGAGAAGATGCAGGAGATCGATCAGTTCAAGGTTAATTTTTTCTTCAGAAATTTCTAGAAGCTTCCCTTCAAATTATAAAAAAAATATTTAAAACTATACAACTGATTTCTTTTTATGTTGTTCCGATTCACGGACAGATTCACAAAAGTTACAGATTTCGCCGAAATTTAGAAGATATCAGAAATCTTACAACCAATTGCTGTTCTTCTAGTCGACTTTCATCAAATGAACTATTTTCCTAGGAGATCGAGCAACACGCCTGGGAGAGCATGATCTCAGTTCCTCGAGGCTCCGACGAAGTCAGAACCCTCTTCATCGGCCGAAACAAACGTCAGGCTCAATGCAACTGCGGCGAGGTCGGTACAGGATGTCCAGACGGACCGCCAGGACCTCCAGGACATCCCGGAAGCCCCGGCGAGCCTGGACAACCGGGTCAACCTGGTCATTCTGGCAACACTCACTACGTCGACAACGAGCTCAGCGGCGGAAATGGATGCATTTCTTGTCCAGCAGGACCAAGAGGACCAGCAGGTCCGCCTGGAAACGCCGGTCCGCCTGGACCCAACGGTCAGCCTGGAGCCTCTTCTTACGGCGGTGGACAAGGACCCCCAGGACCTCCCGGTCCCAGTGGAAATGCTGGTCAGCCAGGAAGACCAGGACGAGCTGGACAACCTGGAAGACCTGGAAGATCAGGTCAGAGGTCGAGATCTAGACCGGGAGCTCCAGGATCTCCTGGACGACCAGGAACACCAGGTCAGCCAGGACAGCCTGGCAGAAGCGGTGGTTTCGGAAACGTTGGTCCTGCTGGACGTCCCGGTCAGGATGGAAGGCCAGGCCGTGCTGGAAATCCAGGAAGGCCTGGTCAGCCAGGAAAGAAGGGACTTCCTGGCGGTGATGCAGGTGAGCTTTTCTATCTTTTAATTGACTTTTTCCAGCCAAGCGTAATTTAAATTTTCGAACTGATGAAATAGGAAAAATGGAGTTTCAGTAAGTCCAAATCATCAGGAGTCGAGTTATATCGACTTTGTTGACTTTAGATCAAATTTAGTACAATTAAAGGTGATTTCACAGGTTTTCAGAAAGCTTGGTAAAATCTACAAGGCAATACCAATTTTTAAATCATAACTTATTGAAACTCAAGCAAATTACGTTTGACTTTGAAATGGCTAGAACCAGTTAGAACCTTGAAATACCAATTTCAAGTTTGGAAAAATTTGCTCCGGCCAAAGTTCAACGAGTAGGTTCAGAAAAAAAAATGATTTCATTCAATTTTTCGAAAAAGCAGAACTGAAGATAACATTTTTCAGCCTACTGTCCTTGCCCCGCCAGAAACGGCGGATCTTATCAGCGCAACCGAAATAATTACGGTAACCGAGGTTGAAAAGATAAACGATTTGAGAATAAATAGTTTGATGAATAAATCCCACATTTCTACACCTAAACGCCTTCAAAATCACACGAAGAACTCACAAGCAAGGCTGAAGAGCAGGATTTCTGTTCCAGTGAAAATTGAAGTATAGTATTCGTTTTGGTTATCGGCTCTCAACGAACCGAACCCTTCGCCAACCTTCTCCAAAGACATTCTTGCTATTCTGAAGTCAAAACGTTTGGAAAATGAACGTTTCGTGGTGTTTTATGAGAAGAAATGAAAGGAGAAACTGAACGTGAAAAAAAGAATTTGAAACATTTTTTTCATAATTTTTTTCAAGAGGTGGAGAAGAGAATGAAGTGAAAAATATTGAGAATATAATGGAAATCGATAAAAAAAAAAATCAAGATTGAAAATGTATGAATGAGGAAAGATCACGAAAGGGGGAAATACGAATTTTTCAAAAAAATCGAAAATCTATTTACTTTGTTCATCCTTCTTTCTCTCGAAAAAAACACGAATTTTTTTCAATAACTTGGGATCATTGTTCTTTGAATTTTTTTCTAACGATATTTATGATAAAAAAACTTTATGAAACGCCTCTAATTGAAATAGATTGATTAAAATTTGATAAAAAAAGATAATTTTTTTCAGTAAGAAACACGAATTTTGTTGAAGATAGCATGGCAAGGCCATTCAAAAACTTTTTTAAAAAAACTTTTTGAAATAGTAAAGTTGGGATATTGTCAAGCTATTGAAGATCGAAAAAAGCAATCTGAAGGAACAGAAAAATATAAACCTTTAATAAAACTTCAAAGATTAAAAAAAGATTATCACTTGAATGCCGTAAAAAAATGCTACTAAAAACAATTTTGCAAAAATTTAGTCATCTAGATTCTAGAAGTTTAAAAAAATGGAAAAATCATAAAAAAATCAATTTGAAATGTCTAAAATTGACTTGTTGAAAAAAATTTTTTTAGAATGAGAAGAGCTATTAAATATTTTGATGTTTGAAAAATTGGCATTAGAACACACTTATCATGTTAAAAACAGAAATTCAGAAAGCATTATTTCCAGTTAAAATTTAAGAAAAATCAGAAGAAACGGCAAAAGACAACACGAAGTTCACAAAAAGCAGCAAAATATGAGAAAAGAGATAAAAACTACGAAGAGTTCACGCTATGAAATATGGGAAAGAAATTGAAATAGACAGAAAGAAGTACTCAAAAAGCAGCAGAAAACAAGAAAAAAGCAAGGCGGCCAACAATTTTTCCTTTATATGCTCTCCGGTCGATCGATTTCGTAACAACAACAAGAAAAGGGAAGTGGAAAGAGCGAGAATCGGTGGAATGACTCATGGGGAACAAATAAACTTGTTCCCAGCCTCGACATATATATTTTTGTTGAAAACTCATGAATATTCACCTTAAAAAGACAAGATTGAAGGGAAAACGCGAAAAAACAGGTTTCGAAAGAGGAAGTTTGTGGGGGTGAGAATAAAAAGACCAAGGCCGGAAAGGCGAGAGAGCGACGACCGATAGAGAGTCCAGAGCGTTAGTGTAAACTAACCGGAGGGATCAATTTTGACCACATGGATGGTCAAAAATCGAGAAAAAAAATAAGACGGAAGTAGCTACTTAAGGAGTTTCTAGAAGTTATCAAGACACAAAAAAGGGTTCAGAGAAATGTTGCGAACCGCTTGAAAAAAAAAAAATCAAAGAATAGACTTGCTTGGCTACTTAAGGGGCCTTTTTAGTGAATTTCCTGATAAAAACCGTTGAAACTCGAAAAAGTTGAATTTTACGCTCTTTTAATAAGTTTAAACGGGTGAGTTAGAAAGGCCGTTTTCAACGGAGAAAACGCGCTCTACCGAGAATTCATTAGTTTGAATTTTCATTTGCTTTTTTTTCAATTTTAGCTTTTTTTTTTCTTTTTCCATTTGTCAATTTTGCTTATCTTCAACCCTCAGAAATGATTTTTTCAACAATTTTTTTTTTCGAAATCTATCAGAAACTCATTTTGTTGAAGATTTCACATGTAAAGATTAACAGTTCATTTATTTAGGATTCTAATAGATTTACAAGTTATCCCCGTTTCTCACAATTTTCTCGACCATTGAAACAAGACGTTGAATGGATTCTTCTATCCTTTGAGCGATTTGCAAAGTTGAAACTCTGAAAAAAAAAATCCATTTTTTTAATTTTATAATCGCTACAATTTGAAACAGTCTGACCTGTCTGCGCCCTCTTTTCTCTCATCGATAAGGTCGTAAGAAATAGCACGTAAAAAGAGAGGAAATAGACTTTTAAAGACAGACTTTTAAAACCAAAAAAACTCACGAATCAAGCTCATCTTGTACCATTTCCAGGCAATCAACGCCAATATTTTTCAAAATCTTCCTAATTTTTATGGTAAATTTGTTCGTAGTGTAGAGGTAGCCATTGACGTTCTCAATCAGCAGTTGAGCCTGCAAAGTTGTTTTTTTCATCTCAAAGATGCCAAAAAAATGTAAACCTTCTGGTGCAGATCTCCCAAGTCGGGTGCATTTGAGTCGATTTTTCTCAGGTCTCTCGTCTTTTTCGTCAATTTTTCATAGTTTTTCCGGTCGTTTCGAGCTTTCCGGGCGATTAGGCATGGCTAAAATGTACCAAATTTCAATCTTATGATCTTCGCGAAGAAACTACCTCCCTGACGTCTCGGCGAATCGTCGACTTCACCTCCAGAAGTCGAGCTCGCAGAGGGAGGGCGACGTACTGAAAACGGTTCTTATCTAGATTCTTTGTTGATTTTTTTAACTTTTTTGAAATTGTCTGAATTTCGGTAACTTTTTTTTGTCCGGTCCAGTTCATTTTCGCAATGAGCTCTCATATGAAAAAGGATTATACGTCGTTGTATCAACGACATTATTTCTCTTCATAAAATAATTTGCGGCTCTGACCATTTTCTCAATCGCAATGACTTCTTCACTATTTCTCCTTTACAGAGGAATCCACTTCGACTTCGCACTTCCGTTCAGTTTTCTAAAGATTTTTTTTCCAAAACTATTCCATTATGGAATAAACTTACCTCTAGAATAAATTTTAACGTCTATACGGATGCGCTACGGGTTAAACTTAATGATCTCCCTAACTCTGCCTTTTTCGAATCCATTCCTTCCCGTTTGCTCTGACTCCCTTTCTATCCCCGGGTCATAGTCTACTCGTTAAGGTGGACTAATTCCCGTTTTGGTTATTCTGCTGCTTTCGTATTCTGAACTATTTTATCTATTATTTTCTAACAGTATGCAGTGAATAAACCTATGATTATTAGAAGGTTCCATTTTTTGACAAGTCACTTCCAAGCTTAAAAGTTTTGAGGCTATTGTTGGAGCTTAACGCTTATAATACGTCGAATTGAAACTATTCTGTACATTTCAAGTTTCATTACGTTATAGGGGTCATGTTCAAAGGTATCCCATCTAAAAAGTTCCACAACCTTGCCTCTTGTTCCATATCTTCCTTGAGGTGCTATATTTTTCTCGAATTTTCTCTTTCCTTCAGGAAGGGAATGATTCAGTCCTTACTTACTTCTAAATTTATTAAACCTCACCTCGTTCTAGTGTTTTTTTAAAGTTAAAATGATTTTGAAAGTGTTCAACACTTTCCGTTTCCTTTCCTAGACGGGTAAATTCGCTCGTAAGGGCTTATTAAAACCGATATCCTTTTCACACTCTAATATAATTCTTGCTCAAGCTATGTCGCTTTAACTGTATTTCATGTTGTATTATGTATCCGAGTGAAATGAATATTCAAAACGGAAAAAACCGAATACGACAATAATAAAATTGAAATCGGACCCGAAAAAGGCAAAAGGCGACCGGAGGTCTGAAGGTATTGGGGAGGCTGCGAGAGAGTGACGACTCACAGGCGCGGTCCGGCCACTACACCGCGCGGAAGCTTTTGCCTGCTGCCTCTCGGCCCTGAGCCGTACGCCTCTCCTTATGACGCCCAGGACCCTCCGACCTCCGTCGGTTGGCCCTTGGCGACGCGGCGTTTGGCGCGGACGCCCGGTCGCCGTCGCCAGCAACTCTCGCAGGACTCCTCCCCTCACTTCATCCACTCCGGTCTACCGCCTAGAAGCTGGCTTACAGGCGCCCGCCACGGCGCCCGGTGTTTTTGCCATTTTCGTCGTGCTATACACGCGTTCGGGCGAGGTGAGAGAGCGCGCGCGTGCGCGGAGACACTGAGAAAAAGAGGGAATTTGGCTTGGGATGCGATTACGTGAAGGCGTTAAAAGAGGGAACTGTTCAAGGTATCACTAGAGGGTACTCAAAAATCTAGAAACTTGCTTTTTAATAAACTTTTAAGTTCTTTGAGAATCAAGCTCAGAAAATAAACCATAAAAATCCAGATTTGGACTTTCCGAAAAGAGCTTCGAAATCGCTTTATAAAGAAACCAATATCCTCTTTCATGATTTTTCTGAAATACTTACCAGAGACAAAAAAAGCCACCAACCTCTTTTCCGTTCCAAATCAACTGCCTAGCGGGCGGAACATCGAATCGGTACCATTTCCCAACGTTTCTTTTTGTTTTGTCAACAATTTCGATCAAGGAATCCTTGTCCAATCGGAGTTCACAGTGGGGACAAGTTCCCTCGTTGATGATTTGATAAAGATAAGGAATAACACGGATCATCTTCCCGTAGAACTTCATTTTCTGTGATATGACTACCTAAAATCCTCTATCATTTTTCTTTTCTTTTCAGAAAACTGACTTGATAAGTAGCATGGGAGCATGGACAAAAAACCTCCAGAAGATTTTCCATTTCACCAGACCCTTGCGAATGTTCGACGGCAACTTGAAGAAAACTATTGATATATATAGGGACCGCAAAGCCACGCCCCTTTTCGCGATAGAAAAAGTGGCTTTTTTTTGGTTTTCAACTTTCATTTTGTTGTAGTTGTAAAATATGTGGAACTGGCGAATAAAATTTGACACACATGTACAGAAAAAGCTTCCTCTTTCGTTTAAAAAAATATTTCACGCTTTTTTTGATGCGTTCTCGCGGAATGTCGTACAAAAAAACGTGAATGGAACTAAAAAAATTTTGTCGTTTTTTTGCTTTTTTTCATGTGTTTTTTTAGGTCGAACGCACTCTTTCTTTTTTTAAATAATGATTTTTGATTCAAGTAACGGTAATTTTAAAACAATAAAAATAAAAAAATTCGTCTTTGCCAAAAAAATTTTTAGGGAGCGCCGAAAGTCATAATTCAAAAATATCGTTAATAAGCGAATATAATCGAGTTTTTTTGTTTTTTTCAAAATTTAGACCATGGTCTTACTTAAATTTTTTTCTCCACAGCACCTGTGCTTGAAAAAAAGTTGTTTAATACGCAAAAAAATGCTCTTGAAACTAGAGAAAAAAATTAGCGGCGTTTATCACACAGAAAGCGGTCGAACGCAGGTTTTTTTCAAACGATTATATACATTTATTAGTAAAAAAATCTTTCAATTAAAAAGAATAAAATAAAAAAATTCGTCTTTGCCAAAAAAATTTACGGGGCCGTTTTTAATGCAGCGATCGTTAAACGAGGCAAAAAAAGCACTAAAAAAACAGTTTTTTTCGAAGTGAATTTCCACGAAACGTTTGAGTAAAGATTTGCGAACATATTCTGATAAAAAAAATAGCTAAATTACTTCAAGTTTTTTTATTTTTTTGAAATAGGCAATCTGTGCTATTCAAACGGCTCAAAGGGTATGGGGGATGGAAGCTCCCCGCGTTGGACCTAACAGCTTGGCGCAACGCGTGCGCTCCGATTTTACATTTTGAGGTCGCGAGTTCGATGCCCGCAAGCTCCAGTTTTTTGTTTTCTGGAAAATACCGACTTTTTCGGCAAACTAGCTGATTAGCATCATTTCAGCACTCTATTATGATTTGTTACATCATAATAGACCAGTATCAAAACTTGTTCTAGAAGAAAAAAATCGAGAAAAAAATGTCAAAAAAATGGAAATACCAAATTTTCAGTACTAAAAAAACATGGTGCGCGGCGCGCCACCTTTTCCGTCATAACTTTTTTTCATCCTCAATCTTTTTTTGAAAAAAAACTAAACGGTTCTGAGTTTTTGAATCGAAACAGCTATCGAACCATACAAAGCTCAATGCTGAAAAAAAAATTTTTTTGAAAATTCGTCTGCGGTCCCTAGATATATATATATATATATAAACAAACATTGTAAATCCCATTTAGGTTTCCAAATCAAATATTGTTGACAGTTCATTGGCCAATGAGGCTCCAATTTGCAATATTTGCACCAACATTGCTGACACGAATCACAGCAAACCGCTGAAAGATTTTTTTGAAATTTTACCATCAGAAAAACCAAATTCACCTTCATAATCATCCTCAAGTCTTAGAAAAGCGTCGCAAAATGGACATATATCTTGATAAGCTCGCGAATTCTGCTTGAAAACGGCCTGAATTCATTTGATTAAAACTAAAATACAGTTTTAATTTTTTATACCTTTGTAATGGTATTGAAAACGGTTAGAGAAACTATTTCTGGCAGCAAATCATAGGAAGTTCCTTCTTCTTCGATATCGAGCTAAAATTTTGAGACTTGAAGATTTAAAAGCCGAATTTATTAATTCAACACACCTTCAAGTCGATTGGAAAGTCACCGATCCGTATTTGCCTCAGAATGTGCGATTCAAGACAATTTGCGCACTCGAAAAACCCGTCGGACATTTTGAAAACTTGACTTCCTTGAGTGGAATGACAACTGTTGCAGGCCAAATTCTGAAACAAAAAAACTTGATTCTTTACTTTAAACTTTACTATTGATTGGTAAATTTATTCTATAGTCAAAAAAACAGAAAATTATATTCATTCATTGACGTTTTTTTGAGTAATCTTCTATCTTTGGGTCGAAATTTCAAGCCGAAAACTTTATAATTACCTTTTTTGTTGAAAACCCATTGCGAAGTAGGTTCAAAGTACGTCGAGAATCCAAAAAAATTCAAAAAAACAATCTCTTTCGTTTTTTTGTTTTCAAACTTTAAAAACATAAAACCGCAAGTGCACCACAGTACCCTCACCAGTACTTACAAGATTCCTACTTACAAGACAAGACCCAACTTTTGAACTTTTTCTTTTTCTTTATTTTTGTTGTGTGCGCGCTTCATGATGAAGCTTCACATATGACTCTTACTTTTCCCAATTAATTACAGAAGTTTTTTTCACTTACATTTCCTTCAAACGATGAATTCTCCAAAAACTCATATTCCTGCAGAAATCCATTACTTCTGGTGAAATCTTGAACATCCGACCATTGTTGTAAGGCTCCCTGTGTTTTTATTTATACTGAAATTCAGAAAGTTGATAACCTACATTTTTGAACTTTAAAATTGCCGTACAGCCAAGAGTCCTGCCCTCGCGAAAAAAAGGAGAATTTCTATAAGAAATTTAAAATATGTTTTTTTAAAGATATTTAATGCTGTTTACATTGGTTTATATCTTTTTTCGATCATCTCCCATTCTTTCTCGTCGATAATCATCTTTTCGAAAGATATTTCGTCCATATTCGACTCTTCTTTCATTTTTCTGAATTGAGAAGTTTTAGAAATATGAAGTTCGAGGAACCTTGAATTGCAAAGGGAGCTGTGGAAGAACTTGACGAGACGTTTTACAATGTCCAGGAAGTCTTCGGAGCCGTCCAAAAGTTTGTAGAAGTTTTTTTCGGTATTTTTGAGGGGATTCGCAGGAATCGATGAGTTGATGAGCACTCTGAATTGTTTTTTTTTCAAATTTGAAGAAATATTCACTTAAAATAGTCTTCGATCCTTTAAAAATAACCAACTTCACTCTGCGAAAAACCACTTCTTCTATAATCACGTAAAGTAATGATTCGGTGGCCTTTCTTGAAGGAAAAATTAACCTGAAAATGTTTCAAATAATATTTATTTCAAAAAAATAAAAAAATTACCGCCTGGGAAACATCGACAGAAACCCGTTTCTCGCCAATTTTTCTCACTGTCAAGTTTTTCTCCTTTCTTAACCGCTTGACCTGTAGAATTTTTTGTTTCTTCAAGTTTGAAGCTGGAAATAACTCACATTTTGTTCAAAGTTTAACTTCGACAAATTGAAGATTGTGGTCAGAAAAACATAGGCTGGAGACGAAGTTTCAGGGTAATTCGCGACATTTGAAAAAGTGGCCACTTCTTTCTCGATTATCTGAAACTATTCTCAAAATTAATTTCTTCTAAAACGAAGGGTCCAAGTCGCACTTGAAATGGCTTTCTTCAAAGCGCGTCCGACCAAAATCGACTTGTGCGATTTAGTATTGGAAAAAGTTTGAGCAACCTTTGAGCCATTCCAATTGCGACAATAACTCTTCAAGTCGTGTGAAATGATGAAAGTAGAAAAAAGTTAACCTCAACTTCAGAAAAGTCGATTTCGCTTTCTTTTCTGCGACTTTTCCTCTCTCTTTTGGACTTTTCAATGAAGCAATGTTCAATTTTCAACCTGCAAATTGAACAAAAAATTTGAAATTAAAAAAAAAAATGCCAACCTTCTAACTTCCTTCTGAAGATTTTCATCCGAATCACAATCACCCATAGCGTCATCCTCATTCGATGACGTCATAGGCTCATCAACGTCATCCGGATCTACCAATTTCCATTTTGCTCGCACCTTTTCGACCTCATAAGGGTATCCTTAAATATTTGCTTTTTAAAAACTTTGAGAAAATCAAACCAACCTATGAACCTTTTCTCTCCGGGTAGTGCAAGTTCGTTGAGGCGTTGCTTCAGGAAATTGTAATGAAGTTCGGGTTTTTGGACTTTTTCAACTTTTTTCCCGCTTTCTTCTCGATTTTTGGGTAGAAAGTTTGAGAGCTGAAACTTCAAACTTTAAAAGCTGAAAGTCAGTTTTAAATTTCTCTAGATCGAAGTTATCACAGAAATCGTTCAACGAGAAACTTTCAAATTTTCGGAGCTCCCATTTTTTCTTTTTCAATTGACCATTCAAAATGCGACGTTCTTTTATAGCTGGTTCACGGCTAGCTTGAGACGCTGAAGAGGCGTGAACTGTCTGCGCTCTCCACGAGCCAGGCACTATCTCGTGCATTATCGTGTCAGGACCCTTTTTTCAATGGCTCAAGTAAGTCGTGAATCAGCTATAATTACATTTCGCTCACAGTTTCTGTAATTTATGACGTTTTTGGTGCATACACAGAAAGACGCTTACTCGCATACTCATAAAAATCGAAAAAATTTCTTGTACAAAAAATTAATTTTTTTTCATCACTAAACACATTCCGTTCATCATCTTCAAAAATTTATTTAAAACCTGTAACCTACTTACCGATTGACCTCTTCCCAGAGATTTAGCGGTCCTCACACATCCATCAGCATCTTTTGAATGAACCGCTATCACTTGTTCGCAGTTCAAATAACCACAGGCGCCTTCTAAAAATGTATCAGTAAAAATAAACATCGCTTGAGAAAAGTTCGTTACGATTTTCGGCAGGTATTTCGAAAAAATTTTCCATCTGAGAAAGTAGGCCTTAGCTTCTTCTAAATTATAAACAGAAAATTATATGAAAAAAAGTCACGAAGGCCTAGTTTTTCCAAATAAAAAAATATTTTTTTATAAAAGTTCAAAATCGGTTCCAAACTCCGCCCCATTTTACTACGGCTGGTTTTCCGTCATAGTTTTCAATAGATCATTCAAAATGAAAAAGTAATTACTTCCAATATCCCTTTCAACCGCCGACACAGGTATTTCGTTCAGAAGTCCATCTTCAATTATGTCCTCAGGGCTCATCTTAAATTCACAATTGTTGAAAACTACTGACTTTATTCTAAAATAATCACCTCCCATCGTTTCTTCTTCTTCATGGAGTACATGACATCTAATCCAAAGCTATCCTCGCAATTTTCCACCATTTTTGCCTTGGATCTCTGAAAAAAAAGATTTTTTAAGTTTTCTTGAAGTTTTCACCTTAGAAACGGTATAAGTCTCATCGTGTATGGTTTTCGCGATCATTTCGACATTTTTCAACCTTTTCGCCTGTTCTTCTTTTCTTCCATTGCGAGTTCCACGGGGTCTTCTAGGGTGGGAAGGCCTGAACTTTGTTTCAACTCGAAATTTTCGAAGCTTTGAGCTCACTTTTCAAATAGGTGGTCATCACAGGAGTCTTCCATCCTTTGATTGATTGGTCGGTATAAAATCCCAAGGACTGGAAAATCATAGAATAAGGGCTCATGCTTAGAATGGAAAAAATCAGTTCTTAAGTTTGATTCCAAAAAAAGTTCCTGAAAACTACAAGCAAAAAAATTGGAGCTCAGAATTTTTTAAGATATGCATATCAATTATTTTATAAATAAAACAAAAGGATTTTTTTACAAAAAAATTCGGAAAAAAATATTTTTTTCAAAGTTTTTTTGGGGTATATTTGAAATATGAGAGACACAGTTTTAAAAAAAAAAATCTTCACGTCGAAAATCAGAAATTTTTTTAATATGAACCGAGAAAAAAGGTTGATAAAAGATCACAACAAAGTTTGAAAAAAGAATTTTTGAGACTTAATAATCAAAAAAAGCAATAATCGACGATTTGGAAGATGTTCAAGCTAAGAATGACAAAATATTGGGGAGAAAACTCTCAAAACAAACAATTTTATAGGGAAATGCGTCATTTCGCAATATTGGGCAAATATTTCACATTTCTGTTTGCAAATAAAAAATTTCTTCTTATCATTTCGTTTCACTCAAAATCTTTATCAATATGAATACGTCATTGATATGTTTGTCAAATGCCAGGGTGACATTTTTGGTCAAGATTTTCTGAGCTTATGAACTTATTTTTCTTCTATGATTTATTCCACCTCAAAGTTAGAAGTTCGCTTTTAGAGGGGAGAAAAAAAAAGGTTTTGACAATTTTGAGATTCTATAACGCTTCTAAAAGAAGAAAGTCGCAATTTTTTTGTGAGTTCTGAATATGAACTTCCAAAAGGACCACTGTAAACATTTTTATTGAATTCTGGCCCTTTTTTGCTTTTTCCGTGTCACTAAAAATCTGATTTACTGGTTTTTATGAGAAATTTCTAGACGCAAGGAAAGTTTATTGTTAGATTTTTGGCCTGAAATAGTAAGAAAACATGGAAACCACGTTTTTTATGAGCACGTTGTTTTTTTTTTGTGATTCTTTTGTTTTCGTTATGTTTGCTATAAAACGGGATTTGCCAGTTTCCGAAAAATTCCATTTTCATTTATTACACACGTTTACTCTTGATTCATTATTGATTAAAAAGGCTTTTTTTCAATCCCTATTTCACTATTGTTTTAAAAAAATTGGAGCAATGATTGTAAAAATATAATATTTTTTTCCATTTTATATTTTGATAATTTGAAGGAATACCTTCTGTTTTTCACGAAAAAAACCGATAGAAAATGTAGATTACCACATTTATTAGATAATAACAGTGTAAAAAAATTTCGATTTGACTACATCAATTTCACTTTTTGTGTACAAATATCACAGGGAACAAGTATCAACAAGAATTTTTCCAAATAAATAACAACTTCATTTTTTTCAAAGTTCAAGTGTCAGTTGATCGAGAATCACAGATCTTGTTCAGAAAAAGTAAATCACAGGGAAGTTATAAAAAAATGTTTGAAAATCTGAGGAAATATGTATAAAATCTCAAAAAAATTTCGGAATCACGAAAAAAAGGTTGTGTACAATTTTTTTCATTTTTTAAAAAGATTAAAAAATGCGGTACTTCGTTGAGGATCTAATGTAAGATTCACACAGGATAAATGTCAAGAAATATCAAAATTTTTACAAGAAAAAGAACAAAAATTAAAATGGGAGCCCCTCGACAACGACGGTTGTGGGAGGGACATGCATTTTGATGATTTTCAAGAATTTGTCGATTTCGACGCAAGTGAATCCCTTGTAGAGCTTGTCGTCGGCGACGCTGATCGCAATGTTGTAGTAGGTTTTTCCGTCCCCTTTTCCGTGCATGCTTCTGAAAATGCTGATTTTTTCGGGTGAATAATGGTCAACGATTTCTAGAGAAATCGCTTCAAGTATTATTCATTTCAAGAAAAAATGAAAAACTATAGTCCGTCCGCCGCGACTTGACAGTTTTCGCGTGTCTGTGTCTCTCTGTTCTCTCACCAGCGAGGTCAGAGAAACGCGAAAATAGCGCGTCAACAAGAGAGGGTCTTCGAGAGGCGAGGAGGGCGCAGAGAAGTCCCATCTTTCAAGTCGCGAAAAACGGACTACAGCATAGTTACTTTGTGGCTCTACTTTTTACGATAGAGCTGTGAACATTTTTTCGAGGCTTCGTTTCAGAAAAGAAATCCCACCAAAATGAGTTACGCGATTTCAAAATTCAACTTGATCTTTGATCTTAAAATTTCAGCCCTTCAGAGCTAATTTTGAACCTTTTTTCCTTTCGAAATGTGTAGTTTCAATGAAAGCCTGTGTATTAGTGCAATTGCTCAAGAATTTTTTTTTCCAGTTTTCAAAATCCTAAGTACCTGCAAATGTCGCAAGCCCACCAGCAAGGACTCAGGGCCATTCCCCAAGCTTTCACACGACATTTGAGCTCCCATTTTTGTTTCTCATAGTAGACTCCACTGATCTCCGAAGCTTTAATCGTCTGAAATTGGGGTATGAACATTAAAAATAATCAATATTATCAAACCTTGGATCTAGCGGTTGGGAAAAAGTAGCAGGAGATGACCAGGTGGCCATCCTGGAGGATTTTCGACCACTTGTCCTCGAAAATCGGCACTCCGGTTATTTTTTCCGGGTGTTCTTCGGCATTTTTCAAGGCTTTTTCGATTTCCTCTTTCGAGTAGTCAAGTTCGTCATATGGTGGTGGAGCGTCAAGAGGAAGCTTCTCCATTTTTTTTTCTGAAGAATTTAGTAAAAAAGAAGTTGGAGGGACGACAGGACATAAAAACCCGAAAACACAAAATACTAGAGAGATGGGATGCTCAAAGACCGCTATTTAGCCAAAAATCAAAAAGTTGTCGAAAACCGCAGAAATAGTTCAAGGAAGCTCAGAACAAACCGAAAAGGTACACGAAAACGGATGGAAGTCACTTGATCAAACAGCATTGTCAATAGAGAAAAGCCGAGGTTTACTCAAAAGTGAACTCCTTGGCAAAAATTCTCATTTCTAGAGATAAAAAAGAGGCTTCTTATCATTCAAGGTGAAAGAAAATATAAGTTTTTCTGTATTTCAATACACTTTTCTGGCCACAGAAATTAGGAACTGGCTTTTGGAGAAGAAAAGCGGGAACAATGAATGAAAGAAACTCTACATTACACGAAAAGAGAGAAGTACGAATTATTATGGGAACCATGGCAACGGCAGGCTTTTTTTTGTCGAGGTTAAGGATCATATCTTGCGAAAATGGGGACACAAAGGGATCACCACCCTTGACTGAACAGAATTTTTTTCAAAAAAACAAAAAACAAAAATGTTCATGAGTTTTTCCTTTTTCCCGTACTCATTTCTTCACTTGGTCTCTGAGGATACAGTAAATACAATCCTAGAACTACTGAGAATAGTGTTTCGAAATAATGGCTCTGAGAAAATGCTTTGCGCTCTATTGAACAAATCCATTCCGGACATTGATAGAGCAAACCGGACCCTGAACTTCTAGAGACCCCTTCAGTAGCCTCAGAACACTCAAGTGATCCCTAAAGCTCAGAAACGTCCATTTTTGGTTTCCAAGAGGAGAATAACACATTTTGATTTCGGAGTTTGAAAAAAATAAATGAAAAAAACTACCAAACTTTATTCAAAAGTCATTGATGATGTTTAAAGGAGCATAGATAAGCTTTTGAAAAATGTCTTCTGGCGGAGATCCGTTTTGAGAGTCTTTTAGAATCATGCAATTTTTCTACACCTTAAAAATCAACCAGCGAGAACTTCTGCACAGAATATAACAGTAAAAACGCAGAATAATCAGGGATTAAAACGTGGTGTAGATCAGCTGGGGCGTTCGTGTGTCGTTATACACATTTTCCTTCCATTTTCCATTCTCTTTCTCCCTTTTGATGTCTGATTCTCTGCAATTTCCAGTGTTCCCACGACGACATAAACAAGGTTTCGGCGATGACGCGACGGTAAACATTGCGAAACAACACTGTTTTCAGCTTCAAATGCAACTTTTTTCCGGTTTCTTCGATCTTTGAACTATTTTTTAAGCTTTTTCTCGAGCAACTATTGAGGCAAGTTCAATGTGAATTATTAAAATTGGATATTTCTTGATGAGGCTTTCAAAAGAGCACAGACAGAATTTTTGCCTAGAGAAAAAGTCTGATTAACGGCTTTTTTTTGCCTGACTTTAATTTTTAGAAAAAAAATCAAATGAAGAGATGAAAAATGATTTTTCTTTTAATCTGACTCATTCCGCCCTTGCGATCTTTTTTTGAATTTTGGCAGTCCATCCAAGCTTGATAATCCTTTGGCTAGACATTGTCATCCGAAAAAAAAAAGATTTTTAATCATTTATCATAAAACCCGACCATTGGAGACACTGAAAGTGACAAATGGCTCGACTTGAGTTTGTTTTTTCAAGAGTTGAAGAGGCCAGGATTTGAGGAAACATTCTCGGAAATTTGGAGTTGTCGCGATCATCGTAGTCGTCGAGGCGATGGTGTGAAACGACATGACGAAAAATAATGGGGGAGTGAAGGCTGAAAAAAAGCGTTTACTTGAAAACGAAGAAAATAAGTCAATACAAAGTATAAGTTTCGATAGTTTGCTGAAAATCCTTTCAGAGCATCCTGGATCGAACCCAAAAGGAATTCTACATGTTTTGTCTTTTCGAATTATTGCGCCTCAAGAATTCCAAGAAGGGATGTTTTCCCACAACGATACATACGCACAGACGTACGTCAAGGTTCTATAAATCAATTCTAAGGTCAAATTCGGCTTCAAAAAATTTTAAGAATGGAATTAGTGTACTTCAACACATTTTCATATAATTCTGAGTACTGATAATTTTGCTCTGTCCTAGACAAAACTTTGAAAAAAAACGTTTACCATGCCAAGACTCAAGTTGTAGAGCAAGAACAGGTGCAAAAACGGCCATCGGACCTCCCAGGAATACTAGAGGAGCAGCTAGCTGGAAAATAATAAAATTATTTTTCAAAAATAAAAGAAAATTTATTTGGGTTGATTCAGAGAGAATTTGGCTGTAAATAATTGCTGAAGCAATTTCAAAAAAAGTTTATCGAATTTTGAAGTATAAAGAAAATAAATTGTAGAGTAACCAAGCTGCAAAAAGATACCTGAAAAATCAAGCTATACAGCATATTTCGTTGCATTCCAAGGGTTCTTCTTGACATCAGCCCTTTCAAATCGTTCAGAAGCTTCAAAGTCCGTAGGGTGACACCAGAACAGAAACCGACAGAGACTATCACATAGCCATACAAAAATCCAGCAGCTATCACGACACTATTGTTGATATTGGGGTCGTAGATGGAGCAAAGGCCAATGTCGAGAATGTACACTGCGTTGGGAAAGGTCTAAAAATGTCTTTGTAGTAGTTTCCTTCATTAATTGGTTCAAAGTGTGTCTTTTTCGGAGAATATGAGGTTTTATTTTGAATGCCAAAGGTATTGGCTACCCCCGACTTTCACATGCTGAAGGATACCAAAATGCGCAAGTAGTTTTGAGTCGGGCGCGTTGGGCCATTCTCAGTGCGACCTTCTCAAACTTACCATTTCTAAAGAATGCCGCATTTCCTCTTTCGTTATTCGACAGAAATTGACGAGTATCCCGGCCACAGAAGAGCATATAACCATTATCAGGACGATGATTGAAATTTTAATTGATCCAAATACGAAGCTCTGGAAGGATCAATTTCATAAATTGAGAATGGTATAAGTTCAACAAAATATTTATATTCTCGCAAAAAATCCCAATGGAAAAAATAGCCGCGAAATGACAAAACCTGCGCTCCAATGATAACATTCTAATCTTCAAAAGAAATTTACATTTTTCATGGCCCTAGCCGCAGCATCATGTCGATGTATGAAGCAAGGCGTAACTGCTGGAATCACTAAAGCCGTCACTATCACGAAACTTTCCTATAAGATATACTATTATCGAAAAAATGAATCCAAAGAAACTCACCAAGAAATAACGAACATCAATACCCAGATGAATAGTTATAGGACTTAGAGATCTAGTTCCAATGATTGGAAAATATAAATAAGGCATTATGAAGGTGCTGGATATCGTTTCTGTTGCTAGAGATGTAACCTGAAAAAAATTTTTATTTTTTTAGTAATTTTTTTCATAAAGTTTCAAAATGATGATATCTTATAGTTTTTTTAGTTTTACAGCTTGACTTTCAAAGATTTCCAATTATTTTTCAATTATTTTTTTCCAAGCTAGGAAGCTTGTCTGATGTAAATTATATGATATTCGTAGATTCTTAAAAGAAAAGAATTGAAGAGTATGAAAATAATAGTTTTCTTTTCGAAGAAAAGCACTGATTTCCTCATTTCTCAAGATGAAATTTAAATTTTCTGAAGATTTTTACTTTTAAATTTTGATTTCCCAGCGAGGGGGGTCGGAAAATCATGCTTTGAAGTTTCTCAGGAATATCCTATTTTTTTTAAAATCAGAGCTAATTTTCAATTTTTTTTTCAAATGTTTAAACAATTTATTTTTCGGAAGGGTAAAATCAAATTTCAAACCCACCATGTAACAAATCAAATGATACTTGTAAGCGTTATTCTGCATCTTATAGATAACTAAATACAAGCCGATCGAACTGATAATAAAAGTCAAAATGGCTATAAATATATAGATCCAGATATAATACGATAAATCGTCGGTAGGAAAATCGAGCACCTTTCGCATCCGATTTCGAAAATGAACTGAAATGAGCAAAATAACAAAATGAGCAAAGATGAGGCCCCTACGTTCTTGGTAGAAATTTGCTCCCGCATCAGCGATATTATTATGAAAATGAGTCTAGTTCCAAATTTTTTTCTCTTTTGTTGCATTTTTGTCTCATTATTCAAACAAAAAAGGAAAGTTAGAGTTCAATAATCATTCGGACTTTGAAGAACATGGAGGAAGGCTGATTGGGTGCTTTTCAAGCCAAATGCTTGAGGTTTTTCGAATAAAAAAATGTGTAAATTTTCTAGAAATCCAAGTATTGTTTTTGATTTTTTTGGTTATCTTTGGAGTAACTTAAAAATGACTTATTTTTTTCAACTTTTTTGATTACTCGAACCTTGGTGATGAAAACCGGACGTTTCTGAGCAATTCTAGGGATCACTCAAAGTGCTGACAAGGCTAAAGTGGTCACTAGAAATGCTCAGACACGTCCGAGTGCATCCAGTTCTTGTAAAAAATGTTTGAGTATCATAAGTAAGGTTGGAATAAACAAAAAAAGATAAAATTAGAAATGCTATTTGTTTTTTTATTTTTTTAATGGTAACATTTTTCATTATTCTTAAAATACCCTCTATTTACCTATTTTTACACTTTCAGCTGATCAAAGTTGGATATACCGAGACAGTGACGTCATTGAATGTTCAGCTGATAAGATAAAAAGTGCAATCTCTGGCGTGTCGCCAAATTCAGCCAACTGAATAGTTCAAATTTTTTAACGTCATTAAAAAGATAGTAAACTTTTTGATAGCTCAACAAGTATATCGAACTACTGTATCTTTTTTCGCTTCAAGACCTTCTTTATCAAATCTTTCAACTCCTGTGTGGAGGCAAACGAGCCAATACAAATTGAACTGTCATTAAAGCTTGATTTTTTTTTTTGGCTTTTGGGATTCTTCAAGAATCTTACTCTAGCTTCATTTCGCTTCAGGACCTTTTTCTACCAAAATAACTGAGCCTTTAATTTTTCCTCGAAAAATATGCTGAATAATGACGTCATTTTCTCAATTTAAACGCTACAAAGGCTATATTGTAGCCCATTTTACACTTATATTTGGCCTCTGTAGTCCGTCTCGATATAAAAACAGGATGATAACGTCTCCGAGTGATATAATTTGTTCCGATTGATCTGCATTTTGTCGTCGGTCGAGAGAACTTTTTTTTCTTTTTTGAGTTTGCTATTTAAAATTGGCGATATATTATAAGCAAGTGTGCTCAGTTCAAGTAGAAAAAACGAGTTTGAGATTGAATTGCAACCGCGAGTTCGATCCCCGCTCATGTTCCCCTGACTTTTGCCATTTTCGGTCAGACGCAGTTTTGCAGGAAAAAGTCGCCTTTTTCTTTTTTTTTAACTCAATGAATTTCAAGAAGCTACTCAGATACACAAAATTACAAAATGAGTAAAATTTCATTTTCCCTCTTTTTTTCAAAGTGCCCCGGTTGATCAAATGTCCTTTTTGACCTTCATTCGAAAAATTTTCTTTTTTTCCTTTTTTCTGCGATTTTATTTTTATTTTTTTTTTAATCAGAAGCGTTATTTATGAGCTCAATTATCCGAAACCAAATGATTCCAGTTGTAAACTTTTCAAGACCTCAATGTTTTCAACCTTTAATTTTACACATTTCTATCAATTATCATATATTTTTGAACAAAAGAACTTTTAAGAAAATGCCCGAGTTCCTCGGGATCGAATGGGTCGACATTTTTTCGTCCTGGGAAAGAAAACGTGGATATTTGGCCGTGATCTATCATTTTGGCGTGGTTTTTGTCCTTAGTCTTTTCGGTTTCCTGATCCCACTATATTTGGTTTGTAGATCATTTTTTTTCATTTGAACAAAAACATAAAACATTTCAGTTCTTCACGTTCCAATGGCCTTTATTGGCCTTATATGCAGCTTGGTACTATTACGATAGGAAAAGCCCGCAAAAAGGAGGATATGATTGCAGTTTTCTGAAGGAGTGAGTTTTCAAAACTCAAATAGTTGGACGATTTTTTTTAGGAAAATACCTTTGAATCACAAAAAATCTTTAAAAATTTAGAATAAGGTAAATTGGTATTTTCACAGATATAAGAGATCTCGAGATTTTTTTTTCAGAATCATGTAATTTTTTGAGTTCAGGAAAACATAAATAATCGTTTCACACTTCAAAGTTTTTGCAAACTTCAGTTATCCCCTTATAAATATTCAAAAACAATAGTTTTTGGTCGCAAGAGTTTCGCAGCGAAAGTTTTTTCAGTAACTAAGGGTACTGTAGCTTGCTATCCCTGCACTTTTCTTCCGTTTTAGAATTATTTTAGCATATTCATACAGGTTTTCAAGTATATTTTTAAAGTGTTTTGAAGAATATGTTCCTGCAAATCATGAAAATTTCTTAAATTACCCCAAATTTATAGATAAACTCACCTTTTCCCTGATAAAACGAAGAAAAAAGACAATTTAGGAGGAATACCTTCGAACTTCTATTTTTGAAAAATGTTTCATTATCACGGTAACATTTATAACTAGTTCAGTTTATCAAATTCGCAAGAGAATCAGAGTTCACATTATAAAAATCCATAAACAAGGAGTTTTCAGCCCGTGGAAGTTTTGCAGCGAAAATTTTTCCTATCACGGAGGATACTGTACCCAACTTTTAGCACTTGTTTTTCTATTTTCGAGTTTTATTAACAATTTGGAACGGAGAATTGGATTTTTTTGGAACTGATAGGATACAAAAATATATCAAAATAATGAGAAATACATAAATTTTCTTCTAGGTAAGGATGGACCTATTTATTTCCATTTCAGTTGGCAAAAAGGCAGATTTCAGGTAATTAACATGCAGTTTTTTCGAATATCATGAATTTTCTAGTATTGGCACAAAAAGGACTATCTATTCTAACCGTAAATTTTTTCGAAGTTTATAAAACGAACTTATTTAAATTCAAAAACGGCGGTGCTCTGGTATTCTGGAGTCTCGTACCGAAAATTTGGCCGCCATCTAGGTTTACTGTAGCTTGCCTTTGTCACTCTTCTCTTAGTTTTCGAGTTATTATAAAAATTTGAAACGGTATTTTAAGTATTTCTATGATTATTCTTGTAGGCTACACTATTGTTATCCTTAAAATTTTAGGAATTTTTCTTTATATAAGTAAATGCCCCTTACATTTTCATACAAAAAAAGAAAGAGGCAGAAGTTAAGGGTTATATTCGGACATTTTAGAGCTATTTTTAAAGTTTCAAATTCAGAATAAGAACTCCGAGCATCTCAACTTTCAAAATCTGGAAAAATGCCTAATTCCATCTTATAATAATCCAATAACCCTGAAATCCTAGCCCGCGCGTCTCGCAGCGAAAATTTCCCTTTCTACAGGAGTTCCTGTAGCCAACCTTTGTCACTCATGTTTTCTCATTTTCGAGTTTTTTTAACCATTCAAAAAAATATTTTTTTGAATTTTTTTATGAAGTACTAGTGAAAGAAAAATAATTCAGAATGAAGATAATTTCTGAAATGTTGATATACCCGAAGCCAAAGCTCATAATTTTTCAATAAGGTTAGCGAAAAGGCAGATTTCACAAAGTCAATGGGCAAATTTTCTGAACTCTCTGAATTTTCTGAGTTCGCAAAGACCTGAGCTACCGATTCAACCTATAATTTTCCCAAAAATTCATGAGATTATCTTAATATAATCCATAAACGATAGCGATTCGGCTTTGGCGAGTTTTGCAGCGAAAAAGCTGTTTTCCTCTAGGTGTACTGTAGCCCGTCTTGGCTTCCACTTTCCTGTTTTCGAGTTATTTTAACTATCTCAAAAAATTTTGCTATTTTTTCAGAGTAATAGTGCAGAGAAGGCTTTCAGACGCATGATGAATTTAGAAATTTCGTTGTATCCAATTCAAATCTCAATTTTTTACAATGAGATTAACAAAAACGCAGATTGCGAGAAGCTAATCTGTGAATTTTTTTTATTTGCCAAATTTCTTGGTGTTATGGAAAAAAAATCTACTCATTAAATTTGTCAAATTTTCAAATATAGGAAAAATGATCTTATAAAAATCTGAAAAAGACGTGCTCTGGTTTTGTGGAGTCTCGCAGCGAAAAGGTTGCTATCTTCTAGGTGTACTGTAGTTGGCTTTTGACACTTTTAAGACGTTTTTCATGGTTTTTGAGTTTTATTAAATCGAAGGAGTAAAATTTAGCTTTTTTTCCGGTTTTCAACTTAGGGAGACTCAAATTAGGGAACACAATTCGCATTTTTACTAAGCCTCCACTGAAGTATTTTGAAGGAAAATAATACTTTCTGATAATGATAATTAATATGAAAATAACGATAATTAACCTTTTTCAGTTTGACGATAAATAAATGGTTCGTCGACTATTTCCCAATCAGACTTCACAAAACAGAAGATTTTCCGCCCGACAAGGTTATTACTTTTTTGATTTCATTAATTTTCGTTTCAGACTTCTCAACTATTTTTGATTATCTTTAGAGAATTTTCTATTCATTCACATTTCAAAAATGTTTTTTGATTTCAAGAACTATTTATTGTGCCTTCACCCTCATGGAATCATTTCTATTGCTGCATGGGCCAACTTTTCTTCAACTGCAACTGGATCAAGGAAATTGGTTGTTTTGGATTTTTTTGAAATGATAGTGGTTGGTTTTCAGTTTCCTGGAATTAAATTCAACATCTGTACTTTGAAAATGAACTTTCATTTCCTGCAAGCGTTGAGGCTAGTTCATCTGGGAAAGTTGATAATTTTTCTTCATTTATGGCTTTTTCTAAAAAAACGCCAGAGTGGTCTCTATAGCGTTGAAAATTAAGATTATCGGTATGGGGTTTAGGGTCTGACCTCAAGGCCCCTAAAGTGGTTCCTGTGAGGGTTTCTAATTTTTTTTTTTGTCAATATGATAGTGGTCAATATGATTCCGTGTAAAATCTTCACTCGAAGTGGTCGCTCTCATTCTGAGGCTTCTACCTAGAGCACGGTCTCCGGGCTCCAGCTCAACATCCACTATATTCTGAGCTCGTCAAGGCGCAACTGGATGGACTACGCGCAGAAAGAGGGGGCGAAGGACCGTAAGACCATGCTTTCAACTCTTTCGACTACACGTTTGGACTTCTAGCTCGCCAAAGGCGGTTGTTCGTTATAGCTTTTAAAGTTCTTGTTCACCGCCTAGTCGATTACATCAGACTAAAACAACAAAATAAATGATTCGATTAAATGATTCGAATATACAAAATTAAAAAAGACGGAATTGATAAAAAAATTGCTTGATCAATCCTCTGTTGATAGCTCAAAACTCAAAAAGTCTGATATGTTCTCCAGTTTTTTTGTACTTCAGATTACTTACAGAAGAGAAATCTTATTGGCGATGGGATTTATTGACTGCTCAAAAGAAAGTATTGAGTACGTTCTGGATGGTTGTGGAGAGAAAGGTCGTGCAGTAATTTTGGTTCCTGGTTTGTGCTTTTGTTTTCAAGCTTTTACTCAACTTTTTTCCTATTTTTCCTAAATGTTTCTATATTTCTCTATTCATGACAGTTCCTCAAATTTTGAGGTGGAGCCGAAGAAGCTCTTCAAGCTCACCCCGGCAAGCATGAACTCACATTGAAAAAGCGAAAAGGCTTCGCTCGAGAAGCCCTTATCACTGGAGCGCACTTGGTCCCCGTTTATTCATTCGGCGAGAATGATGTCTTCAGGCAGGTGAGGTAAAAGATACCTTGTTTCTGCAGGGAACATTTTTCCTAAAAACAGGGTTACTGTAGCCTAATTTATTTTTATTTTTTTGAGTAGTTTTTCAATTTTTTCTTCTGATGAAACAATTTAGGTGCCAAATCCAGCCGGCTCAAAAACTTCGCCAATTTCAAGCCCTCACAAAAAAATTACTCGGTGTTTCGTTTCCAATTTTCCACGGCAGGGGATTTCTTCAGGTTGGACTTTCTTGAGAAAATAGCTCAAGGCGTCGCGGTCGCGCTTGGCGTATAAATCTGCGCCCGACTTTTAGCCAATTTATTCTTTTATATGCTTTAAGATACAGCCGCGACGCGTTGGGCCATTCTTTGCAACCAAAAAGTTCATTCTGAAACTTTCAGATGAGGACTGGTTGGCTGCCTATGAGAAGACCGATAAATACAGTCGTTGGAGCCCCGATTCCAGTCGAAAAAGTGGACAACCCAAGTCAGGAACAAATTGATAACCTTCATAAAACTTATATGGAGGCTTTGAATGAATTGTTTGAGAGTAGGAAAAGTGAATTTGGCGTTTCTGATGACACCAAGTTGGTTCTAACTTGATCTTTTTGTAAACTTTGTCGCAGTTGTAAAAATTGTAAGAGAAAAAAGTGTTAGTCAAATCTTGTATGATTTCGTGCTTTACTTTGAGATTTTCCCACGTCCTGGTCTTTCATTCTCCATGTTTCAATAAATTTGTTATTTTTCGGAGTTGAAAATTCAGAAAATATGTACCTGAAGTATACCTCATTAGCTTGAAGTTTTTTTTTTGCGAAATTTCGGATAATGGTTCAGCTTGCGAAAAAACATCTGAAGGGAAAAATAAAACTGATAATGATCTTTATCAAGTCTAAAACTGACGTGAAGACTAGACAAGTGTGGAGTTATTCCTTACGACCTTGGTCATTACCTCGGCCTTTGCCACTGTCATCATGATCTCTACATCCTACCGAGCAATGGGACGAACTCTTTTCTGCGCCTATCGGCAGGTACAGTTTCCAAAGTTTCACTGAAACTAACTCTTTGAAGATTCCTCAAAAACTAAGTTTCATTTTTAAAGTAAATTGGAGAAAGAACTTTGAAAATTCTACCAAAACTACGGATTTAGTTCTATTTTGGTACGCCGTGGCATCGCTCAAGTATTTTTTGGCGCAAGTAGCTTTGAGTCGGACGCGGTTTTTACCACGGCTCGCATACTGATTTTCGGAAATCTTACTCAAAATGCATCCTTTGCCAACTTTTCCTTTTGAAACTAGAACAAACTAGACATAGTCTATTCGTCACAACTCTGAGAAGTCTGACCTCTCTGCGTCTCTTTTCTCTCGCCACTGAGGTCAGAGACACTTGGAAAAAGCACGTAAAAGGAGAGGGACAAGAGTGCGCAGAGAAATTTTTCCAACTAGTGAATGGGTTACTTTTTTGAGGTAAATATAAAGCGCATTCACTAAAGCTTGCTCTAAATCTTTTCTCATCATGAACCTCCCAAAAATACAGAACCAAGCCTGCGGCAACTTTGTCCGCTACCTGGCCTCGATCCCAAAAACTCAACGGGCTCTCTACTTTGAAAAGTACAACGGTCCGCTGGAAGTGAAGAAAGTTCCGGTTCCGAAGCCGGCCGACGACGAACTTCTCGTCAGGATCAAGTATTCCGGGATTTGCCACACGGACCTGCACGTCTGGCTCGGCGACATGGCCGCCTTCACCAAGGAGAAGCTCGTCGGAGGTCATGAGGGAGCCGGGGAAGTCGTCCAGGTCGGATCCAAGGTCCAAGGATGGAAGAAAGGCGATCTGGCGGGAGTCAAGGTTTGAATTTCTGTTGAGAAAAGGAGAACTTTAGTTCATTTTCACTGCAAATTTCGCCAGTCAAGTTTAATTATTCCAGTTGTTCAACTTCAACTGCCTCACCTGCGAGTTCTGCAAGAGCGGCGTCGAGCCTTGCTGCCCCGATCTGCAGAGCTACGGCTTCACCCGCGACGGCACCTTCCAAGAATATGTCGTCGTCCGGGGCGTCGACGCCGCCAGAATCGCTCCGAGTACCGACATGGCTCAAGCAGCGCCGATCCTTTGCGGAGTTGGGCTTGATTTTCTGACCATTCTAGAGGATTTTTTTTAGGGTGTGACAGTCTACAAGGCCTTGAAGGAGGCCAGGATCCAGGCTGGACAGATTGTCGCTCTGACTGGAGCTGGAGGAGGTCTCGGCTCTCTGGCTATTCAATATGCCAAGGCCATGGGCTTCCGAGTTCTGGCTCTGGATCATGCCGACAAGAAGGATCATTGTCTGAAACTTGGAGCCGAGTGGTTTGTCGATGGCTTCCAGGATGGCAAGAAGATCATCAACAAGGTCAAGGAGGTGAGACTTTTTGATTTTTGGACATGCAAAAGCTCAAAAACCTCACAAGGGTGGTGAATTAACTCAAAAGTGGCTAGTTTCTTTTTGAGCTTTTCAAACCGATTTCAGCTCAATTTGAGCATATTTCGATGAAATTTTCAATTTTTAAAGATAACCAAAGGCGGACCTCATGCCGTTGTAAGTCTTGCTGTGGCCAAATCGCCGATGGAACAGGCCTTGGAATATATCCGCAAAAATGGAACCGTTGTTTACGTTGGGCTACCTAAGGACTCCAAGGTGTGTTTTGGGCTGTTTTAATGAGAGAAAACTTGAAGTTTCACAGGTAACTTTCGACACCTCGCCATTCATCTTCAATGCGAATAAGATTGTCGGTAGCATTGTTGGAAATCGGCTTGATGTCGATGAAGCTCTGGAGTTTGTCACCAGAGGCGTTGTCAAGGTGAACAACTAAAAATCAGCTCTTTTACCAAGAGAAGGTTGCGTTTGGAATGGCTGGTCGCGTCGCGGTTGCGTTGCGGTTGGAGGAAAAAAAATCTCAAAAAGTAGAGAAGAAAAAACTGACAACCGCTTCGCAACGAAGCCATTCCACGTGCGACCATAAATTAAGATTATTTTCTTTCCATTGAAGTATTCGAACGGAAAACCAGCCAAGTTTTCTCATTTTAACACACTTTTCCCTCTTCAGGTACCCCTCGAACTAATCAAATTGGAAGATACCGAACGAATCTATCGCCAAATGCTCGACGGAACCATCAAAAGTCGGGCCGTCATTGACTTTTCACTATGAACCTCGCCATATTGTAGAATAAAGTTGTTTTTTTGACGAGACTCTCAAATCGTTTCTACGTATTCTTTTCATGTTTTGATAAATACTTATGACTTTCATAGTAACGCAAAATATGTCATTAAAAAGATGGAGATAAGAGTAGAAATCAAAAATCTTCTTAGGTTTTTTCTCGTTTTCCTTTTTCTCTTCATCCAATTTTTACTGTTTGCTTGGACAAGCTGGAAAAAATTTATGACAGTCCGGAAATGACTGATTTTTGAAATTATGTCTCTTTATGTTTCGATAAATTATTCAACGTTGCGACCAGAAAAGAACAGTTTTGTGTATTTAAAATATGAATATTGTTCTCAAAACTTCAAATTCAAGTCCTCAACTGACAGTTTAAAAAAATTTCCTTTTCAAAAAAATCGAAAAAATAAAAAAAAATTCCTTGGTTTTTTTCCAAGTCACCTATATTTATATTTTTTCAACGGATGAATAACTCTTCAAGCTTTTTGGCCATTAGAAAAAAACAATTAAAAACAAAACGCCTGAAAAGCTTTTCATATATCAGTTGAAGCTGTTCTTTGAGCATGAGTCTTTATTTTTTTTTTCAATGAATTTCTATTTTTTCCGGAAACACTTTCTCTTGAAATTTGAGAGTTTACTCTAATCTTTTCGAAGGTTCTGAGCGCAAGTAGTTTTAAGTCGGTTGCTCCTTTGAATTTACCCTTCGAGCTATACCAAAAGCGTCATGAACAAAAAAATTTTTTTAGTTTTTATGCCAAAAAAAATTTCTTAGTTGGGCAGATTTTTCTAGGTTTTTTTAGAAATCCTAGAAAACTTTACCTTTACTTGAATTTTTGAACCAGCTGTCCATCTCCTACTTTTTTGATGGTCTTCCAATTTCTTCGAAAGGTTCATTCATTAACATGAGCAATAGAAAAGTATTTTTGTTGAGGAAAAAGTTTTCAAGATGTTCTGCACAAACCATGATTTCTAAATCCCAAGTGTTCGACGTCTTTTTCCAAAGAATTTTCAAAAAAGGTCAAGATAGCTATTTTCTCTGAACGCTGTTTTCAAAAATCAGAAGTTCAACAGTCTGGTAGAGTGCACCCTATCAACCATGAAAATTTAATTAATCTTCTTTTTTTCATTTGTTTTTCTTTCTATTTGCTTCTTATACGTTCTACTTGCTACTAACTAATTCGAAAAGCTCTTCATCTCATTAAAAATAATGAAGCAACGATAAATATTCTCACCCAGATAAATGTTGTGGACGGCCGAATCGATGAATCAACTTATTGTCGCTGTTGAGATTATTTTCTTCAATATAATTGGCTTTTTTGGGAATATGAACATTGTTTATGTTACGCTGACTCGTAAGGAGTTCCAAGGGAAATCAGGTTGATTTTTCGAAAAAATAAATTCAATTTTATCTATATTTTAGGTTGTCTCCAATGCATTTTGAGTATCTCCCACATTTGGAGCCTTCTGATGGAACTTCCAAATTCATTCCTATTATTGAATGCTCAGCGAGTGACAAGAAGAACTTGCTACAAAATCATCTTTTCCTACATTTTCTCAATCTCTTTCCAAGCTTGTATGTGGCTGATGCTCCTCATTGACATTTACATCATGATCCTTTTGCCTATCTGGTAACTTTTTCTAATCTTTTCATCGAAAAAGAAGTTTTTCTAGGTACATGAAAGCCAAAACTACGGTTTATGTAATCTTGATGGTTCTACCGCCTACGATTTATGGGACTATCACGATGTTGGGCGGATTCTTGTACATGGACGACGAAGTAATCCTTTTTTGTAATCCTCCTATCGGTTAGTTTCTTTCTATAACAACTTTATTTTAATTTTATCGTGGTCGCACTTGGAATGGCTCAAAGGGTATCGATGTTTTCTAAGCTCCGGTGGGTTTTTATTCTGGTGCCGCTTATCAGATCCATTCCAAGTGCGACCATAGGAAAAAAAAATTGATTTTCGGTGAAAAAAGAGCTCGTCGTGTATTGAATCAGCCAGCGTACAACAAGAAAAAGAGGAGGATTTTGCGATCAATAAAAAAAAGAATTGTTACGTTAAAGAATAAATTCCAGGCCTTCATCCAATACCCAGTCAATTTTGGTCCTTGTCCAGTGTCGTCATATACACTACGACTTTTATCCTTTTCCTCATTCTTGTCACTTTTTTCTTCAAGAAGAGTTTGAAAAAGCAATGAACACAAATAAAATTAATTTCTAGGTCGCGCAAGAGTCGAATCCAAAAAGTTGGTTCGACATTTGAAAGTTAGCATGGCTATTTTCGTTGGTTCTTCCTATGCCGGTTTATTTGGAACCTGGTTTTTTGGCATCGCTTTTTGGCAGAAAATCGGTTTTGAGGAAAGTACGATGATCTACGCGCAGAGTAACATGGTGAGTAATATTTCGGAAAGAAAAAAGTTCTCTGGCCTGTCTGCGCTCTCTTTTCTTTTGTCTATGAGAGGAAAGAAAAAGAGAGAGCGCAGACGTCTGAACGGTTCAGTTTCTCAAACCAAGCAAAAATGAACTATTAAAACCTTATCCTATGATATGGTTTTGAGCTCACTGACCTGTCTCCGCCCTCTTTTCGCAGACTGGTAAGGTCATAACGTGAAATTAGCACGGAAACAGGAGATAGAACACTCAGAACAAATAAAATAAGTTTGAATTGGAAAAAAAAATAATTTCCAGGTGCTTTTCGCGTTGATTTGCTACGCTGAATCCTACTTTATCCTCATGTGGAGGTCCAAAGAATACCGAAAGGCTTTCACTCGCTTTTGGAGACGCTCTAGAAGAGTCTACTCCGTCCGAGATCAAAGCCTCGGCACTTCAAAGAAACCTTCACGGATGTCTGTCGCTAGAAAATCGTTCGCCGTTTCAATTGTCAGTAACTCTCAGAATGATTGATTTTGAACTGTCTGTCCTATCTGCGCTCTCTTTTCTCTCCTCCGTAAGATGATAGAAACAGGATAAAAGAACTATGATCCGAAGAGAAGAGAGCGCTGAGATCTCATGATTTAATTTTGGATTTTCGTTCTATCTGTATTTTTTTTGTATATAAAGTTAATTCACGTCAGATTCTCATAGCTCCAAAAATTTTGTTTACTCAAAAAAAAGGAATAAAATCGAATAAAAAAAGAGTTTTTTTATGAAGATTTTTCCGTTTTCTCTACGTATTCGGTTTATGAAAATTAACCATCATTCTTTAAAAAAAATTTTTGAAGTTCAGCAATTTATATAATTACGAAAATTAGAGAAAAAAAGCAGAAAAAGAAATTTCAAATGAAGGTATACGTTTTCTAGAGAAAATTAAAAAAATCATTGAAATTCAGCTGGAAGACCTTTCATTTCATAGAACAAAAAAATCAGTTTCTAACTAAACTTTTACCAAAAAGAATTATCGTTCAATTAGGTCCAAAAATATTAAAAAGGTGAATCTCACAGCTTTTTATGAAGTTTTTTTAAAGGATATCTTGTTGTGAATATAATGCAAAATTCAGTAGTAAGTGCGTTTCCGTGAAAACTTGTTTATCTTAACGGAAATAATCAAATTTTCCTTCTCTTCTACCACCAAGATCAACGAGATTGAAAAAAAAACCAAGCATCTGTCTTTTTCTTTCTAAATTCTAGCTTTGAATATTAAATAAATGTGAAATAATATCCCTAAAAGGAGCTTTTTCAAAACAATAAGGAAAAAAAGACGCCTGGAAAATTCCATTTCAGAGTTTCCGTGAACGAAAAAGCTTCAAAAATTTTTTTAGAAAATGAGGATTTTCTTGTTTTTTTACCATTTTTCTTTCTTTCCCTTTTTGATGATTAGTCAAGCATTACTCTTCTAACGGAAAAACTATTTTTTTTTCATTCATGGCCGAAAATATAGGACACCTCATAGAAATTCGGGCGTAATGCAATAATTTTAAATGAAATATAATTTATTTTCAAATGCATTTTTCTTCATAAGCACTTTTTCTCCGATTTATCACCAGATTTGAAAATAGTTGAAATTCCATGAATTTTTTTCTTTCGTAATAAAATTGACAGATGGTTTTCTTCTCTTACTTCAGCTCAAAAATGGGAATTTTTCGAGAAAAGGTTTTTAAATCTAAAAAGCTATTTTTTTCCTAATGTTTTTCTCCTATTCCCCTTACCTACATTTTTAAATTTCGATCCCTCATCTTTAAAAATTTCATTAATCCATCCGAACCCCCTGTAGAGCTGAAAAATTACGGACTTATTGTTTTTAACAGATCCTAAGATAACTTGGAAAGTCCTGTTTTGAAAATGAATTCGCTCAAATTTGAGATGCAGTAAGGCCTAACAAGACTGCTTCCGAGGCGCGTCCGACCCGAAACTGGTAGCGCGCGAGCCTTCGAGAGCTTTAAAAAGTTTTGAAATTTTAATTTTGATTTTTTGGGTCCTTCCGCGTGCAAGCAAGGTTCGCAATCAACAAAAAAATGCGCTTTCAAAAAAAAAAAACCACGTTTCATTATCTAATTGTAGATGCTTGAATTTTTGCAATATTTTTATCATAACTCATAGACCTATAGACTAAAATAGTGCACCCATTCAAGCATATCAGTAAAACTAGCCGTGAAAATTAAAATTTTTTCAAATTTGGGTGTCTTATTTATCTATTTCACTGGTTTACTTAAATCTTACATCACTCTAACTTGTCCATCCTTTTTCAATATAAATATAAATTAATCAAGTTGATAAAAGACATACAGTACAGATGATATGGACGGCCGAAACGATGAATCAACTCATTGTGGCTTTTGAGATCATTTTCTTCAATATAATTGGCCTATTTGGCAATATCAATATAGTTCAAGTTACGCTGAATCGTAAGGAGTTCCATCGAAAATCAGGTGAGATATTTAAAAAAAAAATTAATTTTCAGCTGATTTTCAGCTTGTCTCCAGTGTATTTTAAGTATTTCCCATATTTGGTGCTTAATAATGGAGCTCCCAAATGCGTTCCTATTGCTAAATGGATCACGAGTAACTAGACGATTTTGCTACAAGATGATATTTTCCTACATTTTCTCAGTCTCTTTCCAAACTTGTATGTGGCTGATGCTTCTTATCGACATTTTCATAATGATTCTATTTCCTATTTGGTAATTTTTTCAAAATCTTTAATTATCCACGAAATAAAGCTGTCTGGCATGTCTGCGCTCTCTTACACCTCATAGAGAAATGAGAATAACGCGACAGAAACGAGAAGTCCAGACAGGTCAGACGCTTCAAAACTGTGGCGGAATAAGTATGACAACCTATTTCTACATTTTCAGGTACATGAAGGTGAAAACAAAGATCTATGTCAGTTTAATGGTTCTGCCGCCCACGATTTATGGAACTATCACGATGTTGGGCGGATTCTTGTACATGGACGACGAAATCATCATTTTTTGTAATCCTCCTATCGGTTAGTTTCATACTATAACGATTTTTTAATGCTATCGTGGTCGCACGTGGTATGACTCCAAGGGTGTCGAGGTTTTTTTCAAAGCTCCGATGCTTTTTTTATTTCACTGCCGCTTATCAGAGCCATTCCAAGTGCGACCATAGAATAAAAAAATTAATTTTTGGTAAAAAAAGAGTTTATTGTGTATTGAATTAGCCAGCGTACAACAAGAAAAAGATGAGGATTTCGCGATTCCAGGCCTTCATCCAATACCCAGCCAGTTTTGGTCTTTGTCCAGTGTCGTCATATACACTACGGCCTTTGTCCTTTTTTCGCTTCTGGTCACCTTTTTCTCCAGGAAAAGTAAGTTAACGAGAAGTTTTCTAAGTTTAAAGTGTAAGATGAGTAATAGTGAATCGGTAAATTTTATGTGATTTTCACAGCGGGTAAATGAAACAGTAAGCTGGTAACGTTAATTGAGGGTTTTTATTTGTCAATGGGCTAAAATTTGATTTTTTTTTTTTTGTAGTTTGTCAGATGTAGTTTGATATTTTTTTCATTTCCATCACAGGTAGCGAAACACCTGAAGCCAAAAAGTTGGCTCGGCATCTGAAAGTGACTATGGCCGTTTTTGTGGGCTCTTCCTATGCCGGTTTATTTGGAACTTGGTTTTTTGGCGTTGCCTTTTGGCAGAAGCTCGGTTTTGAGGAAAGTACGATGGACTACGCGCAAAGTAACATGGTGGGTATCACAAACACCATATTCAGACTTAAATATGGTGTTTTTCCAAACTTCAGGTGCTTATAGCGTTGATTTGCTACACGGAATCCTACTTTATTCTAATGTGGCGGTCAAAAGAGTATCGGAACGCATTTACCCGTTTCTGGGGCTTTCCCAAAACAGTTTATTCAGATACAAGGAGAAGCCTCAGTACGATTAGGAAACCATCAAGAATTTCTGTACCCAAAAAATCCCTTGCCGTTTCCATTGTTTCCCACTCACTGAATGCTCAATTTTAGTTTTCTTTTTTTCCTTTTACCATAAATACATTTTGAGATCATCTACGTGGAGTCGTGGTTTGATAACTTATCGGAAATCAGAAAGATCTTCAGTTTTCATCGGAAATCAGAAAGATTTTCAATTTTCATAACCGATTGTATCTTAGAGACTATTCACCTCCCTGCAAAATTATTATTACAAGCTGGCTTTATATCCAAAGGCCTCGGGGACTTGATGAATAACGCCCCTGATTAATGCAAAATTCGCAGACAATATTAGGCTTTTTACAGACCGAATAACAAACCTAGTGATGCAGAATGGACTTGACATCCGTTTTTCAGGCGGTCTACTAACTTTAAAAAGTGGTATTCAACATTTTAAAAAAATCCCATTTTGGTGTTTGATAAACCCACCTCAATTCTTTTTATCTCATGGTCTTCAACAAAATTGCTCAGAAAATTTTGATATTTCTATTTTGCTCCGCTAGAAGTCATCTGTTTCAATTTTTTGGCTATGGAAACTGTTCAAGTGTTTTTTTTTATCTATATCAATAATAAAAACTTTTTGAATCTTTTTGACATATTAACATTTACGGTTTGATTCAGTTGAACCATATTATAATAATGTCAACTAATGAAAAAATCGTGGTTCTTTGTTTTGTCGACTCATTTTCTAAGATGCGATGAATGAACGAATTCTAGTTATAATAGTCTCCAATAGAATAATGTTATTGTCTTAATCTCCATTCACAAAAAAGCTTGAATGATTTATTCGAAAGCCCAGAGCGGAACTAGTTTTTTTTTTTTCGAACCAAAATTTTTGGTCCTCTTTTAGCTATTCAACACAATAAATAAGTTTTCATTTAGTCATGTTGAAAAAGAAATAGAAGTTCATTGACCCTCAGAAGTTATAGAGATTCAAAGTTTGAAAAAACGACAGAAAGAAAACGAATTCCCATTTTGTCGAACTTCCGGGGATGGGATTACCTTTTGTTTTTCACTATCATCATCTCTTGAATTACTATCTTTCATCGAAAAATCTTCTTCTCAAACTATTATTTTGAGCTTCTTGATGTTATGGAACCAGCTGTTGGTTGCCAGTGAAATCATCTTTTTCAACTTTATCGGCCTTTTTGGCAATTTCAATATTGTCTTCGTTACTTTAAGATATCCAGAGTTTCATAGGAAGTCAGGTGAGAATTCTTTCTAGACTTGGAAAATCGAGTAGAATAACGAGAAGATTCCATTTTTCAGCATACCTTCAATGTCTACTAACTCTATCCCACATAATTTGTCTCCTAGCCGAATTTTTCAACGCCATGCTTCTTTTACTGGATATTCAAATAACCCGAATCAACTGCTATGAAGTTATTTGGCCTTACATTTTCTGCATGTGTTTTCAAGCCGTCATGATGTTGATGATATTATTCGACATCTTCATCATGATTTACTTACCTATTTGGTGAGGTTCACAATAAAAAGGTATAAAGAAGGTTGTCTTTTAGGTACAGGAATACTGGAACTAGGAAATATGTCGGGATGATGCTAATTCTTCCTGTAGCCTATGGCGCTTTGGTCATGATTTGGGGATTTATATTGATGGACGATGAAATTGTTGTTTTCTGCAACCCTCCTATAGGTAATTTTTGAAAAACAGGAAAAAAAACTTGAAAAAATCTCCACAGGCTTGCACCCAATCGTCAGCCGATTCTGGTCTCTATCCAACGTTTTTCTGAACACTTTGGTTCTAATCGCCTTTATCGCATTAATGTTTGTGATATATCACAAAGGTAACATGAGAAAACCTTGAAGTTAAAAAAAGCGACTTTATAGGCCGGAAAAGCCGAGACGCCAAAAAAATAGTCCGACATTTGAAAGTGACCATGACGGCGTTTGTATTTTCTTGGTACACTTGTCTATTTGGCGTGGATATTTGGGTAACTCTTGGGTTTCAAGGCAACGCCCTTATTTTCCTTCAAAGCAACATGGTTGGTTTCAAAATAAAACAATTGAAATAGTTTTCTAGGTCTTTTTCGCTTTATTATGCTATTCCCAATCGTATTTTGTACTCATGTGGCGGTCGAAGGAATATCGTCAAGCCTTCCTTAAGGTAACGAAGTTCACTTTGAAAAATCTATCAGAATAAGCTCAGGTCTGGAGCCGCTTCGAACGGGTTCGCCGACTAATCCCGTCATCCAAAACTTCAAACACTTCAAAAATTAGCTACATTAATGATCGTAGTATTCAAGAAAAGCCAAAATAGTGACTTTCTGTAACCACAGCGTCTACTTCCAATGAAACTCTCGAGTTTTACTAATATGTTTATAAAGGCGTCTTTGCAGCACAATTTTAAATGTTATTGGTCTGTGTGACGCGTTGGGACGTAGAGACAACTACTGAAACTTTGGATGAAAGTTTCTTCTGAACCATCGGAATAAAATTCCACATGGTCAGAAAAGCAATACGGTAGTCCTTTGATCTCCACATCAGGACGTAAAATGACTGCGAATAGCATATCAGGGCGAAGATGACCTGAAACTTCTTTGTCGGAATAAAAACTGAATTCGAACCCACCATGTTACTTTGCAAGAAGAACAAGGTATTGCCTTCAAATCCGAGAACCACCCAAAGCTGGACGCCGAAAAGGCAAGCGTACCAGGAAAAGATGAAAGTCACGGTGCTGACTTTCAGATAACGGATCAGTTTTATAGCCTCCCGACCGAAATTCTTGGCACTTTTGAACTGGATGAAGAGCATAAGAACGACGAATAAAGTTAAGATCAAGGTGTTCAGGCAGACGCTGATTGAGGACCAGGTAAGGCTAACGGTCGGGTGATAAGCTAAAAACTGATAAATATAGAGAGAAAATTTCGGAAGCTCACCTAACGGAGGATTACAAAATGGTATGATATCGTCGTTCATCCACAAAAGGGACCAAATCATGATTATCGATCCAAAAACTGTCGGCAGAAATATCAGTGCGACGATGTAAGCAACGTTGCTGCATTTTCGATACCTTAACAAAAATATTTTGGGCCTGTTTTTTCAGTTAAGTGAATGACCATATAGGGAACAAGATCATTGCGTAGATGTCCAGCAGCATCATGAGCATGAGCATTTCTTGGAAGCAGTTGGCAAAGTTGTAAGGCCAGATTATCTTGTTGCAAGTTGTTCGGGTGACTTGATCGTTGAGAAGCAGGAGAATCGAGTTTGGTAATTCGCAAAAGAGGCAGATGATGTGACACAAGCACAGAATGCACTGTAGGGAAGCTGGAAGTAAATCCATAAGAAAGCAGTTTTTCTCATTATTTCCGCTGTCAATATTTAAAATTAGGCGCCATTTTTCGAATTATGTAGTTCTTTGTTACCTCAAGAAACTACTCGAAGATTTCTCACCCAAATTTGTTCAACTGACCCGATTTGCCGGTGAAGTTTCTGCGTACAAGCGTTAAGAATACGATATTAATATTTCCAAACAGCCCCAAGGCGTTGAAAAACAGAATTTCACTCGCAACAATCATTTGGTTGAACCTTGCGGAGACCATTCTTGCAAGAAATATATTCCGAACACAGATGGAAGTGAGATTTCCAGACAAAATAGTAGTTTGTGGGTGTTTTGAAGCCGGAATTTTTTTTGTAGTGGACTCAATCATCAATTTTTTTCCGGGTGTCTCAATATCACGAAAAAATATATATGTAGGTTTATCTCTGAGGGATTGATCTACTGCATCAATAATTAGAGAGTTTAATTTGATTTAAAAAATAGATTAAACTGTTTTTACGGGTGTACCGCGGTTGGTCATTGTCCCAGACACTGAGACTCTGGATGAAACTTGCTTTTGCGGGAGTAAGACACTGTACCACAATATGAGAAAAGCCATAAGATAGTCTTTAGAAGTTTCACCGCTAGCTTGAGATAAACTTTTTTCGCATAAGGAAAAAAAAAACAATGATTTTTCAACGACATAGTTTTTGTAGCTGTCTACGTAATCATCTTTTCGTAGCGTTCACGTCACAATTTGTTTTCAGGTATAGATAAAGTTTATAGGTTGCCCGGTAAGCAGACGTTTTGATTATTCATTTCGATTAACTTTTTTTCCTTTTTTCGTAAACAAAATAAAGAAATTCATTCAAAGGTTTTTATAAACGAATTTCATTGAATCGAAGCTGCCATTGCAAGAACCATTGCCGATAGAAACCCTGAAAAATTGAAGTCACAAAAAAAAACATTGAACTTGTTTTTCTAACCTCCAAATGTTGCTGAAAATGAAGATTTTTGAATATTAAAGTAAACTTTAGCCAAAGAAGTCGTCGAATTCGAATTGAAACTCATTTCCAGCCGATTTCCTACAAGTGTATCACCTGGCTGGTCGTTGACTGTATTTGCATAACTGAAAATATCAACTTCAATCCAAAAAATCAAGAAAAACAAACGTCAAATTCAGAGGAATGGCACCACTGGTGGTTCTAGACCAAATCTGTAGATTTTCTCCAGGTGCAGTCAATTTGAGCTCCTGTACAGCCGTTTGGAAAGTGTACTGAGCGGAAGAATCATCTGGAATATTTTGAGATGGGTTAAAAACAGATTTTCTGGTTTGACCTAGGTAAAAGCTGAATCCAGCTTTCTGACGGCCATCCCACTCGCTGGGCGAGTAAACGTAGCCGCATCGGCCAACAAACGGCTTGTTATAATCTCCTGAATCTGTGACTTAGAAATTGCTGGCCGTAGTGAGAATGGTGCAATGAATAGGGGCTTCTACAAGGTGCACCAGACTACAAAACGGCTTGCGCGTTCACATGCCTCAGGCTTGAACCGTAATGTGTTGAGCCCTTCTGCGTCGTGTCAAAGACAATATAGGCCCTATGTAAATCAAATATCATGCTCTGTTGATACCTCGATTCAATGAAACATCGAGGCTGATAGTGTCCTGGCTGAGGATCATTGTTGTTCTTGTTGAAGGTATCAGCTGAGGGAGACAGTTTGTCGACTGTTTACTGAAATTTCGAAGAGTAATGCCGTGTTCAATTTGATTCCGCGAAATGCAAAATGCCCGTTAGAGAAAGGAAAAGATCACTAAATTTTGGAGAGTCAGAGATCATTTTGCATTTCGCGGAAATTACTTTGAACACGGCATAATAATACAATTCATAAAATTTTCGAAAGAATATACTTTCGCAGTGTGCGCTGTATGGACAACGTTCAGATTTTCATGAAGATAATTAACTTATTTATTTTACCTGTAGGTCAAAATGGTGCGATTCGATTCCGTTGGACTCAACGAATTGAATGAAACACTACCCGTACTCTTCTTAAAAAAATTTCACATTTTTCGGACATTTAAAATTAAACGAACATCGCTAAAACCCAGTTTGTTGATGTAAATCTCATCGTTATTCATTGCCAAAAATGTGTAGGCAACGGTTTTCAACGCACTAAAAGTGAAGCTATAATCCTTTTGCCGACCCAAAGACCAGCACTTGTAATTGTCGAACTGAGAAAGTTCTGAAAAGAGATAAACGTGTGTAAATTCGCTCAACCCTTAATAAGGAAGTCATTTTACTTTTTGGTCGGTGAGTCCCTAAAAATTAGTCAGAACACTCCTTGATATACCAAATGAAAATCCTATCTCAACACGCACCACTTTCGAACTTTCGAAAAAGGACAGCCCAAGGCCAAGGTCACATAAATTCTTCAAAATCCGTTGAAATACTATTGTCGAGCTTTGGGCCCTTACTCCTTGGAAACTAGGAAGTCGTGCAGATTGAGACTTTCAGAATCCAAATGAAGAGGTGCTCTAACAAATTTTCAGTGATCCAAAAAATGAAGTGGTCTCACTTGTAGAAGTTCTACAAAACACAACACAATCAACTAATTTGAAAAATCATTGCCGATGAGGTAAGAGTCAGTGACAGTGTTTCCATAAGGATTAAGGATCGTCAAGTATTGACCACTCGATTGCACGCCGTTGTCCAACCTAAACCCAGAGATATAAACAATAAAATTAAAGCTAAGAAGATTATTTGAATAATAAGCCCACGTTCCAATGAGCGGCGCTTTAGCGTTGCTCCCATCGTAGACAAAGGTGCTCCAAGGAATCTGATCCGGCATGAGGCTCGAATAATTGAAGCAAGGTGTGAGGGACACCTGTAAGAAAGTTCCGATTACGCTCTGATAGCGATATTGTTGTCGATTTTCGAGATTTCCTAATCGTATGAAATTTTGGCGATAGAAAAAGAGGTTTTTAGTAGCTGCACCCGGCCTCAAGCGACTTTTCACCTCAATGCTTCAGGATGATTCCTACACCAAAGCTGTTAAATCGTGGCAAAAGCGTATAATAACTAGGAAGACCTGAAGAGAGCCCTTAAATGGAAGCCAAAATCATTAATTTTGAGTCAATGAGTACTCTTGGTCACTCTGGATTTTGAAAGTTGTTTCGCTAAATTTCACTCTACCACTTTCTCATAATTTCTTTTCGAAAATATCTCAAAAATATGAACTCTACAAAAAATTCAAACTTTCTCGTTTGGTGTACTCGCAGCGAAAACAAAAGTTGCATCTCGTGCTGTGGAAAGTGCAGCCGGTTCACCAGTCTTGTAGTTCCTTGGCATGTAAGTGCCATCGACTGAATTGGATCTAACAGCATTTCAATCTCGAAACCAGGCCTTTTAATCGAGAAAAAAATGTTACCGTCAATGAACTTGAGGTCGATGAGAAGTTTGCTCATGTTAGTGCTCGTAATGATTCTGAGGGTTCCGGTGGGCGGTCCAAAGTTATATTCAGCTCCTTTGTTAACGTCGACGATCCCAACACTTCGATTCAATCATTTTATAGTTTGGATAAATATACTCCGTTCGCTACGAATTGAAACTTTCTGCCTGTCTGCGTCTCTCTGTTCTCTCATCGGCGAGGTCAGAGAGACATGAAAATTGCGCGTAAACACGAGAGCGCAGTCGAGAGACAGAGAGGGCACAGAGAAATCTTGCCGTTTCAAGGTGGAGGACGGAAAAATTTAGAAAATTCTGGACGCCAGAAAACGTGATGGTCGCTTTTTCGGCCGTTTTCAACAGATATAATCAACTTTCAGTTGTTTTTAACTGTGAAAACACCTTCATGGATTATTAACTGTGAAAAAAACCAACCGATTATTATTGTGAAAAGAATCAAATATGTAAACGCTGTCGTTTGTCCTCAGACTCGCCTTTATATTGATTCGGGCGATAAAACCAACAGGAATTGATATCTAATAATAAAATTCATCCATTGGGACTGTGTCAAATCTTTTTTCAGTATAATTACCGTGTAATTACAATTGAAACTCTGCGGAATGTTGGTCATTGTACTGGCATTGGCTGGAAACGTTCTGGCAGTGGTTATTGGAGTATTTGGGCAATCTAGAAGCTTTCCAAGGTTGAAAGACACCATTTTGAGCAGTTCTCAAAAAAGTAAAAAAAAACTCGCCCCATTGTTGTTGGAGGGTCAAGGCAGGTAGTAGTAGTAGGAGAATAAATGAATAAACCATAATTTATCTAGCCTTGAAGAAAAATTTCAAAACCGTTTCCGAAAAAAAACGACAAGTGCAGAAAAGGACAATGGAAAATGATATCACTGTTTGCGCAGTGGACAAAGAAGAGAAAATCGATTTCAAAGCTTCTAAATAATCTTTAAACAACAATTTATTTCAGGAGAGTGTTCTTCAAAGACGTTGAAAAGGTGGTTTGCTGATAAAAAGACTAGATTTTTTGAAACGAAGTCTGTTTGGATAGTGCGTCATTCAGGAACGTCAGTCGTTCGATAAGTTCTTATTTTTATTTTATTTTTCAGTTTTTAGTAAGTTATACTTTTCATGAGGGAGTTCCAAATTAAAGGCATAAGGGCAGTAAAAAATGGGGTTTCAGGTGAAAGCAGTATCTTATACAGTTTTTTTCTTTGCGAATCGGATGGTGTACTCAAAAAAATTACAGATGTGACAAATTTAGTAGAAAAAAATGCGATTTTACTTTTCCCGCCTTTAATTTTTGAAAAAAAGCTTTGGATCGGTCTACGGACAAATGTTTACAGTAGCCGTGCACGCGATGTTGCGGACGTCTCATTAGACTCGCTTTTTGTGAGAAATAACTGGATATCTGCTTCAAATCAAGGATTTTTTCTCTGAAAAATCGATTAAGAAAACAAAAAACACACACCGATAAAAAAAAAAACACAAAATATCGCTATCCCCATAGGAACCTGCGTGAAATCATCATTTTTCACCAAAGAAGCATTTTTGCGATCAAAGTTTGCAAATTATACATGAATAGAAAGCTTTTGTGACGAAAACAACTTTGGTGACAACAGAAAAAATTGAAAATTGAAAGAAACGAAGAAAAAAGCGAAAATCCGGAAGATGGCGATGCTTGTTGTCCATAGGGCGACTTTACTGCAAAGCGCCCTTTTCGCGGGAACTAAAGCTTTCATTTCTCCAACTTTGAATTATTTTTTCTCCAAAACTAGGAACTTCTGTACGTTTTCAAGTTAACCGTTCGATTCGCAATGAAAAGCTCTACAAAGTACTGCTTTGAACTGAAACACCGTTTTTTACTGCCCCTATGCCTTTAATATTTATCTCGAATTTTTAAAGACGAGTATTCTCAAAAATCGAAAATGTGACGTGATCAAAAAAAATTTTTGTTATAGTACTACGGTATCAGTAGCTTTAACATGAGTCAATCTTTGGTAAAATTTTTAAAAAATCAATTCTCAGATCCCTGAAAAAGGAAGAACTTCTCTACGCTCTCTCATCCCTCGGCGAACCTCTCCTGTCGACGTGCTGTTTTCATGTTTCTCTGACCTCGTGTGTGAGAGAACAGAGAGACGCAGGCACACGAAAACTGTCAAGAAGGTCGGAGAGCATTCCAGGTTTTGTGTGGGAACTATTTTCAATCCTTCAAATTTGTATGTTTAGCTTAACTTTGCCCAAGATCTTCCAACCGTCTAGAACCTCCCAAATCCTTCTAGCTTATTTTAAAATACACAGTTCTTGCTTGTTTAACGTCATAATGTTTCATATCTTTCCAGAACCTTTCAATTAAAAACTTCTTTTACATTCAGAAAGAGCTCTCCAACCTCTTGGAATGTTCTAGTTTTTTTCTATTCCTTCCAAACTCTCTAAACTCCAACTTTATGCTAGAAAAATCCAAAACCAACTCCCTGTTAGTTATTTTAAATAGTCTAGTTTTTTTTTTTTTAAATGATAAATGGTATACTCCAACGTCTTTACTGACCATCATAACTAGTCCTTCAACGTGAGAGTTATAGAAGCTTCAAAAGTCTTTCGAAAAAATTCAAATGATTCAGAAAAGAATAATATTAAAACCGGGAGTTGTCACAATTTTCTTCGGTCTTCAAAAAAAAAAACGAAGGGAAATTAGTTTATGTTTAAAAAATGAATTACTCGCATTAGATGAAGACCTTCATCGCACAAACCAACGCCAAGAAGAAACCTGAATCGAAAAGTATATAAATTAAGTATAGTACTGACCTCCGAAAGTTGCGGAAAATGAAGATTTTTGAACATTGAAGTAGACTTTTGTCATTGAGGTTGCCGTATTCGAATTGAAAACGACATTCAGCGTGTTTCCTACGAGCGTTTCCAATGGCTGATTGTTGAGGGTATTTATATAACTGAAATTTAACCACTACGCCGGAGAAAAAAGAAAAAACCGACGTCAAATTCGAAGGAACGGTAGCACTGGTTGTTCTTGACCAAATCTGTAGATTTTCTCCTGGTGCAGTCAATTTGAGCTCTTGTACAGCTGTTTGGAAAGTGTATTGAACGGAAGAATCGTCTGGAATATTTTGAGATGGCTTAAAAAAAACAGGTTTACTGAACTTACCCAGGTAAAAGCTGAATCCAGCTTTCTGACGGCCATCCCACTCGCTGGGCGAGTAAAGGTAGCCGCATCGGCCAACAAACGGCTGGTTATAATCTCCTGAATCCGTGACTTGAACAATGCTAGACACAGTGAGAATGGTTCAACGCTAACGGTTTCTACAAGGTGCACCCGACCACAAAACGACTTGCGCGCTTACGAGCTTCAAGCTTAAGCCGCAGCACTTGAGGTCATTCTAAATGCTATCCGAAACCGCCCGTCCTTTCTGCACCCTTTCATTCTTCATCTCCGAGCGAAAAAGAAAGAAAATGATCAGACGGATATATTGAATATTATTCTTATATATTATTCCTCTTCACCTCGGTCCAGAGATATGTTGAGGTTGATATTGTCTTGCTGAAGGACCAATGTGGTCATAGTGGCTGGAATGAGCTGAGGAAGGCAATTTGTAGTGTTTTTCCTGAATTGAAAAAACATGGTTTCTTGAAATATTTTAGAAACCTGTAAGTGAGCATCGCATTTGTCGAAGTAGTCGGACTCAACGGACTGAAAGAAGCACTTCCAATACTGTTCTATAATTATTTTTTTCAATTTGTAGGTAATGTTTTTATAGAAAACCTGGCCGAAAGCCAGCTTGTTGATGTAGATCTCATCATTGTACATAGCCAAGAATGTGTAGGCATTCTTTTTGGTCGCAGTGAGGGAAAAAGAGTATTGGAACTGTTTACCCAGTGACCAACAAGAGTAAATGTCGAATTGTGAAAGTTCTGAAACTTGTCTTAGATTTTTGTTTCAAAGCACGCAAGTTTGAAAATATTCTTTATAGCTTGAGCCATGAAAAAAGGGTCCTGGAACGATAATATACTCACTTGACAAATCATTGGCGATCAAGTAGGAGTCGCTCATAGTACTCTGATAAGGATTTACAATTGTCAAATATTGACCACTCGATTTGATTCCTTTGTTCAGTCTGAAAATATTATTTATATTTTAATCATTTGATTAATTATCTAACGTTCCAATAAGTGGCGCATTCGTGTTTTTCCCGTCATAAACAAAGGTGAACCAAGGAACTGGATCATTTTGTGGGTTCGAATAATTGAAGCAAGTTGTTAAAAATACCTGAAAATCGTTTTTTTTTTTTTGAATTTACTCGACATTAATGTTTTTTTAATTTGAGAGACATCACGAAAATGTCAACAAGTGTGCATTGGCGTTATTTCTGTGCCTTGCTCTCGGTTTTTTAAAAAAATTTTTTTCTGAAATTTTTTTCTTCTTTCTTTAAAAAAACAAACTTTCTCATTTGGCGTGCTTGCAGCAAAGACGAGGGCTGAGACTCGTGCCCCTTGAAGAGAAGCTGGCTGGCCGGTATTGAAGTTTCTTGGCGTGTAAGTGGCAGCAACTGAAAAAATTAATCATTTACAACTTCAGAATTGAGCAGAAGTTCGTCACATTGTTTTAAAGCGATTTTGAAGGTTCGATTATGTTTTTTAAAAATTATCCGCTTTTTTTTTGTTTAATTGTTGCTTTTATACATTATTAGCCTAAAAGAGTAATCGGAGACTAATCTCTAGATAGAAAAATTCTAAAAAAAATTATAGTTTTTTTCAAATGTATCCCCTACATTTTTTTATAAACTTTTTTTCTTCGTTTAAAAAAATATTAGCTGATATTGTAGAATTCAAACTTGCGATTGCATCGTGAAGTTCAAAAATTAGGAAATCTCTGACTTGTCACTGCCATTTTAAACTTTCAAAAATACTATTTTTATAATTTTTGGAAAATTTTGAAAAGAGCTTACCGTTAATAAACTTGAGATCGATGAGAAGTTGGCTCATGTTTGTGGTCGTAACAATAGCCAGGCTTCCACTAGTAGGCCCGTAGTTGTACTCGGCTCCAGTATCTATATTGACGATCCCAACTCTGAAATTCATCTTTTTTTGGCTTAGAACATTAGACTATGCTTCAAAGTATATAAAAATATTTTAGTTTTCGTGATGGAACTTTGTAAATGATCAAAAAATGTGAATGGTAATCTTCAACAAAATGTTGTGAATCAAATCACAACCAATCATATAAACAGACCAAAGACGTCGAACAAGAGGATAAAGGTCCCCTCAAGGAGCCAAAAGACCGTCCGTTATTAACGAGACTGGTTTCACTCTCCAAAGAGGAAAAGGGCCTTCCCTCGACGTCTCTGGCCTGTTTCAATTCTTTTGGGGGTCCCTCCTCTGGCCAGCCGCAACCCGTACCACTCTAGACGCGCTGACTCAGAACTGTGCAACGCCGTCCGCAGCGTTCAGTCGCCCGCAGTTTTCGGTCTCTTCCCCGTTGCCACTTTTCATTTCTCCTTTTTCACGATTTTATATCTATTGTCGTAATTTATATTTTGTTTCGTTCTATTTTGTTTATATGGTTTAAATACCCAAGTTTGAGATAAATTCTTCGTTGGAACTGTCTTCATCGGAAAAGGAACAAAGAAGGAGATCAGAGGGATCAGCCTCACCTTACAAAATGGTTATTGATGAGAATATACGGTTAAATTCTCCAACCAAAACTGATGGAAAAAAGCTGTGAAATGGTTCAAAGAGTCGTGGTTGGCGAACCGTTTCAAGTCGGGCGCATTTTAAAGCAAAATGTCTGCTGTCAACCATTCCACGTGCGACCATGGTTTAAAAAAAAAACTAACTTGACATTATTCTTAAACGAGTCTGTTATGAAAAACATTGTCTTTACTGCTCAATGTCGCTTTGATATTAACTTTAACGATAAAACCAACTGGAATCGATATCTGAAAAAAATTATATTTTTTTATGTTAAAAATGATAACTACCGTGTAATTACAATTGAAACCCTGGGGAATACTCGTCAATTTAGTAGCATTGGCTGGGAAAGTTCTGGCAGTGGTGATTGGAGTTTTTTTGGGCAATCTAAACTCCAGAAAAAAATCTAGAAAACATCATTTTTTTAACCAATATTGTGTAAATATTGTACAAAGTTCTCAGAAATCCGCAAAAAGAGAAAAAAGACTGACCCCATTGCTGTTGTAGCGTCAAAGCCGGTAACAGTAACAAAATGAATCTATACATCATAATTTTGCAAATCTGAAAATCGTGATAAAAAATATGTTGCAGAAATGGCAATGAAAAAATCTGTTATCAGTGTTTGCCTAACAGACAAAAGACTGAAAAAGTGGAAGAAAATCGATTTCTAAGTTTTAAACTAGAGCTTGCACTTTTGAACGGTTATTTCATGCGGAAATCAACCGAAAAGATGAAAAAAGTGGTAAAATGATAAGAGATTTACACTTTTGTATCAACATTTGTTTGGATAGTGTGTCATGGTACAACGTCAGTGGCTTGATAAGTTCGTATTTATTTCATTTTTTCGAAATTTTTGATGAGTTATGACTGGAAAGTAAGTTTTTGCTCGTGGAATAGGCTTTGATGTGCACCGGACTTGAAACTACTTGCGCGTTTTTTTTTTTTGAATCCTTCGTTAGGAGGTGTTTCGATTCCACAAGTCGTTTTAAGTCGGGCGTACCTTTTTCTTCGAGTCATTCATTATTGAGCCAGATGAGTTTCTCAATAAATAAACTGGTCTTCGAGCTTGTCGTTTTAGGAACTATTTTTTTAATCCAAAAAAACCCTGTAATCTTTCTCTTTTTTTATTCAAATCAACAAAAATCGATTTAAAAAATGGTTTATTCGTTAGGTCTACTTATGAAACCGTCCAGAATCGTTCCGATTCCAAAAAGAATACAACAAAAGCATTCCAAAGCTTCTTCTCCTTCGCTGTGCTCCTCGTGGCAACTGTTTCTTCTGCCTATAAATTTTTCCAAATTTGAAATGAGGCTTTTTTTTCAAATCCAAACCATTTTGAAAGAAGTTGGAATCATTTTGCTGATCTTGATAGAAGTGATGATGCCCTCGTGAAGACTCGGACTCAAAGTTCGTTCGGGCAAAATCAGAAGAGAATATTGAAGGTTGAGAAATCGGGATCGGTTGTCTGGAAGGAGGTTTTTGATAGATCTTTCAGTAGAATCGGCAAATTCGGGAAAAATTGTTGATTTTTCAAATATTGATTCAAAACCTAGGTGAATCAACTGAGATCAAGCTTTAAAAACGTGAATCCGTGTCAGGAGTCTTTATATTAAAATTTTGCGGTTTCTTTGGGAATATAAAGGCCATGGAACTGTAGGCTGAGAAATCGTGCCAGGACCCTTTAATGAAAATCTGCCGAACCTTTTAAACATTGTCTCTAAACATAGGTGAATTAACTATACTCTAAAAGGGAAAAAACGACGAACTTTAAAGTTCCAATTTCTTGAAAAAAAAATAATGCTCCTTCGTTTGGCCCTAGGTGAAAAACTATATTTTAAAAAGTTCTAGAGACTTATTAGGGCCCTTTTTTGAAACTCACGGATTTTTCACATTTGGCTAGAAACAGAGGGGACTCAAATGTAAATCAAAAACCTTATTGACTTTAATAAGTACCTAATTATCGCCGAATCTGGAATGTTCGGCAGGAAACTAAGTTCATCTGGGAAGGCTCCTCCGCTGGATGTCGGTTCTGAAGACGTTGAAGCCATTGGTGGCGATTCTGGTTCATTTTCTCGATTCTCTTGGGTTTCGTAAGGTGGTGGTGAATCCTAAAATTGATATCTCACCAGCTTATCTTGTTTTTTTTTTAAGTTTAAAAGAAAGAAGTGAATAACTGACCGTTGATCTATCCGGAAGCCGGGTAGCTTCTTCGTAAGTCGGTGGCTTCGAAGACATCTTGGAAAATTCTAAAAATCATTAATAAATGTAAAGTTGTATTGTTTTTGTGAACTTTTCAAAAAGTTGCCATTTTATTAGAACTATCAAGGAACTGATAAGCTATCGTATTCGGTAATTTGACGTCACGACCGGTGAACTATGACAGATTGTTGTGACGGTTGTGATTGACGAAATTGATTATCAATTTGTGGAGGTCTTAGTCATTTGCCTGACATTTTTTTAAAATTGAAAATGATCTTCTAACTAGAGTTCGGTTAACATGAAGTTATTGCGGCGAGGGTTCCCTTGAGTGAAAATATCAATGTTCTTATACGTTTTTCATTTCTAACCAAGCTCTCCAAGGAAAGTAATTTCACTCTGTACTTTCAAATTTCTGGAAATCGGCCAAGGTACTACTCGGTGTGTCAGGATGTTACAAAAAATACAGGAATCCCCAAAATTGGACTTGAAAAATTCAGTTTCCGTGAAGGCACATATTTTTAATGGGCCTGATCAGGTTACTACATAAATAATAAGGCACCCTTTTATTTTTATTTTTTTCTATTTTTTTGCTGTTCTCGACGAAGTGGATATTATTTATTCATATTATTCTTGAGATTAAAAAAAACAGGATCTATACAAAAAAATAATATCACAAGCGCATTAAAAAAATTGAACCGGTGAATAAAAACCCAGAAAACGCGATGAAATTGATGGGAACAAGAACACAAACCGATTTGACTGGAAATGAGCACAAATTTCTATTTGAATAAAAAAATGGGAAATAATTCGACTAAGAACTTCAGAACTTTCTGAAAAATGGCCGAAAGGCTCTTGAGCGCTAAATGAAATCAACTGGGAAAACCGAAAGGATCTCTGATTTCATTTATCCAACCATTGCTCAAAATCTGAAGTTCCAATTCAAATTTAAAAAAGAAGATCTACAATTATTATCACAAACATCGATATATCAACAAAACTAAGGAATTTCTAAGGATGATTAGGCTGTTCTTCTTCTTCTTCAGACTCCTCGGCCTCCTCCTCCTCCTCTTCTCCCTGTTCTCTCTCCTCTCCGGGCCTTCGCATCAAATCCGCTCCCATGATCCGGCCAAAGGCGAATTCGGTCAGCTCGCGTACCAAGTCGCCGGCGACCCTTTCCACTGCCGTTCCCAGGTTTTCTTCCTGAAAAAGGTAACAGTTGCCTTTTACAATGAGATTGTCTACAACGGAGGTCATGACAGTGTGAATTTTGGAATTTCCTAAAATTTTTCACAACGAATCTGTCAGAGTACTAGGAGTTCAAATTTATCTATGACCTCCGAAAATTCGTTTTTTTTTTTCCATACATAGTTAGGCCTAATACTCCGATTTCACAACTTTGAAAGTTACTCATTCCAGCGGGGCTCTGAGGAATCACAATCTTGACCTTCATAAATTTATCGGGCGAATTTGTGGAAAATTTGAAAAAAAAAACACAACAATTAGCTCTCTTTCTATTCGCTAAACGCATGTTAATCAAAGTCACAGAGATTTTTAAAAAAATTTGTATTTGATTGAAAAAAATTAGCTTAATATTGGCTCTTTTTAAATATTTAAACAAACCCGGTCAAAGTCAGGATATAGAGAATGCAGCAATCCCGACCAAAACGAGTCATTTCCAACCGGCATCGCCTGATTCGTGCGGGTGAAACTGAAATAAATAACATTTTTTTCAAACAAACTTATACAAAAAAAGGTCGGACTCCTCTGCCCTCTTGTTTCCCTTAATTACATGCTGTTTTCATTTTTCTATGACCCCGCTGGTGAGCGAGAAGAGGGCACAGACATGTCAGACTGTTTCAAGCCGTGACGAATGACCTACAGTGAAAGAAATATCAGATGAAAAAGAAAGAATGAGGGAAGTTTTTAGAAAATAGTATATTTGAGGTCACATTTACGGCTGAACCTATAAACTTTAAAACTTTTTTCAACTTTTTCAAAAAAGCGTCTGGATCATTTTCACTCGATTCTCCTACTAACATCGCTCTTCCTCTTGGCGGCGGTACCGGGTCCGTGATTGAATTCGACGCCGTCAAGCCGAGCAGTTCGGCTAGCCTGGAGACGTTTGGGGCCATGCCCGTGAACATCTTCTGTCGCCTAGAACATTTAATGAAGTATCGAAGAATTCTTGAGAAAATGTTCAAATTTGAGGAAAAAATGAGAAAAAAACTTGGAAGCATTCTACTAGCAAAATAACTGAGGCAAATTTGTATGAGATCGTCTGAAAAAATTCAAACTGTTCTTCTGGTAGTTTCGATCTCACAGGCTCCCAGAAAGCTGTTCATTAATTCAGCCGTACTTTGTGCGCCACGCCTGCAACTCCTCCTTGAACTTGGGCTCGGCAGCGACGAGCCTCGTGTTCATCTCCAGCCAGGACATGGTCGAGGGCGCTTTCCACAGCTCGCAAGACTGCTTGACGTAAATCTTCTGAAGGAGTTTCAGGCCGTCGCCTTCGCTGAAATCCTTGTTCAGCTACAGAATGAACGCTAGAGTTTCAGACCGGCTGGCTTGAATTTTGCTGAAATGCTCGTGAGTTTCCACCAGCGGATCCGGCTCCATTTGAAGTTCATCTAGAAGATCCGTGACGAAGGTAGGGAAGGCGACCAAGGCTTCTTGGAGCTGAAATTTCGTTTCTAGATGGACAAAAGTAAAGGGTGAAAAATGGTCGCATTTGGAATGGCTCGACGCGAAAAGGGAACTTTGAATCTTTTTCATGAGAAAATGTATGAAACTTGAGAATTGAATGCTTTAAAACGTATTTCATAAAAATAAAAAGTCTCTAAGTCAAAATGAAGCTTTTCTCTAATGTTTTACGTTTTTGAGCGACCTGAAGCTTGTCAAATTTAGCCGTAACTTCAGGAAACTACTTTTTTTTTAGTGCAGCCTACTTTCGCACCTACAGGAGAGACGGAAACCCGCTAAAGGTCGGGCGAAACTTTTGCCCCGTCCAACTTTAAAAAAAACGTTTTTCGAGCCTTTCTCACACGGTTCCTATTGAGTTCCAAATCGTTAGAATGCGAAAATCCAGAAAAAAATTCTATTTCAAATCAGGATTTTTTCAAAGTCATGTCATTTTCCTCACCAAATCATCTGCCTCATCCTTCTCTTTTTCGGTTTTGGCGTAGTGGAACTTTGCCAACGCCACAGAATATCTCATGTTCGGCAAAAGGTGCAGGTTTTTCCACGACTAAATTTAGGGAATGTTCATTTTTAACTCTCGAAAACAGAAACCTTGGCAGCATTATAAAAACTGATGAGCCATTTGTATTGCAGAGCGTTGATGGCAATGGTGTCAATGATGAGAATTATGGCTAATGGGTCACCTATAATTCGAAAAATTGTAATAGAATGGAAACATGATAATACTTATGATTCAAAATAATTGTTGAAATCGAAATGAAATTTTAAAAAAAAACTCACGTTGAGGGTCCATTTTGAAGATGAGCTTGGCGACGTTCAGAGCCGTTTCGAAGCATCTGAAAACTTCTTTGAAAACCCATTTTTGAGCTTTTTCATGAAGAAAAAAGAATGAGGCGGGTGAAATCTGCATGCAAAGCAGTTTTGGCGGGAATTCAAAAATTTTAATTCTAATTTTTGTAACTATTATCTTTCTAACGTGCTCAAAGTACTAGAAAACATCCCCGAAAAGTAATTGATAACCTATTTTTGCAATTTTTTCACCTTTTATGAACAATATTGAGCAAATGACGGTGAAGCAAGAGATAGAAGGCCCGATTTTCGTAGTCTAAATAATCGATCCGATGTTTCCAGGACATTGGCTGGAACTGGGCGGCGAAATGTTGCTCGCAGAAGTAGATTCCGCGTTCTAAGAATGAAACATGTTGAAAAAAATATTTCAAAATAAACACTAAACTTGGAAAAACTTCAAAAACATGTCTACTGAAGTCAATGAACACCGTAAAGGAATAAAAACTGGAACATTTTTCTTTGATTTCAATAAAATTCCACCCCATTTCATCGTGTAACGTTTGAAATGAACAGGTTAGCGAAAAATTCAATTTTGAAGCGAATACCTGGTTCAGAAAGATTACACAAAACTCAAAAAAGCCGTCAGAGAGTGGAAAAGATAACTAAATTTTGGATATCCAGAGAAAACTCTGAATTTTGCGCAAATTACTTTGAAAACGCTAGAAAAAGAGAAATTTCTACCAATCACACGCTATTTCTATTTTTTTTTTCGCTGTCAATTTTTTTTTTCGCTGTTTTTTTTATTATCAAGTTTCTCGTCAATTGAGCACATTATTCCAAAACTATTACCTATAAAATCGCAAGATTGAGTAAAATCGTCTTGCATTCGCATCACGTTTGCAATCGAGAGCAACGAGTTCAAATGGTAGCCGGTTTGCTGAAGAAAAAATTATTTTTTTCTTAAATTTCTTGGTGAAATTTCTCACCACCAGAATCTCATTGATCATTTCGACGTCGTGATTGTCTTCGGCATGCCAAAACATTCTGAGAATCGAAGATGATGACTTGAGGACCATTTTTTGGGTTCAAACCTTTCAAAAGGTTCATACAAAGGTTGATGAACAAATTTGAACCAACGGACATCCTCTTCGTCTCTATCATGGACCATTGTAACTCCTAGAAATCATTTTATTTTTCTAAGAAAATGAAAAAATTTTGGCGGTTAGGTTCTACAAAGTGTCGTTTTCCCATTTTCCCCGTTAAGTTCATAAAAAATCAGGATTCAAGCAAATTTCTTCCAAAAAAGTTTCCGAGTCTTTTTCTCCATTTTTGCGCTCTATTAGCACCAAAAGGCCAGAGAATTTCCACAAAAATTCCCTTTAGTGACCTCTTGAGAACATAAAAACCGAAATATTATCCAAACCTAAGCTTTTGCTTGGCGGCCAATAAGGCTTGGTTTGAACGAGTCTTGATCTTGGCAAACGGCTTTTGCTGGTCTCTCCGAGAATTCGAGTTGGAACTGCTTTCCTGAAGAAAGTATTACGGAAAAACTTTCAAAAAAGTAAAAAAAAAATGATTGAAAAATTTTTTTAATCCAAAAATATGAAAAAAATGTCAAAATTTTTGTGGATTTTTTTATTCTGCCTATCTTGAGAGATCATTAAAGAATGAAACAAAAATTCCATACCTTCAAAGCTTTTCCCAGCAATCTTTTCAATTCGGCGGAAGGGTCAAACATCTTTGGATCGACCTTAAATTTGATTTTTTTTTCTCTTTCATAATGTTGAAAAATCCTTGCATAACCCGAAATAAAACTCGAAGCAGATCTCGGTGACTTATAAAATTGATTATATTAAAATAGTAAGGATTTGGAAAAGAAACAGAAAGTTCATACCTTCATTAACTCGATCAAATCGTCATCGCCATCATCAGCATTTCCGGCACACTCATTCTTCAATTTGTTCTGAAAAGGGTTCAAATTCAGAATATTGTATTACGATTTTCCGCTCTCCAATAAAGTTTTACCATTAAAAAGACCCCTAGATCAATACTTAAAAAAATAAACTTTAAAGCGTTATTACTCACTTTCAAAGTGTTAAAAAAAAATTTTTTTGAACTAGAAATATAAAACTGATATTTTTTTACCTCAGCCGCATATCTTTCGAGCAACTCTTCTTCGGTTTCTACCGCTGGAAGCTTTTTCCCGTTTTTCTTCTTCTGTTTCTTATTTTTCTTCCTTTCCTTGGCAGTGTTCTGAAAATTTATTTTAACATGAATAAGTGGTTGGAAGGACAATTTTCAGAGAAAATTTATCAACGAACCCAGTTCTGGTTCTCCACGGATCCGGCTGCTTTTTCAGAGTCCGAAACTGATTTCTCCTCTTCTTCATCGTCTCCATATGAAAATGGATCGCATTTTAAAAAAAAGAGGAGTCACAGAAAGGTACCAAGAAAAGCAAAACGATTTACAGGAACTCGACTGTGCCGCGGAGCTAAATCGTCGTCGTCCAGCTCTTCGGCTATCTTAAGACAAAAAAATTTTTTAAGTTTACACAGAAGCCGAGAGGAATTGAACTCTCAAAAGGCTAAAAGGAATTTATTTCAAAAATTACCGTTTCTCTTTTCTTCCGCTCTTCCTCCTCATGCAGACGCTTCAACTGGCTTTTTGACATCCTTCTATAAGTTCAATGAAATAATTTTTTTTATTTTAAAATAAATGTCCTGTTACGAACAGTTACGGATATTCATTGAAAAAAAGTTCTAAAAGAGAGACTAATTCTCGATTCAGTTTCTTTTGTAAAAAAAATAAACTTTTTTTCAATCGGGATTGCTTCCAGAGAAAATTCTCCATTTCACTGAAATGATTTTTTTTGTAATTTTCATGAAAAGCTTTCTTAATGTCGTTTGAGGCGGAATCTCGAATGGAAGGATTGATAAATGACTACTTCTATGTAATATTTGACAATGGATTGGAGCGAATACAGAAATAAACAATCAAAATAAAAGCAAATTTAAATTTAAAAAAAAAATTAAATCTGCACGTTGTATTGGCCGCATTCGCTGAAGTGGTTACACAAAAAGCATGAAGTCCACGCGCAAAACTGTGAGGAGTGTTCAGAAAAATTCATTCACCGAAGTTTTTCGAAAACTTCTTAGAACACTCTTGAATAAGCGGCGAAATGAAGATCCTGAAATTCGTGACTTGAACAACTCCAAAGTACTTGAGAATGATGATTTTGTTCAAGGAGCTAGAACTTGGAAATTATTAATATAAAATTATACGGAATCAGCCGGTTACGACTTACAGGATCTTCATCTGGTATATTGATAAACGAAAGAACTTTCGAAACGTAACAATTGTTCATTCGTGCGCTGAAGTTGCTTTGAAACGGCAATCGCTTGTTTTTTTTTGAATTTGAAAACATTTCGTTGCAGTTTGAAACAAGTTTCCAAAAATCTAGACCCGTATCAGACATGACGAAGAGCTGGTTTGACACTTTCATGAAATGGTAAGTAATATATCTGATTTGTCATTGTTGTAATTTTTTTAATTTCAGGTTATTTTTCTATCCTTCTTTAACAGCCGTATCAGGAAATTCGTCATAAATCCTTGACAATGTCTCACATGGCAAACTTTGAAAAGGTGTCTAGTTTTACTCCGAGACATTTACAGTTATGTTACCATGATGCTGAAATTTGCAGACATTTTCACCACACCTATTTGTCACTGAACAAACAGGAAAACGAAAAGAAATTGATAAGGACTTTAAAAGCTGCGAAATGTTATCAGGAACATTTTCTGTTGGAGTCAAATAAACTTACTTTTCTGATGGCAGTCTTTAGTTTGGTTTTTTTTTTCTTTTTTACTGGGATGCTTATCATATGTGGTGTTCCTGGATACATTTTTTTCAAATGCAGTTTTTTATCGCGATGTTCTAAGTAAATGGAATAATTTACGAAATTTTCTCAGGAAACATGGCTTCGCTTCACTTTTTATCGCTTTTAATGGTTTTCTACAACGTTGTGAGCTCACAAATAAGTAAGATTTTTTCAAATTTGCTTTTTAAAAAATATGAATTTTCCAGTTTGTCCCACAAAAACTTACTCCCCAGCGGATGGTGTCATCTACCTACCAGTAGATAATTCAATGACGACTTTGCCGAAAAATTTCAACTGTAATTATAAGGTATTCTTGTAAAAGAATAAAAATAAAGAAAATCAATTTTCAGTTCAATATTCCTGCTGGATTCGTCGCGAAAATCACGGCCAATACGAAAATGGCTGTTGGCGACGTATTGAGTTACACAAACTCTTTAGGGGCCACTAACACGTGAGGAAGAAATCATGTCTAAATCTCTTTCATTTACACACTTTGTATTCTCAATACCCTTTTTTTTCTCATGATTGAAACATTTTTCGGCTCAAGCCAAGTGTTAAACGAATTTTTCTGAAAATGACTTAACGCGCCCGACCAAAAACTTCGTTCGCATATAACGGCGCAGCTTCAAAAAATAAACTCTTTGAAGCGAAATCGTGTTGCCTTTTTTTCTAATCTTGGACAAACTAATTTTTCATTTTCAATGAATTAATATTTTTTTTTAAGACTTCCAAATCCGATTTCCAACTACGTGAGATTCGTAACGTTCCCGTCTGGATCTTTAAATGTCGCCACTAAATTTGAAACCAGCAGTTTCAGTGCAAAACTTGAGTTTGTTGATGGTAAGTCCTTTTTGTTCTAACTAAGAGATAACCTCAACTGGTGATAGGACTTTTTAATGAGAACTAGTTTAAAAGACGCAGTTTGTTTCGCTGATTCCAAATCAGTTCATAGATTTCTCCGAGGGTGTTTTTGTAAAATATTGTGACAATTCGAAGTTGAAAAAAACCCGATTCATCTCTTGAGAACGATAAAAACGTTGATCACGAAAAAAATTTTTATTTTTTTGGACAAAATTCTCGAGTCAAAAAATAATTTTTGTAGTAGCTCACAAGCTTGATGGATTGTAATAAAGGCCCTAACAAGCCTTCCTGACAGTTTTTCATGAGGAAATCCGGGATAAGCCTAAAAAAAAGATCTTGAGGGCCTAGTTTCATTTGAAAATCTCACTTACAGAACTGAAAGTGCAAACAAAAATCCAAGTTAAACAAGAAATTTGCAGTTAGAAATACTTACACTCAAACGGTTTTATCAACTGGAAATTACGTTGCTCTGAATGATCTGAGAAAAAAGAGTTACGTGACGTTCAACAGCAAGAAAGTCAATGAGAAGGTTCGTTTTTTTTTCCAGCAAAAATAAGCTCTTTTTCTATTTTTTTTTTCATTCAGATCAGGCTTGACATCGCCGCACCGACAAATAATATAACTGACTCGACTTGGGACCAAGTTTTCGTTTTTCAAGGAAATAACCTGAATGGAAACTTCCTCGGAGGGTTGAAAATGACATGAATATTGAGGATTTTCTTTTAAATTTAGACTGACCAACTTTACAACGGGTCCGCCAGGAATTCCGATTTCTATCGTCAATTTTTACGCAACTTCCACTCCGTCTTATGTTGTGGCCAATGACGAATCTGGTATTTCAATTCTTTCAGGAAGACATTGAGAATAGACTCATAAGGAAGGTCATATCACTTTTTGGTCGAGAAATTCCTGAAAATGAGCCAGCACACTCCTTGAGGAAGTAGTTGAAGATTCTGAAAGTTTTTATCTGCACAAGTTTCTAGTTTTTGAGAAAAGACGCCTCAAAGTCATGAAAAGCCTTAAAAACTCGTTGAAATTAGCATTTTTTAAGCCTTATTACTCGAAAACTAGGTAGCGGGGCAGAATGCGAATTTTTTTATAACATCAAGAAGTGACTGGCCAAATTTCAGGCTTAAGAATTCGAAAAAATATTTTTTGAAGCTTCCTGGTTCCTTGAAGTTGGAATTATTGCCTTCTCAAAAAATCCTCTTTGAATATATTCGTATTTTCCTTTTAATAATAATGATTATTATTATTTCGTTCACTGCGTACGGTATGAATATATGTAGTTATAATAACACAAGACATTCCTTGTTAAATAAACGGCAAAAATGTTTTTCAGCCCTGGCCAAATTCTCCCTTTACAAGGCCTACGTCATCGAAGGTCCATCCAGAGGCTCTTTCAGGAGTTCGGTAGCAAAACCGGCCGCTTATACCTTCATTTCCAGTACTTCTAATGTTGTGTTCCTCGAATCACTCGATTTCGATTCTTTCCACACGGTTTGTGAGGCCTTTTTGGATCTTCTCTTTAGAATTTTATGTCCTTCTCCCTCATTCCCTTATATTTCAAACCTTACCTTGAAAAAAAAACACTCAAAAGGCCTGAAATGAGCTTTCTTTTCATGAAATTCTTTCTCATCCAGAAATTTTTCCATGGAAACTCCTAGTTTTACAATCTTACAGGTTGTCTGAATAATATAAATTTGGAATTTTTCTTAGGTCTTGTTACTATTTTTGAAAATTTATCCCTAGATATAGTTACTAACTCCAGAGTGGTCCTTTATAGGGGCAATCTTAAACGCCCTTGAAAATTTCTCTAGGGGCTACTTCACCTGCCCCTATCGGGACTGCTCGAGCTTTAGGAGCTTCAAGGTCAAACTCTAAACCCCTATAGGGACCACCAAAATTTTACCCCTCTAGGGTGCCCTTTTTGTTCCCTATAGGGGCTGCTAACCCCTTGGGGGTTTCTCTGACGCTCCCAGGTAGCTTTAAAATTTTAAGATAACCAATCTCGGCTACGTCTCATTCCAGTCTCTGGCGCCGACGAGCAGCAATTTCGAAACTCTCCGTTACGAGTGAGATTTTCGAAGGAATTCATTAAAGTTTCAAATTCTGACTTTGAAGTTGATGGCCGCACGTGGAATGGCTTAGAGCTTGGCGGTTTCTTAAAATTTACAGCTGCTCATATGTTGTACTCATTTCTTTTCTGATACTTTTGCGCGCAAGTCGTTTTGGCTCGGGAACGTTTCCAAACAGTAAGGCGACTACGACATTCCAAATGACATCACTGTGTTTCAAGCCAAAGCAAGGGAAAATACAGATACTCATAAAAGAGGTCGACTTTTGGAATTTTTGAGTGTAAAGGCCATTCCAATTGCTAGCAGAGATTTTCAGCAGAAATCATTGGAAAAAAAAAATAAAATAATGTCCTCAAATATATTTTGTTTTTTGAATTGTCCGATAGCCATTCCAAATGCGACTGTGCAATTTGAAAAAATGGAGCCGTCAACCAGTATAAAAACGTCTATAAATAAACGAATTTTGAAATTTTTCCTCCCATAACCATTCCAAATGCGACCATTTTCGAGTCGAAGCTTTTTCAGCGCTCAATCCTTCACCACAAATTCCTTGCCTCAACAAATTCCGACCAACTTTTTCACAATGCTCGTCTCTCAAAGTGGCATCAGATTGTCTTTCGATTCGAATTCAGGTTTTTCTTCCTTTCAAAAAACCTTGTATAGCTGATTCACGGCTGGCTTGAGCCATCGAAAAAAGGGTCCTGACACGAAAAAAGAGAGTGACAGGCCACGCCTCTTTTCGTCGAACCGGTTATAACATATATATGAATTTCAGATGGTTACACCAAGATATCGGACCAAAGAAACGGCTACGTTTTCAGTCCAAGTTATTGGGCCGATACTGGTTCAGCAGTTTCTTACACTTTTTGTGAGGAAAATTTAAAAATTTCAAGCAATAAATTATTTTCAGCCGATAAAACGAATAACTACAAATTCACGACATTAGTCGATTATTTGTCATTGAAAAATGGGGATTCTCTGGATATTACTGTGAAGAAAGGGTCATCTGTCGTGAATGATAAGAAGTGAGTGAAATTTTTTCGAATGGTCGAAAAAGAGTTTAGAGTTATCAACTTGAACAATTTTTATTGTGATTTCAACGGCCTAGCTGGAATATTTTCAGTGTGGATTTTTCGGAGTGCATTTAGAATTATTTTCTCGCCAAAAAACGATCGAAATGACATGTTTATGCATTGTTAGAACAATCCAAATAATTAGAGAACTGTTGAGGAAAAAAGGATTGCTGACCGGAAAAAAAAAATCGTCTTTGAAAGCTGAGGGATCAGAGATTTCTTAAACTTTCTCCAGTTCCTTCGAAAAATTCTCTGTCAACTTCAGAAATTCCTTTTGCTTCAATAAAACTCAATAGAAATTTCACTTGAAAAAATCGAACACAGCGTAGTGTTCAAGTTTAAGAAAAACGAAGAAAAATAGCAAAATTAGACAAAAGTTCAAAAACATGGCGATTTTGTTCAAGCGGAACCTTTTTTCGCATCAGAAATTTGAATCCGAATATCTTGAGATTATGGATTTCTGGGACATTTTCAAAAAGAACATGAAGATCGTCATGAAAAAATCCGGAGTGATTAAAATTTTTTTGTAGAAGAAAAATGTTCCGAGGCGTTCATATCGAACTGTTTTTAAATTACCGTTTAATAAAATTATTTATTTTTTTCTGGTAATAAGTCTCAAATTCAGCTATACAAGCTCTATTACCGGAGGATCAGTTCAAACTGGAACTGGAGATTCTTTGACAATCTCGGCTAATGGAAAAAATCCAGCTTCTGCTGTTAAAGTCTACTTCAAAGCGGAAAGAACTCAAGGTTCTGCCAGCTCCACAGGTAATTTGAACAATTAAACTCAAAATTCCTCAAAAATGCGTTTCAGGGTACTTGGTCGTTCTTCTCACGGGCTTCTTCTACGCGATAACTTGTTGATTTTCAATAAATTTTTCTTGAAAAGCACGAAAAAGAGAACGTACAATTGGCAAAAAGGAAGTAGGGGGCACCCGGAGTTGAACCGGGGACCTCTCGATCTGCAGTCGAATGCTCTGCCACTGAGCTATACCCCCGGCGAAGTTTCGTCGCGTCTCGACCGACCAGCTTTCCGTTGTGTGTCTTGGTTTGGTGATCGCATTTTGAGAGTAAAAATTCCCTGGAAAAAATAAATACTTAAAAAACAGTTTTAAGTTGAAATATGGGAATTTTGCGAGGCGAAATTGTAAAGAATTTTGGTAATTAGAGAAAATTAACGCTTTTCAATAGTATCAATGTGGCAAAATTGTGAATTTTCCCGTTTTTGAGAGAAATTTCGAAACTTTCTGCATTTGGTATCGATTAAAAGATCAACTATGATTAATAGAACATTGCTTTAAAAATTTAATTCGAAAATTTTTTTTTATATTGTGTATAAAAAAATTTTAAAATTCCCGAATTTTTCGTTTTTTGTGATTTATTTGTAAAAAAATTCATACTGTTCAGTGAAAAAAAGATTATTTTGAAAGAAGTGATTTTTACGTACTTATTATAAAAAAATTTTTGAAATTTCTTTTTTTGACAGACTGCGGAAAAAAAGGGCATATGAATTTCATTCAGTGCTTTCACTTCTAAGCGAAAAAAAACGTCTCTTTGGCTCTAAATTTCAGGGCGAAGTCGGTAAGAGTCGAAAAGCTTTAAGAAATGTTCCTTTTAGGGCGGAAAAGGCTCCTTTTTTGCTGCCTCTTTGCGTCATTTCATCAGCTTTTTTGCAACATGTTGGCTGCCTCTCCCATTTTCCACCATTCCTTGAGTCTTTAAATTTCTAAAAAAAAAAGTTGAAGGCTCGATTGAAGGCCTCTGGACGACTACAAAAAAAAAAATGTCTCCTTCGAGGAGGTATAAATTTCTAATCGTCTTCATAATTTCATTTTTGGATTTAGAAAATTGGGACCTTCCAAGATAGGTTTTTTTTCACCTTTCATTTTCTATATGACTCATTTTCAGCTAATGTCATTCAGATGAAAGAATTTTTGGAACACGATTGGAAAAAATCAAAAGGTCAGTATTTGCAGAGAGTTTGGCGGGGATGACTAACTTTCTTTTTAGCAAAAGTGATAAAATGATCGATTTTGATGTCATCGCGGTGATAAGAAATAGGGCTTTTAGGTGCGGTTCTGCCGTCTGTAATCATTTTACGTAATCTTATTTATTTTTAGTCGATCTTATTATAATTTTTCAGCAAAATGCTCTGGTTTTTATTCATCGCTTTGTTTTTCCAAAAAGTTGGAGCACAAATAAGTGAGTTTTATGTAATTTGAAAAACTCGAATGATTTTTTTTTCAGCTTGTCCGACGAAAGTTTATTCTCCGGCTGATGATATAGTGTATTTTCCAAATAATAACATAGGATTAACCAATATCCCTAGTAATTTTGCATGCAGTTATAAGGTAATACTTCTTGGAATGGATTGCTTTAAAACGCGACTAATTTGAATTGCTGGAGCCATTCCACGTGCGACCAACTATTTTCAAAACAAGAAAGATTTTTTTTATCAAGCTGTACGTTGTCGACCCATCTTGACTTGAAAAACCCCTCCAGGGAAGGACTGTTTGAAAAAAAATCATCTTGCACCCGACTTTTAGTGACTTGCGCGCAGGGCTATGATGCATGTGATGGTTTCCATTCACAGTGGAATTTTTGAATGAAATTTTGAACGGTCCATAATTATTATCAAAGTTCCTCTCGGCAGTTTCTAAGCTTAAATTTAGATATTATCAAATCTCATTAAATAAAAATTTCGCCTCTTAAGTCCCACGGAGAGCTGAGATCAGCCCCCCCCAAAAAAAGGCTTTTTTTCCTGATTGAGTTTCAAGTAGAGGTAAATGGACTTATTAGAGACTTCACTTTTTCTTTTTTTAAAAAAATCAATTTTTTTCTCTTAAATTTTTCCACCTTCAGTTCAATATTCCGCCTGGATTTGTTGCTAGAATCACTGTTACCTCAAATATGGCCACTGGAGATGTCCTCAGTTACACCAACAGCTTGGGAACAGTTGCCAGGTTTCTGAAAAAAAGCTTCCATAGAGAATAAGTTCGTTTTTAGGTTACCTAATCCGATATCTTTGTACCCGCGAATGATCGCTACGCCTTCCGGATCTTTGAACATCGCTACGAACTCTTCCAGAAGCCAGTTCAACGCCAAACTGGAATTTGTTAATTGTTTGAACGTTTCTATATATTTTAAGAGATTTTTTACGATTTGAAACGTTACTTAATTTCTTGGAATGGCTTCAAAATAGGAAGTTTCGAAATGGAATTTTTTTTTTTGAAAGTCTGAAAAGTCTGCACTCTCTTTTCTCTCGCCGTCAAGATCAGAAAACCATGAAAAGTACCAGAAAAACCTGTCATATGTTTTGGTCACTGAAAAAGATAATTTTAGTGGTCGAAAATTATAAACCTTTCCCCTATTCTTCTGGCGATTACGCGTTTCTGAAGGATCTCGACAGCTCGAGTTTCATTTCTTTCACGCCAACTGCTGGGAAAAATGCCAAGGTATCGTTCTTTCTTCAAAATACTTCAATTCCAATACAGTTACCTTATAATTTAGATCCGTCTGACCATCGCCCAAAAGCAACAAAATGTCTCGGCTTCAGACTTGGCTCACATTTTTGTCTATCAAGGCACTGACTTGAAGGGAAACTACCTTGGCGTGTAAAGAATTCAATCAATTTTTGTCATTTTGTCGTTGATTGAAGGCTGAGCGAAGTTGCGATGGGACCTTCTGGAAGGGGGATCTCTTTGGTCAATGTTTATGACTCATATGTGGATGCGACTGTCGTGGCCAATGACGATTCAGGTTCGTAAAATGAAAAAAAAAGGATTTTTTATCGATAGAGCGATTTTCGCGCTCTATCGATAAAAATAGATTGGACTCTAGCATTCGATGAGCCAGCTATAATTGAACCATAAGAAAAAGTTGATAAAGATCAAACTCTACGCGAAAGCTGGTTTAGGTCGGCCGCATTTAATTTGTGTGATCTTGCATTTTCTCTCAATTCCATTTCAAGTTCAAAAATCTTTCCTGATGGTTTCAAAGTTTGCTGGACCTAAATCAATTTCTGAAAAGGCTCTCTTCGCCTTCAGAAGCCCAGAAAATATTTCTGAGCAGACTATCCCTGAGCTTCCAACAGAATGAAGAAAGTCACAAAATTACCATATTGTTTTGGTTCATGCCCGATTATTTCGAAACCCATCTCTTAAATTCCAGCCATTTCCCAGTTCTCGGACTACCAAGTTTTCGAAATAAACCCTGCTTTCAATTGGAAATTCGTCAACCAGGACAATGTCCCCAGTGCTTACACGTTCATTTTACCATCTCCGGACACACCACAAGCTTATCTAACTTATTTGAATTTCATGACCCCTACCCCTGTGAGTTGTAATTCTCGAATCTCAGTGTTTGATCTATTTTAAAATTTTTAGAGCTTAAATCAAGCTTACGTCTCCTTCCAATCACAGACTCCGACGAAAACCAATTTCGAGACTCTGAGATACACGTGAGGATTTCAAAAAAGTGCGCGATTTTCTTAAATATGAAAAGATTTCAGATTCTCATTATATACGTCCAATTCGATGCCGCAAAACATTCCTTGCCAGTATTTTACCATGTTTGTGTACAGAACCACGGCTCAAGTCAATTTCGACACGGTTGCCAGTAAGTATTGGGAGAAAACCGAAAAAAAAATCTAATTTCGATATCTTTAAAGTGACTTCGATCTCCGATTTTTTTCTTTTTTTTTTTTTTTGAATAGTTTGAACTGAACTTAGAATGAAATTTAAAAAAAATAAAGTGACTATCTTGTTCTAAAAAAAATTTGACCAATTTTTTGGATACTGTAGCCTGTGTCACCGCAAACACGACAACGGAACCGGCAATGCAAAATTTTTTAGAATTTTTTCGCACTATGTTATGTGTTTAGTTTTTATTCGAAGTTCAAGATTTTCAGGAAACTACAACGCTCTGAGCGATGGTAGAAATGGTTACGTGTTCAGTCGAACCTATTGGTCCGTCCCAAATCCCAATCTGGAAACGGTTTTTTGTGAGTTTTTTTTTTAAATTCGCAAAAAGCCAAGTTAAAAAAGTAGGGGATTTTTTTTGTAGCTTTGAGCTTCAAAATTTGAGCAAACTTCAAAAATTGTCAATTTAATATTCAAACCCCTGATTTCTTAGTTATTTTAATATAAATCTTCAAATTGACGGTTTTTTTAAAAGAGGCCAAAGATACACCTTTTTTTCAAGCTTCTCTGACGTTTCTTCAAGTAAGCTTTCGTTTGTACTTCACCTTTTTTTCCTACGAAAAAAAATAATATGTGAAATTTACAGACGGTCAAAATAACTTGCTGTACAGCATCAAAACTCAAGTTTTATACTTATCCTTGCAAAGAAATGAATATTTGGACGTTCAAATCAACCAGGGCGGCGCCATTGTCTCTGAGGACAAGTTCAGATTTGATCCATCGATTGGTTATTTAGTGAATTGATAAATAGGTACACCAGCTCTTTGGTCAACGCCCCAGTCAAGACGGTCTCCGGGGACGGGTTCAGAATGTTCCTAATTTCGAATTCAACAAATACTGCGGCCAAAGTTTACTACAGTGTCTCGACTTCGGCTCTCCCGGTCACACCAAGTTCGCATTTTTTTTTTCAATAGAGCTAGATTCAGACATCGTTTCAGCGTAGTGTCGTACTAAAAAAAACATCGATTTTCAAAAAGGAAAAAAGGAATGTTGTTCCAGTTTTTTTTCAGTAGCCATGATCTTCATAAAAATAACTCGTTTGAAGTCCAAAATCTCCATTTTTTGACTAAAAATTAGGGATTTTTCAGACTGTCCAACTGGCTTGTTTTCCCCTTTGAATGGATCAGTTTTCTTGCCGGTCAACAGTTCATTGACTAGGCTCAATAGCGGATTCAATTGCGTCTATGGGGTTTGTAAAAAAAAGTCGCACTGGGAATGGCTCGACGCGTCGCGTATGCGAAGCGGTTTTTCGATTTTTTTTTTTCACTTTTTTAGCTGGAACGGCAACGCATTAAGCCATTCTCATTGCGACCAGATGATTTAGTGAAATAGTTAGAACATTGAAATTTCTGTTTTAGTTCAATTTCCCCGCTGGATTCGTTGCGAAACTCACGATCACTAGTATCATGGCATCTGGAGATTTCCTCAGTTACACTAATAGTCTTGGACAAGTTACCGGGTTTTCCGAGAAAGTTTTCAGGAATAAAAAAAAATGTTTAGACTTCCCAATCAGATGACCAATTATCAGAGAGTTATCGCATCGCCTTCGGGCTCATTCAGCGTTTCTACGACTACTTCGAACAGCCTGTTTTCCCTCAGAGTCGACTTTATCAGTTGTAGGTTTTCTTTGAGTAAAAAATGAGAGGGATTTTTCTGAAAATTGAAAAGGACACGAGAGGAAAAAAGGAGTAGAAGTTAAGAGGAGAAATTCAAGAAAAAAAGAGCCAGTAATTTGATAATAATAACATTAACTTAAAGACAGAACAAAAATGTACAAGAATAGTTTAAAGTTGAAAAGTTGGTCAATAAGCCTGAAAAATTTCAAGTTCAGCTTAAATGAATGATTCGATCTTAAACCCATTTTTTCTTAAGAAGTATCAATTTTTGGAAACTTAATCCCTTAACTCAAAAAGGTTGCTTTAAACAACAAAAAAAGATGTGAAAAAATATCTTGGAAGGAAAATTGAAATGTTACTTCAATTACATTACTTCTCGGGCAAAGTCGGAATGGTGGATAATGGCCGATAAAAGGGAGAGGCTCAAAAAAGGATGCAAAAAGGCAGCAAAGAGAGTCCCTTTTATCGAGCCTTCAGTTTTTTTCTGAAATTTCCAAAGGCTCAAGAAATGGTGGAAAAAGGGAGAGGCAGCAAAACGGCGCTTAAAAGCCGATAAAATGGCGCAAAAGGGCAGCCTAAAAGAATTATTTCTATGGAGCCTTTTTCAACTTTTTCGACTTCGCCCATGTGACAAAATCTCGTTTTTTAAATCTCATCACTTTATCTTTCCTGCAGAACTCTAAAATTCATTGGAAAGGATATTTTCCAGTGCTAACGTACCGCCAAAACCTTCTCAATATGGGCGGTTACACGTCCCTTTCCAGTTTATCCGGCTCCTCCTTTATCACTTTCACGAACCAGAATCCAAACGGAAAAGTTTTCAAGACGGAATTTGAGAACTTCAAAGAATAAGTTTAGGTGCAACTGACCTATGACTCAGCCAAGACCATTTCCTCAGACCTGGGCCAGATTTTCGTCTACCAAGGGGCCAGTTTATACACCGGGAAGTTCATTGGAACGTGAGGACCTTTCTAAATATAGGAAAAAAAATATTTCATATGTTTAGATTGACTCAGAACATGTTCGGAGCGGCTGGAAGCCCTCTTTCTCTTGTTAATCCCTTCAGTACTAACATTCCTGCTTCTATCATCGGAAACGATGCTTCAGGTAATTTTGAAAAATATATAAATGTTGCATTCTCTCTAGGTAAAGATCATTGGATTAATCAAGAGGGTTGCAAAAAGAAGAAAAAAAATATAAAGATAGTTGAAATTTTAGTTTTCTTTAAACTATAGGCTGTGTGACACGGCTTGAAATTTCACGGAACGACATTCCGCTGTTCCGCTGCGTGCGTTCGCGAAGCGTCTTTCGAATCTAGGTCACGCTTTCAATTGCTTGTTATGGCTGTGGAAGCACATGAAAGTAGAGACCCTCAATAAAAAAAAAAAGAAATTAAAAGCGCGGCCAGGGTTCGCGAAGGCGCACAGCGACATAGCGGAATGTCGTTTCGTGAATTTCCAAATCTTGGTACACAGGCTATATTAAAAATTAGAAATAAAGATGAATCAAAAAATAAAAAATAAAGATGAAACCTCAAAAAATTCAAAAATATGTTTCTCTGAATAAAAGAGTTAAAAGAAAAAGCCCTGAAGGAACCACTCAGGACGAAAAACCTTAGTGATCACTACTCGGACATTGGTAACGCGAAACGCATGGGAAGTGTCCGGGCATTTCTAGTGAGTAGCGTCAGAACTCTGAAGTGATCCCTAGAGTTGCTCAGGTCCGATCGTCGTATTTTTGAGCGCTGCTAGAGTCGGCTCTTTTTTCAAAAAAATAAAAGAAAAAATTTAGTGCTTTCCCAGTATTCGTCCTACACTTTTACTGACATCGGAAATGGTTTTGTCGGCCACCATACCCACCAGTCTACTCTGCCAGCTGCCGCCACTCTCATTTCCAAATCAGACGGCCTTTTCTACCTCCAAAGTCTAAGTTTCGACAGTCCCAACTCGGTTTTGGCAAATCTAACTTCTCGGTCTGATCGTTGTTTTTTTCTAGAAGGCCTCAATATCTTTCCAAACTCTGTGTCCAAGTCTTAGCACTTCGGAAGTTTTGCGTTATTCGTGAGTCTTCAACTTGCCAAAAAATTCAAACAAGAAGTTTGAACTCAGGGCCAAAGACAACATAACCAACATGTTACCTCAACAGATTCCATCCAACTTTTTTACGGTCACGTTTTTCCAGTCAGCCAGTCTTACTCTGACCAATGCTGCAGGTTAGATTAATATTTTTGCTGCCTTTATGACGAAAAAGGAAGTATTCAGGTAATTACTTGAAACTGACCGATGGAAGAAACGGGTACATTTTCTCACCAACTTATTGGGCCAACGGCAATCCGAGCTTTGATCAGCAGTTCGGTTAGACTTCCTTTCACATGTTTTTGGTTAAACGCTGAATGACTATCGCGGTCGCGTTGCGGTGGAACCTTTTAAAAGAATTCTTTGTTTTTTGAAACAAAATGAAGAAAATATAACACTCTCTAATGACTCTGCGCGCAAGTCTTTTAGGTCGGGCCTTGAAGAAATATTTCCGCGTTATGCTTTTCCTTCCGAGGTTGTTCAAAATATGAAGGGGACTTATTAAAAAATATAGTTTTTCATGCTGTTTTTGAATATAAATCTAAGAATTTACGCGAAGGTCTGTATTTTTTTCTATTACTTTTAAAGATCGTAACTTTTTTAGAAGCTTTCTGCGAAAATTCTTGATGCCAAAATTGAATTAATCGTGAAGAACTGAGATAGAAACTTTCACTGATGTCTGTAAATTCATTCAATCTTAAGTTGGTCAAACGAACTTCGACATCACGACTCGAGTCGACTACCTGGCCCTAACCAACTCGGAGAATCTCGATATTGCTGTCCAGTCAAGTTCGAAAGTTGTTTCGGATAATAAGTGAGCTCTTTTTTCGATTCCCATAAACAATTTTTTTTTTCAGTTACATCAAAAATACAGCCAATGAAACGGGCAAGACTGCCAATGGCGACGGCTTGAGAGTTCAGTTCAAAGCGGGTAGCAGGTCTTCGTCCGCTAAAATCTACTTCAAGGCTGTCAAGGCGAATTTCGGCACTTCTGCAGGTGAAAGACTCACCTGAGGCTGACCTCAGGTCGCTTCTGAATGAGACTAGGTCCATAAAAGGCGGTTTTTTTTTGATTTTCAAAGAATTGCCTTTGAGGTCTGGAAAAAAAATAAAGAACTGAAAAAAAGATCAATTTTAGATGCCATGATTTTTATTTGAAATTTAAAGTTGAGATGTGTATTTTTGAAGTTCCTTACACGCTTGAAAAGTTGAAAAAATCATGTCTCAACAATAAATTTTTAAAAAACAATAATTTGTTCTTTTTATTCACCGGAGCCAATTACTACATTTTAAAAAGGATACTTATTGGATGAACGGGCCTCTTTTCAAGCCCAAATAACTTTGACAAACACCCACGGAATTTTTTTGATTGCAGACTTGAGATAATAGTAAAAAAATGCATCTAATCGACCTGGTCTTGTTCAAAAAATTTATTTTTAGCTGATTCCAGTTCCTGCTAGAAAAAAATATGTTTAAAAAAATTTTTCTGTTTCAGGATTTTTCATTAGCCGTTCTTCTAGCCGTCTTCTATGCTCTACTGTGAAAAAGAACTGATTTTTTTGAGATTTTTTTCTGAGAGATAAAAGTAATTTATGTACTGAAGTCACAAGGCAACAAAAAAAGTTCACAGATTTTTTTAAAAAAATTATTTCTACGCATATGTTTATCTTGCTGGAAAGAATTGGAAGAATTAAATTTATCAGAAAAAAACTTTTTCTATGGTAGATGAGCCGATTATTTCGCTATAAAGCCAATAAACTTCAATGAACAGAAAAGAGAAAAAAAGCCAGACAGAATTTTTGATTCAAAACACGTTATTTCAATGATCGCTTTTTTGGGGGGATTTTTTTATTTACCAAAAAAAGTACTTTCAAGAATAAAAAGTAGTGTTTTTTTAACCTTCTCATAGAAAAAGTGAGAATTTTCATTTATTTTATATTTCAATTGTTTCGAATGAAGGTTTGGGTGCAGAATAATCCCAAAATGATCACTGAAAAAAGACAAATGTTTTGAATTATCGTAGTCATCACAGCTCTAACAAAAGTCCTTTGTGAAAAGAGCAGATCAGTGAGTAGCAAACAAATCTGATTTAGAACTTTGAATTCCACAGGGACGTCTATAAAAGAGCCCTTTTTGGTGTCAGAAACATCGGCTCTTCGTCGTGTAAATTCTCTATATGGCTTTGGTTTGTCTCTTTTTCTTGTAGATCCTTCAAAAAATGTTCAGAAATTGATTATTATCTTCCTTGCTGGCGATTGTTTGGCCTCATCTGGGCTTGGTGACGTCATCGGAGGCGGAGACTTGGCTCAGACGGCCACTGGAGCTCTTGGAGGCGGTGGCGGAAGTCCCCTTGATGGAACTCTTGGAAACAACGCTGGCGGAGACGGTGGCGTCGTCGATGGAGTCGTCGGCCAAGACGGTTTGATCGGCAACGTCGTCAAAGGCCTCGGAGCTTCTTCCAATCCAGAAGGCCAGGGAGGATCCAACGTCCTCGGCCTTCCAGTTGCCGTCGACGCCGACTTGGCCCTTCTCGAAGGCGTCCGCTGCAACCAGAACGAGACCAAGACCCAGTGTCGCAGTCCCCTTGAAGGCCAGTGCGGAGGTTCTTCTGGAGCGATGCCAGAGACCATGAGCCGCGCTGCCCGTCAAGCTCCAAGATGCGAGAAATGCGAATGTGCTCCGGGATACGTCCGCACCTTCGACAAGGCTCAATGCGTCCTGCAGCAGGACTGTGGCGACCAGGCCACCGCCTGTCAGAACGTCGGCGACCGTCAGACCTGCCGTAAGTCTGATATCTCAGAATCCCTCTAGTGGCCACTTTCAGCGGTGCTCTGCAACGGCGGCCGCTGTCCGATCGGCTTCGTCTGTCGCGTTCCGAATATTTGCCTCGGCAAGGCTACCTGCCAGCAGAAGTGCGTCCCAGCCTTTGGAGTCGCCGACGTCTCTCCTGACGTCGGTCTGGGACGCAAGTAAATTCGTGGATCATTGTTTGTGTATAACCGCGTTTCTTGAATGAATCTGAATTTTGCATCAGTTTAACTGTTCGATAATTTCTCAAAAATCTTCCAGTCCGTAAATTTTTTCGGCTTTTCAACGACAGACCCAGAAGTCAGTTTAAAATAAGACAAAATCCATATTTTACTGATGATAAAATAATAGCAATTCATCACATAGTCAAAAAGACCACCTAAAGCCTACTAGGACGCAAATACCAACTGGAATCTTTCGAATGTAATGAAAAACGACTCAAACACTCTTTTGTGTATTAAATGAGTGTGCGATAAGACTACCTGAACTTCCTGTTTTTCAAGGAATATATATTCAAAGCGAAATGACCTCTCTTAATATCGTAATAAGTTAGTCTTCCCATTCTCTACAGAAAACAGATAAATTTAAAAGTTGTTCAGATATTTCTCTGAGCTCTCTGACTGCGAGAAAACGTGGAAATAGCGGGCGGCAGAGAAAAATTAGGGCGCGCCTTAAGGAGCACTAGTACAGAGTTCAAGAAGTCTAGAAGGTAATTTTCAGAAATTTATCAAATTCGCAAACGCCTCTTCTCTACAAAGAAATCGATGAGCGTGGGAAAACCCTTGACCGCCTTGTTTTGGAACTACGGATCGAATTCTGCGCCGGGCCGTCGATTGAAAACCACGTGAATGACCCAAATTTCGGCCGGCCTTTTCCCCTACTCATCCTTCAGCCTCCAATCAAAGGATTCCCTTGATCTTTGCCTTTTCCGTGAGTATGATTTTTTGCATATATGTTTGATTGAACAACATTCCGTAAAAAAATTGAAAAAAACGGAAAATCTCGAATTTAGTTCATTTTACCGATACGTGTCTCCTTTTTGTTTGTTCTGGCTTCTGCGGAATCAATCAATCATGGAACTTTTTCCAGTCAGCCAAGAAATCGATCCAATTTTTGAAAAAAATATAATGGTTATCGATTTTTTTAATAATCGGTTTAGCAAGCATTTTTTTCTCTTAAAAAAATGATTTATTTTTGAAATAATTTCTCAGCGCTTTTTTTGAATTTTATTTTCAACCATCCAATTGAAAAAAATTAAGCAACATGCAATTCAAAATTTTCACTGAATAAACATTATTTTTTTCTAGAAAAGGAGTTTTTTTCCACCCTTTCCGCTGTCAGAAACGGCCAGTCAAGGTTGAAAAAAAAGTAAAGATTAATATTGAAAACTCTGATAAATTCTTTTTTTATTGATTTTTTTCCAGGAATGCCGATAAGTGAGAGTGACCAGGAAGCTATAAAGAAACTTCGCGAATTGGTAAAAGATCAGGTATTTTTTGATCTTTTTCTAAAGGTTTCATGGAAAAAAAGAAAAAAAGAATTATAAAATGTCAAGAAGTTTTTCTTTTTTTTTCTGAACCTGAAAACCTCATTTTCATTTTTTTCAAGCATTTTAGGAAAGATATGAAAATCCTGATCAGTTTTTCTCGTTTAAAAGTCGAAATTTCATGTATTTTCTCAGTTGACACCGTACTACGACACGGATTTCAACCTACTCCGATGGCTCAAAGGACACGACTATAATTATGACGTCATCAAGCCTAAGCTCTTGAACCACTTGTTATTCCGAAAATCCGATTGGGACTTGGACCATTTGGCCGACAAACCGAGGGATCATCCGGTTCACAATCATTGGAAGGTATTTGGAAAATATATTCGAATATATGGATTTTTTTTGGCTTTTTTTTGGCTTTTAATGACCTAAATCATTATTCATCTTTCCTTCATCAAAAGTACCTTGTCCAGCAAGCTATCGATTGAAAACTGAAAAAATCGAACTTTTTTTTAGCAATTTTTTTTTCTATCATAAATAGCCCTGAAAAAATCATCTTCATTTTTATCTTTTTCAGTAATAAATCACTAAATCTTCAGTCCGGCCTCACCGGAGTCGCTGAGAAAACTCCAAACACCATCGTAAATATTGAGCAAACGGGAGCCAATGACTACTGGGGGATGCTCAATTCCTATCCGATCAATGAAATTTTGAGGTAAAGCTTGTTTTTCAACATTTTATTTCGTTTTTCGGGAACTTCAGAGCTCGGGTACACGACCTCGAAAGTATGCTTAGGGCTGTGATGGAGCTGGAAGCGAGAACAGGTTTGTTTTGAAAAACGCTTAAAAGCTGAAAAATTCATTTTGTTTTATATTATTGATAGAGTACGATTAAACTGTACTTTTTCGACTTTTTGAAATTCTCTCGCTTAGTTAAGTTTTTTTAGTTTTTTTGGTCACGTTCCTTTTTTTTAATTTTAAGCACTTCTCAGCGTCGTCAAAAATGCCGCCGCGCTCAAGTAGTTTCGGGTCGGGCGAATCTTTTGCAACGGACCGCAACACTTTGAGCCATTCAACGTGCGGTCTTTTTCGCAAAAATTTAGAAAACTATTTTTTTAAAGAGTGTTTCTTTGAATTTTTTTAACTTTCGGATCAAAAAAAGTCTTTGAAGAAGTTTTTTTCTGAAATGAACTTTTTCATGTTCAATTTCTATACAAAAATTTTTTTCTATTCAATTTTCAAAAAAATCTTCAGGAGAACAATGCTCAGTAATCTACGTGATGGACTTGACTGGCCTCAAAATGGACCGAAAATTGACGACCCTGGTTTCAGGTTCATTTTTAAACGAATTTTTCGCAAATTTTTAAGATTTTCAGGAGGATTAGCCTCAATTTCGGCTTTCATGGCTGAACATTATGTCGAAATGGTTCACAGTTTTGTGCTGGTCAATGTTCCGTCGTTCATTCACGCCGTTTGGTTTGATTTTTCCGATTTTCATGAACATTCATATTATTTTTAGGACGATTGCTAGACCACTTTTACCAGAGAAAACTCGAAATAAGGTAATTTGAAACTCGAAATTCAATTAATAATGTGTGAGATTTAAGGTCAACATAATGGGATCCAACTGGAAGGCCGATATTTTGAAATTGGCCCATGGGGATTGTCTTCCTACTTATTGGAATGAGGAAGGAAATAGAGAGGTGAGGGATCGCTTGAGTGATTTTTTCTGGAAGGGACAAATTGAGAAGCGTAAAGTGTGTCTTTAAGTGATCACTTCATTATCTTCATAGTTTGAGATTCTGGAAGTTTTGAAGCTTTCATTTATTTTTCAAGAAAGTTGTTGAGCCACTTCGGGCATAACTTTTTTAGTAAAATTATAACCCCTTCAGGGACCACTCGGAAAATTTTGAGAAGCCTTTTAAGGTTCAAAGAAGGCTGCAACTTTTTGAGTGGTCACTTAAGTAATCTGTAATTTTTCTCTTCAAAAATTCGGGTTTTCGTTAAACTTCCTGATAAAGTTTTGTTGAAGCAAGTTTTCATAATTTCTTTCCTCAATTGTAACATTATATATTTTTAAAAATTAAAATTTTTCGAATTTCAATTATTTCTAGTATATGAATCTGTTAATAATTCAAATTTTTGAGCCTTTCCACGCTCCGATCGAACGATGTGTGCCGTTCCCAACAGAAGGATACTACAAGGGAACTGTTCCGAGTGATAGCAAAATTTTATCAGTTGGTCCAGGGAAGACGGACTACGTTGATGTGGATGTTAAGGAGGTGGGGTACTAGAAAAAAAGTGAGAAAAACGAGAGATTAGCAACGACTTGAAGAGACGGCAGAGAAACAGGAACTCTCTTTCTCTGACGTCTCTTCAGGCGATCGTTATCTCTCGCTTTTGCTTGTACGATCTTTTTTAAAGCTCTTTCATCATCAGAATCTGAAAAGAGCAAAGTTTTTCATTGATATTTGCCAGGAATCTCTATAATTCAATGTGTTCCAATAAAAGGCGAGTTCTGAGAATCTGAATTTCTGACTTTTAAATGAAAAAGGCTCAAAATATTATTCCAAAAAGATTCAAAAAAAATTTTAAAATATGCAACATTTTTTTTTCCAGGGCCAGAAACTTTCCTGGGAGATCCATGCAAACGGACATTTCGCTTTTGTCATTTACAAAGTTGAGGATGGAGTGGAAAACGAGAACTTGGCCAGAGTTTATCCCTTGTTCAGCGTAAGTCTAAATTCATTTTTGAAAGCCATTTTTTTCCATTCTCAACTGTCTGTATGCATTCAATGAATCATCACCTGTTTATTAAGTTAATTATCTTTTTGTCCAATTATTTAGTAAAAGTACTTGTGGATTGAAAAGGCTATTAAATTGAGGTGGAATAATTATTTTAATTAAATGAGATTAATCATGAAGGGATTCCGTGAGAAACAGTAGGCTCCGCCTTGGCTTCTGGTCGCATGGAGAATGGCTCTCTCTGCACCAGATCTCCTAGATTCATACTTAAGAATAATTCAGAAGATCGAAGAGCGTTAAGAGGTTGAGTTAGAGCTGAAGAAGAAGCATAGTTCGAAGCGCAAGTCATGAAATGTCGGGCGCAATCATTTTCTTGAGATCACAACCTTTTCGTCGCATTTAGTATGGCTCAATTGGTTGCGGTTTAAGCTGAAACTTCAAAATATTGTGTTTGGATCTCAGTTGAAGTCCTTTTGTGGTCGACCGCACTTTCTTATTAATTTTCGCGCATTCAGCCATTCTCAGTGCGACCCATCTTTTTCAAGACCAGAAGAATCAGCCTTTGAAAATTTTCATATAGTCAGTTCAGATTTTTAATGTGCAATGACGTCATTCAAAAACACTCTGTGTATGGCTCGCTCTCTGATTGGTTTATCGCACCATTAGGGGCGGAGCTTGAGCGACGACTTGACGTTCAAAATCTGAACAGACTATCAAATTTCTTTAGCAACTTTCTGGTCTTTAATACAACTTTCTCTTATTTTTCTCCATTTTCAGAAAATCCCAGGACCAACTCTTGTCCCCTGTGTGGATAACTTGATCTGCCGACATAATGGTGACATTTTTATCCAATTCATTTTTTTTCCCAATTCCAAAACCTGAAATTCCAGGTAAATACCGATTATGGTTCGGCAATCAGCACGCGTGGTTCCACACGTTGAAAATCAACTATTCTCTGAAAATTGAATAAACTTTTATTCACCGAGAAAATGAATTTTCAAAGCAGAAAAAAAAAGAATCTAATCGGAATTTTTACCCGTTGAGATCACTTTCAGGGAGACAATAATTGAGTCTAGGAAAATTATCCAGAAGAAAGGCAGTTCTAGACATTTTATGTACAATTTTTGGCTTATTCGACCGGTGTCACGTCCATTTTCTTGCTGGACCTTGAAGATTGTGTGTCGATGAAGGTGTTGGAACCTGAAAATTAATGAGTATTAATTATTTTTGAAGTGAAGGTAATGAGTTACCTGTTGGTAGCTCTGGAAAATTGTGAATTTGGTTATAACTTGGAGGCGGCGGGTATGGGGGCGGCGCCTGAAGGCCTGGCAGACCCTGAAAAAAAGTAAGTAATTAATTTAATTTTTTTGTCCTATTTCGATTTGAATTCATTAGAAAAGAGATCCAAATGAAATTTCAATCACTTTAGAAATCTCAAAAACCCTGAGCAAGTTCGAAAAAATTTGAATTTAATCCCCTTGTACGAATTATAAGTTTCGAAAAAATTAAGAATAAACTTTAGTTTTCGTTATAAAAAAATAAATTTCGACTCAATTATGGAAAAAGGCTTATTGAACAAATATCAAAGTTTTAGCACGTTTGGAAGTCTTTGAAATAATTTATCGTTGAAAATAAATGATTGAATAAAAAAACATTAGAAACGCTCGTAGCTCTAAAAATAAAAAAAAGTGTTTTTTTGAATTTTTTTCAATAATTTCAACACTTGAATCAAAGATATTCCAAAAAAAAACCTTCAACAAAAGTCTCTTCCACTTCTTTTTCTCAATCTCCAGTTTATAACAATAATTTGGAACCTTAACTCTATTATTACATTTTCCGACATTTTCCCAAAAAAAATTGATCTATGAATCTAGCAGGTGAATATGTTTGTTGTACACATGACCAAGACCAAAATTACCAGGAAGTCAGGTGGAATTGAACAGAAAAAATAAGGCAAACGAACATTGAATTGTCTGGGGTCCCGTAACGACATTAAAGGCGCAGCATAGGGCGGCACATAGACCGGATAAACCGCTGAAGTCTCCGTTGTCATCACTTCTGAGTAGTATCCTGGAAAATGGTTTCACTGAAAGCAATAAGAAACAATTGCCAATTGAAAAGTTAAATTTGAAAAATATGGTCAAAAATGGTTTTCGCGGTAGAAAATTACTCGTTTAACTCAAATATTGTTTGAAAATTTGTCAATCATATTCATAAACAATAGATGAATTAAAATTAGATAAGAAATAGAGAATAGAGAATAGAGAAACTTTGAAATCTGTCGAAAAATTTAATTTCGTCTTATGGTATTCAAAGAGTGTTCCTACACAGCGACGCATTTGCGGTGGATTTACTTTTGGCGAAATTTTCTTTGTTCTTTTTTAAATTCACTTATTTTCAATATGTATATCCATCATTATGTGTTTTAGTTTGAAGAACACTGTGAACGCCTACGCAGTTCTATGCCTCTCAAAAGAAATCATGGAGGTATGTGTTCTATTGAAAAATTGTTTTATTGATAAAAATTTGAGTTTGCAGTTATTATGCCGAGAACTTAATACAAAATGATCGGGACCCAGTGAATTTACGACCAGTATTGGAAGTAATATTATAAAAAGGTGAGTCAACTATTTTTTTGGGCTCATGAGAAAGAAATATACCTCTTTTTTTTAAATTTTATGTTTTTCTGATCTTGTTGGCATTGAAAACATTCTGCGCGCTTTTTTTCGATACCAAATTATTTCCTTGCTTTTGTGCATTGAAATAAAAAAAAAGCACGTACCTGGCGGATTAGGTTGTGGATAAGAAGTGGAATTACTCGTTGAACCCGGCATTTCTACAACTGATTCAACGCTCAAAGTTGTCAGGGTGCTTCGAAATTCTTGATTTCGGCTCCGTCGTTGATCAGAGCGACTGAAAATCATTTTGAATTATCGATTTTTTCTCCTTCTCGCTAAAAACCCCTCGAAAATGCTGTTAAATCGAGATAGTTTTTGATTTTTTCTTTTCAAACTTGTTTTTTACTATTAAAAAATCGCTACTTTCGGGTTCTCGATCTCGAAAATTTCATACAATTTGAGTTTCTTTCTACAGAAGATATTTTTACGAAAGTTTTAAATTGGGTACATCTAAACCTGTAATTTTATATCTGTTTTTCTTCTGCAATTTTAGCACACAACTTTTTTTTTGTCATCGATTCGTCATCATTTCGTAAACCGAGAATAACAAGATTCTAAATTTCAAAGTTCCCTGAAACCGGACACGCGTTTCAAAAAATAGTCTTCAGAAGGAGGTTAATTTAGTTAAAAGCAAATTAAAAAGTTAAAAAGTCTGAGAATGGCCTAATTTAGCGCTTTGATGTTTTTCGATTTTTTTATGTATCATTCCCCGAAAAAAATTTTTTTGGACTTAGTAACGTTGGGATTTTCAAAAAATTCATATCAAGATGTAATTTTGCGAACTTTCAATGGGAAATGATTTCAAAAAAAATCAACACTATAGCCACAACATCAAATCTAAAAAAAGAGGTCTTTTCCCTCAAGACGATTAGCTTAAAAGTGTACTATATATTCTCACAATCTAAGATATAAGTGAATTTGTTAGGGTACACATTTATCGGTCAATAAATGTATTATTAATATTAACTCACCTCAAGACAAAAAACGAGCGTAGTAAGACAATAAGAATGAAGAACAAGGCAAAAACGACGAGCGGCGCGAGTACTAGCACATGCGGTGCTTCCATCGGACATGCTCCAACTCCCGAAAACGATTTTCTTTTCCGTCGAGCTTTTTCCTTTTTGTGAGCTTCTGAAACAAATACATATTCATTGACACGGCAGAAAAATAGCGAAATAGAACGTGAATTTTGTTAGAATGAGAAAAAGATCAAAAAATAAAAAGAGAAATGAGAAGGTCAAAGAAAGAAGGAGGGCGATGAGAAGACCAAAAGAAACGTCAAAAATAGGAAGAGCTTTTCAAAATTATTCAAGTTTAAAAAAAATGCAGGTCAACAAAAAAATAGAAAAAGTAATATATATGTGAGTAAGAAGGCTCAAAAATCCAAATTTTAATTGGTTTTTTTAAAAATCTTTTTTCAAAAATTCTTCCTAAGAAGCCACGATAGAAATTAATAACAAAAGCTCATGTTCAACCTTTTTCCCAAGATTAATTTTGAATCGTATGTGAAGAAAAACAGCGTCACAACTCAGGAAAATTGGACAACGGGAGCAGTCTGTGAGAAAATCAGAAAATCAAGGAAAAACACGACATAATGACGTCGGAATCTCCAACTTTTAGGCGAAAACACGAGTTTCAGAATTAATTATAGGGAGCTTTTTGGGGATTTCGCGACATTTCAAGCCTTGAGTCGCTTATAAATGATGTGAATTGAAGCCTTTTTTGCGTAGCCTAGTGAAGAGGAGTCAGGAGGAAATTGTCTCTTTTTCAAGGAATCCGGGAGGAAAAAGTGAGGTTTGAAGCCTGTCTGGTGATATTTGAATCGAAATGGATTTGGATGAATATGAGGCTTGTAAGCTTGAGAATTGAGAAAAAAAAACTGAGAAGGTCTGTAGATCAAAAGAGAGAACTGGCCTTTGAAAAAAGGTTTTTTTTAAATACCGATGAATGAATGGATTTTGATTAGACGAGCGTTCTTGGATGATTTTTTTGAGACTTGAGGTTTTATGATTTTTTTCTGATAAATCTTAATAAATGAGTCAATTCAAAATTTAAAAAAATCTTTAATGCATTTTGAAAATTTAAGTAAAGAAACCCCCCGAAGAGCTCTCGAAGAGTCCTAGCCTATGAAAAAAAATTTTTTGGAAAATCTGAAAACTGAAAGAATTTGGATTACAAAAGGCTTCGAGAATGATATCTGAAATTGAAAAACCGATAAAAGTTCTTTTAGAATATAAAAATTTGTTTAAATTCAAAAAAAATTTCAACTTAAAATTTCGTAGAAGCTGGCTTTTTTAAGTCGATGAATACTGTATAAACCATTAGAAAAATTTTTTGAAGAATTACGGAAACGGTCTGTCGAACTAGCGGACAGTAACACTAAGAATAACTGACGAGATAAACGCGAGGTCGGTGGCGGTACATTGACGAACTCGCAAACATCTCGCTTTTTTCTAGGCGCGATCCCGCATTTCTCTCGGCGCGACCTCGCATTTTTCTTGGCGCCATCTCGCATTTATCTCGCATTTCGAAAATTTTCAAATTGCGAGAGAAATGCGAGCTCGCGCCTAGAAAAATGCGAGCTCGCGCCCAGAAAAATGCGAGACCGGCGCGAGAAAAAAAGCGAGATGTTTGCGAGCTCGTCAATGTACCGCCAGTGTCTCGCGTTTATCTCGGCAGTTATTCTTAGTGAACTAGTCGGAAGGAAAGGAAAGACGGGGACTGTCGACTTGGCGCAATGGATAAGCTTCTCATCCCTAATTTTGCCCTTGCGAGTTCGATCCCGGTCAGTTTTTTTTCTTTCCAAATTTTCAAAAAGCTCTTTTACTACAGTGTTTATAAGAAACTATGGAAAGTAATCGATCAATCTCCGTTCAAGACGGGAAAAACTATGTTTTATTATGTTTAGTAACTTAAGACATCCATAAATTCACTCCGAAATCATTGACACAGATAAAAAACAAAATGAAAAAGAGAAGGACCAGGAAAGTTGGAATGAAACCGAGAAGGTTATAAATTTTCGGTTTTATACGCGAGTTTGCGCTATCAGAAAAGCCTACGCAGTCGAAAGCTCAATAGGGTTTCCGTTGTCGGAAATGACTGCCGTTTTTTTTTTCGTGGGATTGCTTTTCTGAACCCTGAAATTGGTACGAACCGAAGTGCTTTTGAGCTTTTTTTAATTGTCAGTCTTCAAAGTAAATTTGATCTATCTATTTTTGAAATATTAAGCAATAGAAAAAAAGGGATTTCAGGAAAATTTTGAGCTGAAACAATGTAGGAGAGAATCAATCAAGCCCACGCTTTCACGTCGAAAAATGATCCGGAAATTATCTTTTTTTGGTTTTGATTTGTTTTTTATTTTTGATCGAGTAGAGTGGATTTAAAAACTCAATCTGAGGAAAAATAATTTTTCAAAGTTCATCTTGAAACATAATAATAAAAATTCTAGAAAATGAGTTAGTCCATTTTGCCTTGGTGAGGTCTGATTTCTCTCTGCTCTCTTTTCACTCACTTCTCCTTTTTCTGTGATTTCAATGGAGAGAGATGAGGAGAGCGCAGACAGGTAAGGTCAAGTCGTGGAGAATGATGTATATGGCTAGAATCTGAAACTTCTGATATAGGAGCTCCACAATTTTCTTGTGAATTTCCAATTCAATTCTAGTTCCCCTGAATTTAAAGTGAACATTAAGAAAAGCTTCTGTCCTAGAACTAATTAGTCTACCGAAATTACAAAGAAAATAGGCCAGCTCCTAATTATTTACGAACAGAATCGAACGAATTCTCACGTTTTTTCTCACAAGTCCTTCGCTTTAATTAATCATTGTGGGAATTTATAAATAAATCCGGTATGGATATTTTTGAGAGAAAACAAGTCTTTCGAGGCGGAAAGTGAAAATAGAAAGCAAGGGGAACAGGTGGAAATGGGAAGGAAAATTGCTGGTTTTATGTGAAACGTGATAATTAACAAGCGAATTATCAGTCGACTTCTGAGAATTTGGTTCGTGCAACGTGACAATTTTCGTTCAAACTTTTTGTTTATTGATTTGAGATATTGAAGTCCTGAGAGAAATTTCCTAGAGGTTACTTGAAGCATTTAGGTTATAGAGGTCTTTCAAACGGTTGGTTAGAAGTTACTTAAGTGGTCTTTTGTAGATAAATAGAGAACGGAGAACATATCTGGAAGTTACTTGGTGGATTTGGGCTAGTGCGATCATTCAAGACTTGAGTGCTTCTATGAAAATGGAAGAAGCTCAACAGTCTTCTTCTTTTTTTATTTTTGGTCGAAATACCGACTGTGAAAAAAGGTGTCTACAAATTACTTAAATGGTTTGAGTAGGCAGCTGAGAGGTTGCTCCAGTGGGAAGTGGAAGAAGCGGAATAAGGAAAAATAATCATTTCAATTCGCAATTTTCGTCTCAAGTCTTGGGTAATAGATATAATGAAATTGTAAGTTTGATAAGCTGGATGATAAGACAGAACGACCTGAACACAACGTTTTTTATTTTACAAGATGCGCCGCACGTAGAATGGCTCATAGCGTTGCGGTTCTTGCAGCTTACGCTGAAAATTTCAGTTTTCACCCGGGGAAGGTTTTAAGTCGGACACAGCCATTTGAAATTGAGCCATTCTATGACAATTTATCAACAAAAAGCTATTCAGGCTGCAAAAAATTTTTTAATAACAGGTCTCTGAATAACAGTTTTCATTGATTTTGAAATAATCGATGTCAAAACTTTGATTTCGAGGGAAAGACCCTGAGAGTTCATGAAAAAGAGCCCTTCTGAACTTTGCTCTGAATGGAGGTGAAATTTTCAAAACAAGGATTTAGGAAATGAGATAATCTTCATAGCACTTTCACTAATTTTAAATAATAAAAAGAAAACCTAAATCTTCTCAAAATTAACAAAACACTGAATAATTAATGAGCCGAAACTGATCTGAAATGATTAATGTGAGAAAAATGACGTTGGAAGAAAGTTGGACGTTGGAGAGAATCTGTGAAGGCCAAAGTTAGGGAAGTTAATCGGTAGCCAGTGGCAACGCCCCGTGAAATGAACACCTGCCTTTTACCTTTTTCTCAACTTTTTTTTTTCCATTTTCCTACGGTTTCTTAACCCGATGAATGACATTTTCGGCAAAAATTGACTGCCGCGCAGGGTTTTATTGGGCCATTTCCCACGCTGAGAGAATTACTTCCTTGGAAAGTATGAAGATTTGAAGGGAAAGAGCGAATGAAAAATGATGCTAGGATAAAAATGGTTCGGAAGATCTTTGAACTTGTACAGTATACCAAAGGCGATTTGATGACGTCAGAAAGAAGATGGCTTGGAAAGGTTTATGACGTCATTAAAATCGATAAAAATGAGGGACGTTATCCGCAAAAATCACGGTTGCAAAGAAAACGCTCCGCATCCTACACATGCGTCGCGGTTCAAGAATACCTAATGATATTTTCGAAATAATCATTTCCAACAAGCTCTGAGGATATGGAAATATTTCCATTGACATTTTTTTCGAAATCATCAGAACTCTATCATTCCTTGGACAATTTGAGAAAAACCTGGAAAATCACCCCGACCGCGTCGCGTCAGCCTACACACGCGTCGCGTTTTGAGCTGAGCCTCTGAAGTCCGAAAAATTTTACTCATCCTTCCGCATTATCCTGTGAATGTTTCGCGGCCCAATAAGGTCTTCCTGATTCATCGGAATAAGCTTCTGAAGTCAGATTATTTCCCTGACAGCGTCGTGTCAGAGTGATTTTATTAGAAATATTCCGACCGAGTCACGCCTTCATGAACACAGCGATGCTCATAGAAGTCCGAGTGGAGTGGCTGCTTAACTAATTTTTAATCCCGGTCGCTACGCGTCAAACTCGCAACACGGTTTTCTGACCTATTCAACGTCATGAGAGCAATCCGAATAGAATCTGTGTCGCCAAGACTTCAGATCGAGTCTAAAAGAAGCTTTTTCAAACTGAAAAAGACCACGCGAAATATTAAATTTGCGACGCGGTCCAAACTTTTATGACGTCAAAGGTCCTCCTTTTCTTCTCCAACAGATCTCAACTGTAAAACAATACTAGTTTAGCCCTTCTATTTACCTACTAATACATTAATTAAGTCTTTCTCGGTTTAGGGAGACAAAAACGGTTAAATTGGATGAAACCTCAAAAATACGACATTTGAAGCCTCTTCTCATTGTGGGAAAATGAACACAATATCTGGTTGGACCGGATTAAGTGGACCCGTCGTTTTGGTCTCGGAAAGATAATTTTGATAGAGTCACCAGTGTTTATTGGGCCTAACAACATTATATTGGGCACAGAAAACTTGCCGAATAGCTCAATTTTGGTGTCAAATGACGTTATTTGTGGGACAGAATCAAATTTGATGACGTCATGAATTTATATGAAATGGTGACGCATCAAAGCTATTCCAAAGATCCCGAAATAGTTTTTTTTTGGATTGGTGGTCGTGGTAGGGATTCAAGTTGAGCTTCTGAATTCTTATAACTTGAGGATCCGATTGCAAGTCGCTTCAGGGACCAGTACAGCCTTTCCGACGCGTTCAATATAACAAAATGACTGATCATTCAGCGAATAAGAAAAAAATTGAGGTTTCAATGATGTAAATAGCAATTTTACTCTGATTCCTGAGATTATCACGAGTAATACCCACGGAAACCTATAATCAGTGGAAAAAAAACATTCCTAACATTTGATTATGTGCTGACTATGAGTAAAACATGAAAACAACTTCTCCAAGGCCAAATAAAACTATCGGGCACCCGAAAAAAGCTGAGCAAAGTCCATGGGAAATTGTCATTCACTTCCAATTTCACGAAGAATTTTCTTTTTGCAATGGTAAGATTCAATAAAGCAACAGCCGAGTTGATTACAAACGTGATTGATGAAATTTATCGAACAGAGAAGAAATAATAAGAAAAAGTCGGGCTGAAAAGCTTGGGAAATGAAAATGGAGAATAAAACGGGGGTCAATTATCTTTAATTTTCTAATTCAATCAACAGCAAAATCCTTAATTGGTAAGTGAGAATGGAAATTATTTTTTTCTTCAATAAGAATTTCGAAATTAAATAATGAGAAGTTGTTTGTTCCATTAGTATGTGAAAAACAAAGGGATATTAGATTAAAAGATGGAAACTATTATCTTTGAAACGTTTGATGAAAAGTTATTCATGAACCTTTTTTGAAAAAATTTCAACAATCCCTTCATCAATGACCATAAATCGTATACTATTATAAACACCAGACTAAATATTATGCATCAAAAATAAAAATTCATGTGTAAATGTTGGTCATGGCGTAGTGTGTGAATCTTTTTATTGAAGTTTGGCGTGGTAAATTTTTTTTTGTATTTTTAACACACGTTCTCTGATACACCAGTGATACAAAAATTTCAAGTTGGCATTTTTCGAACTCATGTTTTCGTCACAACAACTACAAAACGGTAAAGAAGTTTGAAAAAGGTTTTTGACTGACTTTGCTCTTTTTATAGAGTTACGGTAGCTAAAATATGATAGAAACCTAATTTCTTTCCTCGGTTGACGGAATCGTCCTTATGAATTGATTGAGAAAATAATATTTCACTGATCGGAAGGCTCTGTCTGTTACAAATAAAAAAGCACGATTTCCAGTTAAAATCGACTTATTCCGTATGAAAAAAACCCGTCAAAAAAAGTTTGTAAGTAAAAAAGATGCATAGACGGTACTTTTTCGGAAAGTAAGAAAAAAGCTTACGGCAAGCCGAATTCCCAAGCCGTCTCCGATCCAAGTACTACCGGCTCTCAACGTTGCTTAACTTGCCAGATCGGACGGGATGGCGTGTTTTCAACGTGATATGGTCGTAAGCATATTTTGCAACACGCCAAAAGAATACACGATCGCATAAAAATGATGCGATATTTTCATGAGGCTAAAATTTAGAGAAATAAATATAATTAGTGGTATTTCGAAAAGGAATTTGCACGATTCAAAAGGAATTTATTCATTTTTCTTTTTCAATTGACAAAGGTGAGCTGGGATCTGAAACTGGTAAATTTTCTCGTTGTGACACTGGGCAGTGGTTTCTTTTTGCAACAAATAAGAGCAAAGACAGCTTCTCGATATGGCTTCATCATCATAATTTGCAGAATACAGAGGGCTGGACAGAGTCCTTCGGCGGGACTTGCTAATAAAGCTAATGTTAAAGGTTGTCTGAAATCATAATGTAAATTCAGCGTTTAAAAAACATATTCACACACAAAAATTGATTAGGCGCAGACTTGTTCTGAGCCATTTGGGTTTTTTTTACTTTTAGGCACGTTTTTTTGAAGCGAAAAAATCGTTGCAGGATAATAATGTCATATTGTAAAGTAACGATTTTTTCTTGAAAAGTAGGAACTTTTGTACGATTTCGAGTATGCCCCTCGGCGAAAAATGAAATGCTTTACTAGTTGACATTAATATCTCCAACCTCATGATCATATACTTCGAAGAAACACAACTCACTTGACGATTTCGCGAGATCCGAACAAAAGGACGAAAAAAACACCGCAAACTGGAATCATAACACACAATGTGAATAGTCCAAAGCTTGCCACTTTGGTTATCAACATCCACTGTTGGAGTTTCTTCATTGTATTTGATTGAAGCAATACGGATGTGTGAACTCTGAATGGAAATGCAACAAGAAATCGTTTGAATTTTGAAGCGCAAGCCAAACCTGTACAAAAGAAAGGCGAGGAATATCGTGCCTGCTGTAAAGAAAAAAAAGGCTTCGGTTATGACCAAATACGACATTTTCGTAAAAACAAGAAAGAATGGCGAATTTCTTTGTAAGAATGGCTTCAGCCTTGGATCGATTGTTCCAGCTGCTTCCAAAAGTTCGTCTTGTCGCCATTCTATACAGCAAACTATTGGGTAAAAATTCCCGACCCCGCCGATGAGGCAAATTATTTGAGCACCTCGGTCGAGAATCAGGTAGCTTTCATCGGCATTGAAATGGAATATTTGAAGTCGAGAAATCGTTAAGGCGTTACGGAGTAGCGCCAACGCGCAGACCATAGAAGAGATCATCAATAAATAGATTAACGAAATACAACTGGCAATAGTCATTTTGTAGTTTGAAACGCCTTCAATGGCGTTGAATAATATTCGATAGGGAAGAATGGCGAAAATCCCAGAAATTGGAATGAACGCACAAACTGAGAAAGTGAACCCGATTTGCGCAAAAAACAAGATTTTATAGGAGTTGAGCATCTTTGTTGATTTTTTATGAACTATGAAAATTGTAACGCCAACACAGGTTAATAAAGGTATCAGGTATAAATAGGCTCCAAGACGGAAGGAGTACATCGCGCTGAAATTAGAAATTTTAAGAATTCAATAAAAAACAAAAAACCTTTGATGATAGGGATAGATATCGTAGAAACCATCGATTTCCGCAGTGATATTGAATTCGAACATATATTCGTTAGTCAAGCTCTCAAACAAGCCGAGCATTTTAAGTCAACAGAAAAGTTGGTACTTGCTTACGCATAAACTGCCTTCAGTTCCACCTGCGATTTTGGATTGAAGTGTGTTTCTCTCTCTCTTCAGTTTTTCACACTCATCTGAAGGTGGACTTTGGGAAATTACAGAGTTTGTTTACTTAGTAAAAAAATATTTTAAAAAAGTCGCATACTTTAGGTTTTCTTTTTGGATCATCAATAATGAATATGAACTTACTGTTTGTCAAAATTATCGATGAATTCTTGGTACGCTGTAGAAATCTATTTTTTGGGGAAACTTTAGAAAATTTGAACAAGTAATTATTTGAGATGTTCATATCAAGCTTTTCTCTGAACCAATTTCTCTTATGCTGCGTTGCTGCGTTATAATTACATAGAAGCTTTGAGTTTGCTTTTTTTTTCAATTTGTTTTCGCTTTTTCTCTGAAATTATTTATTTCATTTCAATTTTTTCGAGAATATTCAGAAAATTTTGTTATTTTAACTTAAGAAGAGCAGATTAGGACGTGAGGCAATGATTATGATGCTCAATTTAAATAACTTTATTTTATGTCCGTTGACTATAAGATCAGGTACAAGAGAGGTCGTAGGAAGAAGTACGGTGCCGGCTTTCCAAAGGCCGATGGCAGAGATTGAGTCTTCTCTGCCTAAGCCACAGCTCCTGCCGCCGTTAAAACACAGTTCAATCAATGAAAGTCTATTGCACATGTATTCTTACATTGAAGATGCAATAAACAGTTTTTTTTAAAACAGACTATAAGATGAGAAACACTACTTTTTTTTCTACTTCCGCATTGTAAGACAGAATTTCTCTTTCGGAATGTCACGCAGATGTTTTAAAGCCCGTACTCTTCATTCATGTTTTCACTGCAAAAATAATTATTTTCATCAGAAAAAGAAAACCTAGAAATATAAAGACAAAAATCAGTGAAACTTCGTCAAAGTTCGTAGACACTATCATTAATATTTCTTCACTCAATAATTTGTTTCAGTAAACAACACGAAATATGGAAAAAAATTTTCGACCTTTGTTCTATTCAGCCAGAATTAAGAAAAAGCTTGTTCGAAGTTTTTATTGAATTTTCTTCTTTACATTCAAAATTCATTCGAAAAAGATGAGGCGTGACCTGAAGCTGGCCCATTTGACGCTGGGTAGAGGTTTTCTTTTGCAAAAGAGAAGAGCAAAGACAGCCTCTCGATAAGGCTTCATCATCAATATTTGTAAAATACAAAGCGCTGGACAAAGTATTGTGACGGGGCTTGCGAGGAATATCAAAGTGTATGGTTGCCTGAAAATCGGTAAAGCTACTAAATGAGATTTTTTTTTGATTTGGAGAGTCTGGAAACATTCCACGAAGAAACCAGAGAAAAGACTTACCTAACAATTTCCCGCGATCCAAACGAAATTACGGAAAAAACGCCACAAACTGGAATCATTATGCACAGAGCAAAAAGGGCTAGACTTGCGATTTGCGTTATCATCATCCACTTTTGAAGATTTCTCATTTTATTTGATCGGATAAATTTGGCTCTGTGAATCCTGAAAGTCAACGAGAAATACTTGTTTCATGATTCGAAAGAAATCCGAACCGATGGAGTAGAAAAGCGAAGAATGACATGAGGAATATGAAATGAGTGAACGCCTCGGTAATGACCAAATAGGACATTTTTGTTAGAATGAAGAAGAATGGAGACTTTCTCTCTAAGAATGGCTTAAGCCTCGGATCGATTTTTCTAGCTTCTTCTAGTAAATCGTCCTGTTGCCATTCGATACAGTTGATAAGGGGATAGACGTTGGCGAGAGAGCTTATCAGAAAAAAAATTCGAGCACTTCTATCAATAACTTGAAAGCTTTCGTCTGGATTCAAATCGAATATCCGAAGTCTGGACATCGTCAGAGCATTACGAATCAAGGCCAAGGCGCTCAAAAATGACGAAATTAATAACAAATAGATTAACAGAAAACAACTGGCAAGTGTAAATTTATAGTTAGAAAAGTCATCGATGGCGTTGAAAAACATACGGTAGGGCAAAATTGTGTAAATCCCAGATATTGCAATGAATGCACAAATCGAAGAAAGTGAATGTAATTTGAGCGAAGAATAGAAACTTGTAAGAGTTCAGCATCATGGTCGATTTTCTGTGAACAATAAATATTGTCACACAAACACATATTGATAAAGGTATCAGGTATAAGAATAGGCCTGTTCGCGAATTTTTAATCATTCTGAAAATGAGGTTTCTTAAAGTTGGGCAAAGTTCAAATCACCCTTGATGATAGGGATAAATATCGTAGAAGCCATCGATTTCCGCAGTGATATTGAACTCGTTAATATACTCGTTCGTCAAACTTTGGAAAAAGTCGACCATTTCATAAGAAAAGAAAATCGAAACTTAACCACGTTCCAGGCTCTGCTATTGCACCTGTTTTTTCTTTAAAGTTTTTTTTTGCAACTTGAAAAGAGCAGGTGTATAATCTCCTGATTTATCACACAACAAAAGAGCCCTTCACTGAATATATATATATATATATATATATATATAGAAAAACGACCGAGGCGAAAAAAACTGGACAAAGAGCCACAAGAGCCCGGTGAAAGTGTGCTCTATGGATAATTGGAATTTTTTTACAGATTCGTATTTTTTTATTGTTTCATGGTTCGAGAAAACAGAATCTTATCATATAAAAGCTGTGGAATGTCGAATAAGACATGGTCATTCAAAGCATATCCAATAAAATGAAGTCCAGTAGTCAATGATTAATCCCATTCTACGATTTCAAGGCGATCATTAGTTTCAGATATTCACTTTTTTTTTCACTGAATGGTCTCCAATTTTGAAGCAAGCTAAGAGAGAAAGAAGGAAAAATAAAGAACTAAAAAAAAATGATAAATTTGAAGTTAAATTTTGAACTATCCGTGGAGCGCAATTTTGTACTGGACTCGAACCCCTGATGTGGCTCTTCTGTACAAAGAATTTTTTTGTTATGGGCGTTTTTTTGAGCGTGACTTTTACTGCGACTATCCACAGGCTATTTTGTCATAAACCCAGAAAAATCTGTGTGAAAAAGTAATCTTAAAATTAATCCTTTCTACAAAAACACCCCCGCATTAATTTTTTTATCAATATTTTTTTCTCTGCTATTTTTGAAGTACGAAATATAAGAAAAAAATAATTTCTAGGCCATGGGAAATTTTTTTATAATTTCTTAATGCTATTCGTACTTTTTATATTTTTTTCATTAATAATTATTATTCTTCTAATGAATAACGTAACATCTAAAGAAATCTTTTTCATTGGAAAAAGAAAGAAACAACTTTCAAAAAATTCACAAGAAATCATAAATTTCAAAAAAAGTTTATTTTAAGACACATTCAAAGAACAATCGTCCAAGTTGGTTTAGCACTTCGGCGGGCCTCCAGAAGTGATATTCTCCTCGTACTCAGCATTTTCAATAGTTCTACCCTATAAGGCTTTATCAGTAGCAGGAATAGTGTACATAGGGATGGACAGAGAAGGATTGTCGGCATAACGTAAAGAAATAATACAAAAGGGTATCTGAAATCGAACTTTGCAATTTTAATTTTCGAGGTGTAAATGGAAGGTATATAAAACATAGAAAAATATGACGTCGATTATAAATTTGAAAATGTGAATAAATCATGGGAAACCTGGCGATTGACTGAGATCCATAGAGGACTGTGAAAAAACAGCCGCTTGTCGGAATGGCTATTGATAGTGAGAATAAAGCGAAAGATCCCAGCATCACGAACATGAGACGTTTCTGAAGCTTTTGAACTGCCCGCGAACTGGCAAAACTCGTCTTTTTCGCTCTGAAAGTAGTTTTATCGAAACGAACCTCTGAAGCATCATTTTTTTCTCACTAGAGAAACGTGAAGTATTCGAATAAATTTTGCTGACTAGTGAGAGGTCTTTCAGGGCCCCTGGTTCAAAATCAGCCCAAGAAAAACTGCATTTTTTTTCTTTTAGTTACAAATGTCTCTGATACTGAACTCTACAAGTTTGGTGAGAAAAAGGGAGCTTTTGGCGTCTCTGAGGCTCTATAGTTCTACTAAAATGCAGAGATTGCAGTTTTTCAATTTTTTTTTACAATTAATGTGTCCTAAGGTACCTCTTTTCATAAAATTGCCAACCCACCTGTTCATCAAAAACCCCATCAACCACATTGACAGAAGTACGTAGAAAACAGTGCCCACAACAACGACGATGATCATCTTCGTGTAGATCAGAAAGAATGGAGCACTCTGCTCGATAAAATCCCTCAATCGTACGTCAACTTCTACAGCTTTCGCCAAAATTTCTCGTTGATCCCACTTCACCGAATAGAACATCGGAATGGGGAATGACAAAAAACCGAATAAATACGCTGTTCGAAATAACCGGTCGAAGAACTTATAAGATTCTTCACAATTCAACCAAGAGACTTTCAATCGTGCGGCGAATAAGGCAGTCCTCATAACCGAAATCGCGCAGGCTATTGCGGCCGAAATCATGATCAATATAAAGGCAATACAAATCAGCATGCAACTACAGCCGTTGGAAGTGTTGTAGTTCAAGTTGAAGAGAACTTTGTACGGTAGAATGGCGTAGAGTCCCAGAACCCGGGATTATCAGCGACATCAGTAGAGTTATCACAATCATAGTTATCAATAATGGCCGATTATTTTTGACTGCTTTGAAAGGGTTCTTGAGCATGATGTAGACTGTTATGAGCGCCCAGATAGCTATGAACAAGTCGAGAATGAAGAAAAGTACGTGGCAAATGAGAAAGGTTCTGGAAATTTTCTAATTTTTATAGGCGTTTGGTCCGTAAACAAATTCGCAACTCTATGCACTTTGAACTGAATAAAGCCGCAAGTTTAACTTCGCTTCAAGGTAGCGAGGGAGCAGTGTGCAGAAAGTTGCTTACCGTAATCTAATTTTCACAATGACGAAGTTGCAAGACCAAATATTTTAACACTATCCTAATCGGAAGAATGATAGTTTCAAAGGAGAAAAAGAAAAAAGTCAGTTAGGTGAAAACGAGAATAGAAACTAGATCTCACATTAGAGCAGCTTTGCTGAAAAAAAAACGCGCTTTTGGCAGTAACTTGAACTTTCTCCACAAGTATTTTTTCTCCAAAAGTCGAAACTTCTGAACGTATTCATGTAGACCGTTCGACACTAACTCTACGTTATATCTCAGTTCTTAAAACTATAAATCAGTTATCTCTCACCTTTCCTGCCCTTGTAGAACATTGACTAAGTTGGTAATCTCTTCTACAGCATCGAGTTCGAACAGTAATTCGTTTGTCAGCCGTTCCCATAGGTTCGGCATAGACGTTTTTGAATAGAAACAGGAAGGAACAGTTGTTAGATTATGTTGAAATGTCGAGATAACGATGGCATTTACGTTTATGAAAGGAAAAAGCACCTGCGATAGTAGGTTGACTAGTAAAACAAAAAAGACTCAAATGGTCTTGGGGAATGAGGTAGAATATTCTCCTCAGTAAATTATGAGGTGCGGAAATCATCTTTCTGAAGCCCCATAATTTTCCGAGAAAACGTATAGAAGTCTACCATTTATCGAGAAATGCCGTTTTTTTTTTTCTTGAGAACCGGTTTTACTATGACCTGTGATGTATTTTTTT